TTTTATACAATTTCTTATATGAAAATTGTGGTTTTCATTTCCCTCCAAATGTTTATTTTATTCAGTATTTCTGTTGTAGTGGTGTAGTTCTTGTCTGTCTTCTTAATTCAACTTCATGATTTTATTTATCTTTTAATTTAATGTTGGATATCAATGTTAATTAGTTGAATATACTCCCTAAGATTTTAACCTTAATCACTTTCCAAAACCAAATTATTACTTTAACCCATTGAATAATTACCACATTTCATTCTTAACTCAAAAATATCAGCAGTTTACAATTGGCAGTAGCTATAAAAATACTTCTCATCATTAATACCAGTTTCCCTGTTGTTGATTTTCATCAATACTTCTACAAATATGACACATTATCAGGTAAAACAGTTTAAAAGGTAAAGGTTGACTAAGGCAGCTGTTCTTGTTGATTAAAATAGAATTGTTACGGTAGGTTATAGTAGTGATTACATTTATTTTAGGTTACCTGTTAAAAATTTTATTTACTTCACAATAATTATACCAAGATTTGTTTTTGTTAAAAGAGTTATTAATGCTAGTCTTGTTAAATTTAAGTTGTTTGCCAAAAGCTACTATAGAAGACCTTCAGATCTTTTAAAATTTTTTTAAAAGAAAAACTAAAAGGGAGAGATGTGGCACTCCATCCTGGAAAGGATGGGCTGTAGGTGAGCCACAGAAGGAAAGAATCTTATGCCCTGGGAGGCAAGAAGCTAAGACAGGAAACATCTAGTTAAGTTAGTGTCGATGGAAGGAGACCCGGACATCAACTGATTCATCGCAGGTCTGATTTATTGATCGATACAGCGGGTTAAATACAGTTCATAATAAGCTTCATACATATTGCAAAAGCTGAGCTCAGGATTGGTTAGTTACATATCAGCAACTACGCCTACTTCTGCATTTTTGTGGTTATTCTTTTGATACTTTCTGCATATTTTCAGCAAGAATCTCACTTCCCTATCCTCATGTTGTGGCAAGGGCATCATGTCCTTGCCTTTCATTGGTCACTGACTGCTGACTTCCCTTTCAAGCTTAACCAGCGGCATTATGTCGACATGGCCTTTCTCAGCTAACCAACTGTTAATAAAACACTCCACAAGTTAGGGTGAGAAGAGAGGAATGATGGGAACAGTTATGTAGATTAAGTCATTCCATATAAATTTATGTTCTGAACCCTGCCCTCCGATTGGGTAATCTTGTGTTCCATATAAGGTATTGCTTTGGATTGTCTCTGTCCATTGGTTCCCTGCCCTCAGACAATGTCTATGTAAGGTTGTGTTTGCCTCCTTTCGAGGTCTTCTGGAGTAGCTCTATACAGTATACAGGGTATGTTTTGTTGCACATTGATTGTTGGTGCACCTTTTATTTTCCATTATTAAATGTGATTTTCAGGCATTCCAGTTGTTCCCGTCCCTCTGTCTGCTGCCTAGGATGCCCTGCAGGGCCCTCTAAGCCTGCTGGTGGCTGGCACCTCTCCTGCTCTGCCAGCTTGTGTACAACCCTTTTGGCTTTGATTTTAGAGATGCTAGGTCCCAGGCTGGTGTGGCTGGAGGAAAACTTGTGAATCACAAACTGCTGCAACAGTGTCTGTACAAGCCTGCAATGGCAGTGCTATGAAGTTCTATATGTCTAATTTAATAAACAACAAAATTGAATTTAGCAGCAATTTTAATTGAGCAGCACTTCTTTATATAAATGAATACAATCAAGTATGTTAAATATAATCAAGCATATACCTGGAATCATCCCAACTTTGTTCATTCCAAGACCGATTCTATTTTGGGATCTTGCTTATCTCAATACTACATCCTGTGTCCTGTTTTCCACGTCACATCTGCAAAGGGGCCCATCTGCTTTGTAATACTAATCACATATACTTTTCCTTTATTTTATATTGATATAGTTACAATCTAGTTAGCACGAATCATATCCATTTATCACAGCAGCAATGTTCAGAGACATGAAGAATTACTCAGCAGCCATGAATGATTTTAATATCCCTATTAACCAGTATGCTCTTTGAAGCGTCTCGCCACACAAATTTGCCAGATTTTCAAAGTGGCAGCTTCTTTTTTAGCTTGAAGAAGATGCCCCTAGGGGTCCCTATGACATATTACTAATGCCTGCAGTTTTGGATAGCATGTTGAGTTGAGGGGTTTTATTTGTGAACTTTGGAAAAATGTATATTTACTGTCACTGTAACCCTCTGGCACAAAAGGTAAATTATTTTTAAATGTTTTCCTCTTTTTTTAGAAGAGCTACAGCACACAAGCCAGTTACATGAAAACTTCTCTCAATCTGTTGTTGAAGCCCAGCTGGCTAAACTAGTAGAAGTAGAAAAGCAAAGTGATTCTAAATACTTTAAACCAAGGAATTTAGATCAAAACATTTTCTTCCAGGAGGCTCGTTCTTGAATTTTAAATCTAGAAAGAATACAAAGATTAATTAGTCTGGTGTTTTATATATATTATACTTGGTTCAAGAATCTGACAGTAAAACTCCATGGAGGCTGTGTATTACACTGAACATTTTTTCTAGAAGTAATTTCTTAATTTCCAGGCTCTGAACTGATGCAGCAATTATTATGGTAATATATTACACTTGTTAATTACTCCATCTGCTAAAAACATATAAGTTACTTCTTGTCTGAACATTGATTCAGCATACAGCAAACATTTCTGATAGATTTAGAAGTCTTAAAACTTCTAAATATTAAAAATTTTTTCAGTTAGTCATCTTACAATCATGCTGGATAAACACTATTCCATACAAAGCGTGACTTAACTCTATGACTTCAGTTAACTTTATTCACCTTCATAGTTTATGTGGCTGGAGGAGGTTATAGAGAGTGTGTTGGGAGGAAAGGGTAAAAACTGGAAGGTTTGGTGAGGAGGAGAGAATAGTTTTGATCAAAGTGATTTTGCAGCTGGGAATGTGAGAAATGTTGGTGTGAGAAAACTCCATTTATCATGCTTAATGTTGCTTATCCTGTGTCAAAAACACACAAACCCTTTTGTTTTTGAGAGGCAGGCAGTTAGCATGTCTCCAATGACTACTAGAATGAGCTAAGCCAAACAGAGCCTGTGTCCCCATGTGTGTTCCACAAGGTGTTATTAGCAAGGTAATGAAATAAACCCACTCTTTGCATTTCAGCTGTGGTTTGATGGTTATCCTTGGTTACTTGTATGTGTTGATTCACACAGAGGGATACACAAGAGTGGGAAGAATCCTGACCTGAAGAAATACCAAATTTCCACTCTTCTGAGGATCCATGTCATAGCAATAATGATTTTACCAGCAGGAAGCAGCTGGTACATATAAATCTCAAAATGAATCATGATTGTGATTTGTAATCAAAAGGCATTTTCTCCACCCTCAGAACAATCCACGCCTGCAGAGCAACAGTCTGGACACAACCTGTGAATGATGTCTTGGCAGTGGGCTTCCATTTTGTGGGCAAGTAAACTCCTCTGGTGGATTTGCTTGAGTAACTTTTGAGCAGGATGTACATATGACATCTAAATCTGTATTAAAGGCTCAGTATCAGCTGTGTGTGCAGTAAGGTGCAACTGGGAGACGCCAGTATGAAGATATGGTGGAGCATGAAGTAATGGATGCCTTCTGCTGAAAATGCCATGTAAACAGCACGGGAACTGACAAATTGATATAGTAAATAGTTGTGGCTGCTTAAAAAGATTTGGTATCCTTTGTGCTGAAGTTCTTCACCAGCAGCTATGCCTTCCCCTGCACAGGGTCTGCAAAAAGGAACCATCCAAGTACTGCAGGATGAAATCTACTGGTTTCAGTTCAGGTGGTGATGATTTCTAAACTTTTTAGGGTTTTGAAGTGTTTTGGTGGTTGGGATTTGGGATTTGTGTTTCTAGGCTGCTGCAGAATGCTTCTGTCTCCCACAATGTAAATGATGAGGACAGTTATGTCCAGCTGAACAGTGACAAGGAACCACAAAAGCCATGAGCTCTTGAATCACTCAGAACAGCAGTTTAAGGTACTCTGGTCAGTTAGCAGCTGGGTATTTGATTTGCACAAGTCCACAGCCTTCAGTGATGGTACAAGAATGGCCGAAGCATATCCTGCAGGGATCTTTTCCAGCTTCTGACATTGATTCCCTAGATGGATTTCTTGCTATCTATTACAACTAGGAGGAAGCTAAATGCTTCAATTTCTTTACAAATGAAATTTACTTAAAGATGCAGTGTTTGGTAGTTACTCTTGACCAACTCTAAAACACACTGTGAACATTTTGAAAATACATCAGCAGTTTTGGGAGTCTACCACTGTAAATAATGTTATTTACGAATGTGGTATTTTGATTTAAAATCTCTTGGGTTTTGCTGCAGTATTTTCAATGGAGATCAAATTATGAAGCGTAGCATTTTCCTTTGAATGGAAAAATTTCCATCTATGTTTACTATGTTGAACCTAAATTCAAAGAAAAGGAATAGCGATGTCAGACAAAACATTTGACTCTTTTGAGCCAGGAAAAAAAAAAATCTCATAGATAAGCATTCACTATGCTTAACGTCTTTGAAAACAAAATAAACGACTGTTTTACTATGAAGGTCATGATTAACCCTGAGTAAGGCTCCCTGCTGGTGGAGGCTGTTGCTCCCGTGGTTGGTTCTGGAGAGCAGCTCTGTGTGTCCAGCGTGGCGCTCTGAGCGAACAGAGGGATGTACGGAGGCCCCGGTACGCTCGGGGCAGCGGTCGCGGCCGCAGGGAGGGCGCGGTGGGCACGTCCGGCCCGTGCTCCTGGCGCGCTGCCCGGCGGGAGCGGCCGCTCTGAGCGAACAGGGGGATGTACGGAGGCGCCGGTGCCCTCAGGGCAGCTGGCCAGGGCCGCGGGGAGGGCGCGGTGGGCCTGCCCGGCCCGAGCCCCTGGCGCGCTGCCCGGCGGGAGCTCCGGCCCGCAGCCTGCGCTTCCCGGCGGCCCCCGCGAGCGCCTGCGCCGCCGCGGCTGCGCGAGCCAATCATCCCCCGCCCGGCTCGGCGCTGGGCTCGGCAGGAGACGCGGGGCTGCTCGGTAGCGCCGAGAGCCCGCGGAAAAACCCCCGCTGCCCCGGCGCTGCTCCCGTAGCCGTGCGGCGTCTCCAGCCAGAGGAACCGGGCTGCCTGCGCCCGGCGCAGGTGAGTGGAGGCGGGCCTGGGAACGGCGGGGTGGGGCGAGGGACGGAGCGTGACGCGCGGTGCCGGAGGCTGCGGCGCTGTGAGGGGCTGAGGGCGGCTCGGCGGTCGCGGCCGCGGCTGGCTCGGGGGGTGCGCTCGCTCCGGCGCGGGCAGGAGGGGGCGCTGCCGCCGCCTCCCATTGGCTGGCTGGGCGGCACGCGCATGCCCGAGCGCGGCGCGTGGCGGCGGCCGTCGGGCGCGGAGGGGAAGGGGCGGAGCCGAGCGAAGCGAGGGCTGGACATGGCAGTGGTGGAAGCTGGGCCGGCCTGCTGGTGGTGAGGGGGATCTCTCCGGCTAACCCACCCACAATTGTAAGCAGCTGTGGTATTTTTATATTGTAAGTATTGCTTAGTGTTACTAACGTAACGACGTGATATGCACGCCGGAAGTCATTTGCATAGTATGAACTCATGGTTATTAGATGGTTGGTTTGTGCTGCGCATGTGTCTCCCCAATTTGGGGGCTGTCGGGGTGATATAAAATTTTGATAGCCAAATTGAATTTTATTTTTATATCTTTTAGTTTAAAGAAGGCTAGCAAGTGGTGCTGGGTAGCTGGGGAGTCACTGCTCCACTAATGGTGCGTGCCACTTACAATTTTGACAAAGTATATATACTGTTTATAAGTCTACAAAGCATTTTCCAGTGTGCTTGTGTTAGTCCGAATCAGCAAATATCAATAAGCTGGGATCAGCAATTTCATCTTTCCAGGTGGTCATTGGCTTCCTGTCCTTCTTGTGGTCATCTGGAGGGAGGCCTTTCACTGGTGTCTTCTACATAATTTTAGTCTGGTGCAAATGCACCAAGCTTTTTATTATAGATAAACATTTAGTCACTTTGGCACAAGATCCCTTAGCTGTACCGCAACTTCCTCTGTTTTATTCTAAGCATCAGTTGTTTGGCTACTTCATTTCTTCCTTCCCATCCTGTTTGTAAATGGGTGTCACATTGGCCAGCTTCCAGTCGTCTGGAACCTTACTAGTGAGCTAGCACTGTCGGTAAAGGATGGAGAGCAGCTTTGCAAACTCATCTGCCAGCTCCCTCATCACCCTAGGGTGGATCCCATCTGGGCCCATGAACATCCAAGATTTATGAACATCCAAGTGGCTCAGCAGTTCTCTGACGGCCTCCTCCTGCATAACAGGGGATCATTCTGCTCCTTGACACCATTTACCAACCCAGGAGGACAGTTGTCCTGAGGATGAGCCATCTTCCCACTAAAAACTGAGGCAAAGGCGGCATTGAGCACTTCCGCCTTTTCTTTATCTGCAGTTACTAAGTTCTCTTCTGCATCTGGTAGAGAGCAAGGATTGGTCTTACCCTTTATTTTGCTATTAATATTCATGCAAAAATATATTGTTTCAGCCTTTCCTCGTAGATGAGTTGTTCCATCCCTCTAATCATCTAAGTGGTGAGTTGGTGAATAAGGACTTGACACTTAGAATTGTAAAGCGGGTATGTTATGTCCAGGTGGGACACGTGGGGCATATTTTCTCCATACATATACTTGTACTTTTCTCCATACATGTACTTGCAGAGACAGGTTTCAGGTTTAAATACACATTGATCTCCCAAGCCCACATCTCCCTGCCCACCCATTCCCTGCCCACTCTGTCTCCTTGCATTTCATATTATAATTAGTCTTCTGTGGTGCCATGCCCCCTGGGGGTCTTAGGCAGGGGTCTACTTGATGAAGTAGCATCTTTTTCCTTGGTGTTTGCCGCTTGACTTCTTCTGGACAAGCACAGTGGAGGTTTGGCTTTCTCCCAGGTCACTTTGTCCTGGCCAAAGCCAGGAGCCTCGTCCTGGCTGATTTGGGTTCTGCTTTAGAACAGAGCCCAACAGTACCTGTTTCAACAATACCTGAGTCTTGCTTTACTGGGTTTTCTTGTCTTTATGGTCTTTACATAGCAATTATATTATTTTGTGTTCTATTACAACTTGTTTCTACATAACACGTTGCACTCCTGTTACAAGTTTCATTCTGTACTTTTTGCACACTTGCTAACTAATCTGTATGTATTTCTGTTTTCTCCACCTTGAGTCGCCAGTTTTGTTTTGTTTTGCAGTCTTCTTTTACCCAAGGTTTGGTATGTGAAATGCTTGAGAGAAACATCTGCATGGTGACTATTTCATGAGTGCAGCTGCCCCTGCCAGCTAATCATGTAGCTGAGTTGTTTGTGTACAAATCTTTCAGTCAGTATTTCACAATGTGGAGCAACATTTAGACTCCTTTTGTAAATATATCTCATATTTTCTTCTGCTTGTTTAACCTAAGCTCTGCATTTAAGATAACAAAATACAATAAAGCATTTTAAAGGAAACAGTAACTAAAGTGAAAAAAGTAGACTTGGAATTCTGTTATTTAAATTAGATGGCGTAAAAGTTTGTCTCCTAAGCAACCTAGCATAGGGGGCCCTAGGGACACCTGAGGTACAATTTTTCCTTATCCATCAGCACATGAAACCTGTTCATAGAAGTTTGATTGAAGCTTGTGTTTCTCTGAAAATATTGTATATTTGTAGTTTTCTGGTACATTCCCAGACTCTGGCTTGTTGAGTTGATTTTTATTTCTGGTCCCTGGACTTTTTTATCTGGGTGGAGAGACCCTCGTAATAGGATTGACCAATGTTCTTCCTTTAATGTGAGGAAGAACACGTAATTATTTCCATGGAAATCAGTGTTCCGGTTCATTTGGTTCAATGTAATAATAAGAACAAAGGAGAGAGCTGCAGAAGGAATGAAGTTGTGGTAAATAGATATGATTTGTGCAGAAAAAATTGAAACAGTAATCAATATTGATTCAGTAATTAATACTTGGAAATAATAAAACAGTTAAAAAGTGTAATGCCAAGAAAGAAAGGGAGAGGAGGGGTTCCACCCCCCACCCCCTTTCCTGCAGATATTCAAGGCAGGAAAAAGTAAGAGATAACAGTTACTAAAAATAAACAGAAAGAAAGGAAAATCTGGTTGGGTCGCAGGAAAATGCTAGTTATAAGAGATTTATTGCTTTGATGCTTAAATATAATATTATGTTAGTTTTGGCTTACATTTTACTAGCTTGGTGTGCATGTGTAACCCAAGGGTGAGTTGAAGGACATTGAGGAAGAGAGCCTTCATCAGAGACGACCCCCAAAAAGTGGTGCAACCACCAAAAAGAGTGGTGGAGCATGCACGGTAAAGGTGGTGATGAGGGCGGAGGTAGAAGCATGATGAATCAAAAATGGGAGAGATGGCATTGACATATGGCATATAAGGGGGAATTTTAGCTTGAAAAACTTGTACATGAGGTGGCAGGGGTCCAAGAATCCTGCCCTCCATATCCCATGTGGTTATTTTTTTTGCTTGTGCGCTATTATTGGAACCAAATTATCCCTTATTTTAACCAAATGATATTGTGAATATTTCAAGTGTATCCGATTTTATGTATATTAAGCTCTTCAATTGAAATTGCTGCTACCTCTAATATTGTTTGGGTTTTTTGATATTGGGATAATTGGGCAAATATAACAAAGTGACCAAGTGGAGGAGGCTTATTACTGCTGAAGAGTGGTGGGATGATTGGTTTCCCAGTCAGTGCCCTGATGTGTGCTGTGGTAGGCAGCAGTACTCTAATGAGGACACAGGGTGCATGAAGCCACCATGCAAAGGTGCCCACTTGGGAGACCTGCTGTAAACTGATCAGATGATTTTTTTTTTCCCCAAGGTGATGGAATGTGAATGGATGCTTAGTGTTGGATTAGGTCTTTGTGAGAAAAACTTAAAAAGTTTAGTTTGTCTTTAAGTCTGATCTTTTGTTTGCTGTACGTGACCATTGTAGTGTAGAAATACGAAGTAACAGCTTGCACTGGTGAGGACAGCAATTTCTCTCTCTGAAAAATGTGCCAGTGGAGTTTAGGTTAAATTAATTCACTTCTCAAATACTCTGTGTGTTGATGGATACACAGAACTAAAGTAATTCTTAGTGAAGCTGATCATCATGTTGACTAAGTAAATAAAATTACACTGGTAAAGACAGGAATTATCAGATGGTGAGGTGTGCTGTGATTAATATTTCATTTTGTTTACATGATTCCCATGTAATTTATGAATGCCTAAGTGCTGCACTAGGACACTTCAAATAGCAGCTGCTGGAATTGTGTTTTACTCTTTTAATTGCTTTTGATAGTATCAGAGGTCATGTAGGCTGACTAAAAAGTCATGGTGCTCACTACCATAAAATTACCTAGGAAAAAATGGAATTAGTTATCCTTGGTTTTGGGAAGGTCTCAGCTGTGTAATGAATTCTCCCCCCTGCCTCATCCTCCTCTACCAAAATGCTTCTGGTTTCATGTGCTGAATCAGTGCTGTTGGATGTGCTGGAACTGCACAATGCCCATTCTGTAAGAACTGGAACACAGCCAGCTTGGCTGTGCCAACTTCTACCAGTTCCCTGAGTGGTTAGTATGACTTTGGGGTCTCCAACCACCAGGGACCACCAAAAAGACACCAAAAGGACAGGAAAATGCATGCATAAAGGGTAGAAAATGCATGCATAAAGGGTAATAATTTGAGGGAAAATATTACCGTGGGTATGTTTTAAATTTAGATATATGTAGATCTATATGCTGATCTGGAACAAGCTCTAGTACCTTTCCAAACTCCCTATAAATAATTATCACCATGCCAAGCAAAATAGCTATTCTAATCTGTGCCGCTCTACTGTAAAAACTATGTTAGGGACAATCTCCAGATAAGAAAATAAGCCTAGGGGCCAGAAAGGTATTAAAAACTCAAAAAAATCTGGGAACCAGAGATACATGAAGGCCTCCACCCAGAGAGACATTATCAATTCAAGCGATATGGCTACTGACTGCTTTATTCCAATACAGAATAAGCATAACCAAAATGCAAGCAATACAAGGTTTTTCCACTCAAGCCCCACGTTGGGCGCCAAAAAATGTATTTGTCCTGGTTTAGCGCAAATATGGGAGGAAGCTGCAAAAAGGTCCCTCCATTAAGCAAACCCTCCCTGGTTCAGGTAAAGATTTCCTTGGGGAAAAGTGGAAAAATTGTTTATTTAACATGCAAAGTATTCACAAGCATAAAAAATGAAAAATATTAAACAGCAAAACCTCTCACTGTTCTGAAAAGATGGCAAATTCAGAAAGTCCTTGTCATGAGGGGTAGCTCGGCTCACTCAATCTCTTATCAGTCCCTCCTGTGCTGGAAAATGCCCTGGTGGACCACAGGTGTGAGCTCCCAGTGTTCTTCTGGGTTTTCAGTCCAGAGCAGGTTTGAACAGTTCCAGGAAAAAGAAAAGCTACTATTGGTGATGAAGTAAGAGAGATGGGGACTCAGTGTGATGGTCAGAGAATCCAAGTTTATTGTGGGATACAAATGCTTATAAAGTATTTTAGAAAAATTCGCTCTTAGAAGCTGCTGAAACTTCATTCTCATATATCAGTCTTGTATAAACAGTTCTGCCAACAGAAGCATAAACAAGTTTTGATTATTACTTATGTTTTAAATAAGTTGAAAATCTCCTGAATGACCTACAGAAAGAAGGGGTGCTGAAATTTAGTCATTAATTTTAGCACTTTACTTGAGACTACTCAGCTTTGAGTTAATCCTACCACTGAAAAATACGCAAATGAGAATGTCACATTTTGGTTATTGATACTGTAGTCTTCAAGGTTGTGATTTTGGGGCAGGGTGATGATTGTTTGTTTTGAGCTAGGCTATCATAGTTATAAGGGAAGGTTGTTCTTATATCTGTGTCATAATTATACTTTGCTATTTGTTTGTTAATGCCAGTTTTGTTGCTCTGTTTATTTAGACATGCTGCGAAAGAAAAATCAATGTAAATTCAACTAATGAATTAAAATGCATTTTTCTGGGCACAGATAGTTTGTGGCCAGATCACGATACAACATTTTATCTTATGTTTAGCTCCAGCTTTGGATGAAACAGCAGGAAGCATGAAAGAATAGCATGCACTTTCTCCTGTTAATTTACCTATTTGTTTAGTGGCACGCGTACAGTGGGGTGTGTTCTATGGGATTTTGAATTTATTTTTTTCTTTGCTTGCATAAGAGGGGGTTTAATTTTTTCACTGTTGTATGTATCTGTAAAGGTTTTTTCTTTTCATTTTGCAGGAGGAAAATGGCTGAAATTCTTGGACCAACATCCATCCATGATGAGGAATCCTTGGAAAGCAGAATGGTGGTTACGTTCCTCATGTCAGGACTCGAGTCAATGGTTAGTAGAGAAGTTAAATTTTGGCATCATAAATGTGTCTTGGTATTTGCAGGATTACATCAGTATATTGCTTCCCACTGGGCAGCAGGGAAGGTGGATTGTTGTATTCGTAATGTGTGTTGTCCAACCAGCTGTAATTGTGGTTTGTTGTTTGTGGTTTATCTTTGGTTGTGATGAATCATGCTGTCAGTAATCTTGTTTCTTGTTGTGGTGTGGTTGTTTTAAAAACTATTTTGTCAAATAAATGGGAAATATTTGTTGATTGCTTTGGTACAGTGTGAGTGAAAGGTAGGAGTATGTTCTGGTCTTTGTCATATGTAGTGTAGAGTGAATAAATGGTTTTGAGGCTAGTGCTTTGTCTTCAGCTGCTGTAGAAAATCTACAAAACTTGTTCAGGAAATACTTCTTTTTGTTGGCATATCATCTGTTTTTTAGAAGTTATTAAATTATCTGGTGGGGTTTATGGTTGGCTAGGGCTGTGAGTGGAAATGCCTGTCCCATTTCCTTGAAATTGAGGCACTGTCCAAGATTTGTTTATTTAAAATTGGGGTTTTTAAATGGTAAGCAAGAGTTTTCTTATTAGCAATGAAGCTTCGAGAGGAATGATTATGAGACAATATATTGCAAGTCTTTTATCCCATTGTCTCTTAAAGTCTTTTTGTTACTTTCTCCTCCCATGCTGAACTGTTGGTGTTTTTATAGATGGTAACAAACTCTGATTTAGTTCCTAGGAGAGACTGACCTGTGATTGCTACTTGGTCATCTCACCCGTTTTTTTGGAATCCTTGTTCTCTCCAGAGGCTTCCTGCCTTGATTCTTGCCAGAAATTTCTCCTGGCAGAACATATGTACGTGTTTGCAGGGATGGTGCAATCCTTCCATTCAGGGGCCATTCACCTGGGGCTGGGCAGACCACAGGGAGCTATCCTGCTTGCAACCACACCTTTCTCAGCAGAAGATGGTGTGGGAGAAATGTGCTGTGAATACACAAAACTTGCGTTTGCTTTGTTGAAAGTTGGAGTAAGACACTCAGTATGATTAATGTGGAAGTGGTAATTTAATATGGATTAATATCATAAATCATTTTAATTAAAAACATTCCAATTTCTGAGTCTGTACAAGGTCTTAGTTTGCTAATGAATCTACAATGCTTTTAAGAGTTCTGATGAAAAGCATTCCAGATGTGTAAATTGTGCTTTGCTACTGGCTGATGTTATGTTGCTCACAGTATCTTCTGAAGGGTGGATGCTGGCAGCAGTGCAATAATTGTTTTACATGAAATCACGTACATTTTTATTAACTGTATCTTAACTATGATAATAAAAGTTTTTTTTTTCTTTCTGTAGTGTACAGAACTTTCCAAATCCAAGGCAGAAATAGCCTGTATTGTTGTATTTGCAAGAAATGTTTTTGTTGTTGGAACTGAGAGAGGAAAAGCCTTTGTCAACTCTAGAGAAGATTTTAAGACGGATTTCATGGAATACTGTAAGTTTCAATGTTTTATTTTTTGTATGTCACAACCTGCTTAATGTATATTGCATAATATTAATAATTTTGGGAGCAAATTCTGTCTATCATGGCTGTAGGCTATAATTATGTTGGCTAATGCAAATCAATCTGTAGAATAAGCAGTAACAGTGATCTTGTTTATAGTGTTATTTCTACAGTGGCTGGAAATGTTCATGTTTTCTTAGATAATATGAAAACCAGTACAGTAAGAAGTATTAGACAGTTTGCTGTTATAATACATCTACATTTCCTAGTGTGTGTGTTAATTTTGCTTTGTATCCTCTCCTCCAAACTTTTTTTCCACTCAGGAAGAGTGGAGGAAGGCAGTGAGCAGGTAGAGAAGTACTTCTGTCAACTCAAGTGGTCCTGGTTCTTGAGATCACTTCATGCCTTACTAAAGCAGATGCACAGTTTTGATAAGATGGTATCTTTTCATATAGCTATTTTATATCCCTTTTATTTAGTAGACAGAAGTACTCATCTGTAACATTATGACTTGAAATTACATCGGCATTAATTTTCTACTGCTTTAAGTACATCTAGGGTGGTTTTTTTTGTTTAATTTCATTTTTACAGTAAAACTGTGCAACTTTTGTGTTCAAAGGACTTGATTCATTGATTCATTCATAGAGGACAGTATTTTTAGTGGGATAGGTTTCAAAGGTTCAGTGATGATTTAGAGGAGCATTGATGCAGTCATTTGGGAAAGTGGTGGTGGTGGATACTGCCTAATAAATAACAAAATTATTTGCCAGGAGAAAGAGAGAAGATGGAGATCAAAGGTAGGGTATGATAGAAGAATCAGTCTGATTAGGAGTTTAAAAAACTGTCAAGTTGTTGTTGTCAAGTTAAATACTGCATGGAAAGCAACTGCATTTAGTGTGTAACAGAAAGACTTACTCCCAAAAATGCTTTTGCTGCTACAAGAAATTGTCTTGGAGGCTCTGTCTCAAGATGAGTTGTTTGTGGTAGGTGTCTTAGTTTGAAAAAGACAGGTGTCTGTTAAGGAAGGCAAGAGCCTCCCTTGAAATGGAAAAGGTAACCCCTCTCCCTTTGAATTATTCTAATTTTGAAATTAATGGGCTCTCAGGCAAAGATATGGGAAGACGAATAACAGTTCCTTACCAGGAAAATTAAAATACAAATGCAACAGTACAACCAAAACCAAACCACAGCCAGAGTGAGAGCAGTCCCTGCCCCCTGTGTGTCAGGGGGTGTCCCAGCCCCATCCCATGGGGGCTCAGCCCTCCTGCAGTGCCAGCTGTGGCTCTGCTGCAGCAGGGATCCTGCACAAGGGGGGAGTTTTCCTCTGCAGCTCCAGGGCTGCTGCAGATGGGCCTGGGCTCCCTCTGGCCATGCAGGGCAGCAGAAAGCTGCTCCTCTGGCAATGCAGGGGGCAAAGGCTGCTGTGCTGTGCCAGGCTCAGATTGGATCCAGGGAGGAATGCTTGGCTCCTCCCCTGGGCGGGGCATCTCCCCATGGGATGCTGGGATTGGATCAGCCCTGCAGGGACACTCAGTGGCCATGGACAACAGAGATCTCCTGGAGGGAGGGTTGGCTGTGGGAGAGAGAAAGAAAAAACTGCCCCAAGGACAGCAGAGAACTGCCCCAGCTCTGACAGATGGGGATAGAACACACACACCCAGCCACATCTCGCAGCCTAAGACAATTGGGCTCTGTTTTACTCTTTTTGTTCTACTGGCATGAACAGTGACTTTCTGTGTACTTATTTACTCCAAGGAAAGTCAACACAATGTTGGGTTGTAACAGATCGCTGATATCAAAATGTAGAATTGTAACTTGATTGCAGAATCAAGTAGAAGATGAATCAATTTATTTTTCTTTTTCCTTATTTTTTCATTTTTTACCGGGACAATCTTCGTATGCTGTTGTTTATGAAAACTGCTGTCTGAGTACTGGGGAGGGAGTTCAGCTTTTCACCTGATTGCTTTTCTTTATTTTGTTTTTGTTGCCTAATGTCCTAGGTATTATGTTTTATTGCCAGTACTGTGGTATCATGGACCCTGATATACCAGGGATTTTCATGTACTGGACGCATTTATTGGTAGGGAATCAGAAATTATGGGGATTTGCTGTTTGATCTCCTGGCTAAATCTCTGTTTCAGATTTTGTAATGTGGGAAGCACTGGCTTCTCATCCATGCTTGTATTTGGCTGTGTGAGATGTTTCTGTAGATGTAGCCTGTGTTTAAATCCTACATCAGTTTTGATAATCCTCAGCTTTTGCTTTATTCCAGTTACAAGATACTTGTTCTTGGGTTGTGTTTTTGTGCTGTCAGGCTGATAGGACTAAAGAATGTTAACTTTGAAAACAGTATTTCCATTATGATTCTTGCAGAACATTGTGGTGTAGATCTGTGTGAACAAAGCCAATATTGTCAGTTGTTGCTTTCATGGTTTCACTAAGTGCACATCTCCCACGCTTTCAGGGGACTCTTGATGCTGGAAATAGTTTTCTTTTGTCCCTGAGAGCGATGTTGATAATTCCAGAAAACATTACTTCAGAACAACAATTTTTAGGAATAATAGCATTACATATTCCTGATGATGCTGATTCCATCACTGCTTTTGGCAGCTTTGAGGTCTTGATGAAGTTTGTTATATATCATTTGCTCTAAAATGTAAATCTGTGGAGGCAACAGTTCCTTGTTGCATTGTTTCTTCAGTTGAGTATGAAAGCGAGCAATAGGCAGTGGTAGTTGAGATTTTAATAGGTGTTTTATAAGAATCCAGGAAGGACAGTTCTTTGTATATTTAACAAGTGAAACTTGAGTCCTTCTTGTTACTTTAGGACTGATAAAGGCTTCTAAGAGATTCTTACCTTGCTGTTAGAATTAAACCTTTAAAAATTAATCTGTGATGTCAGTCCCTGGAACACATCATGCTGACAATACTGAGAATTATCTCTCCACTTGTGGGTGCCTTCATATTTCTTTAAATATGGAAACAGAAGTCTAGTTGCTAAGCACACCTCTGGTTGTATCTGACTCTCTGTAAGCCAGCACAGTCTTTACTTCAGTCTTTATTTCTACATTTTTCACAGTTCCTTTGTGTAATTTGAGTAGTGTATGTAGCATTTTCAGAATTTGTAGGGCTCAGGCTTCAAACCCGCTGCTTTTTTAAAATGAATGAGTACAATTTACTGGGCTAAACTGATGAAATGTGTTTATGAGGTTTCTGAAGGAAGTAGTGTGTCACAAACATCTTTTCATAAAAATCCTTTCTTTAGGATTTTTCCTCCTTCTGAGAAGCTGTGGCCTTAGCAACAAAATGTAAACAATGGTTATCTGCTGCTGTGGAATGCAGCAGGTGGATCTGTGATTGGTCTCCTGTGGATGTTTGGATTTACTGACCACTCACGGCAGAGCTGGGTCTCGCTCTCTGCTGAGACACAGGCCTTTGTTATTCATTCCTTTTCTATTCTTAGCTTAGCTAGCCTTCGGAGAACTTTCTCTTCTATTTCTTTTTAGTATAGTCATAATGTAATATATATCATAAAATAATAAATCAAGCCTTCTGAACATGAGGTCAACATTCTCGTCTCTCTCTTCATCCTGCAACCCTTGTGGCCACGGTCACAGTAGTGTGTACACTTTTTAGTGGTGTAGAACTGATAAAAATAATAGTGGTTCAGTGAAAGCAGCACTGGATTTTGGTTTCTTGTGGCTTTCATTCATGATGACCCTGACCCACATGGGTTCCCTAATGCCTTGCTGCAGGGCAAGGATGAGCCCTGACCATAGCCCATTTACCTTATTACCTTAAGAAAATATGTTAGGAATTAATAATAACAACACTTTTTAAAATTTTAGTATGGTTGTGTAGTAAGTGTTGAAAAACCAGTCAACAGGCATTAATTATTTAAGACTGAGTCAGATAATTTATTTTTCTGAACTCTGCTTAATGAAGATGGTTGTGAGCCCTATGTCATGGTGAAACAGACTGTTTCAATCAGTGTAGAGCTGCATGTTCTTGTATCCAGAACATGTGCCTTGGGTAACCTGCAGTGTCAGACATTTTAGGGCTGTGTAAGTTTGTATTGTATACAGAAATAGCATGTTCTTTGAGGACCTGCTCATATTGAGCTTATGGACAAGTGTAGATACTTCTGCACTGTAAGCAATCAACATCATATACATCTTGCTCTAACAGTGCTACTCCTTTTTTTTTAGTTGCTGTCCCCTGCTAAAGTGTACTGTGTGGTCCTCAGTTCCCTTTGCATGGCCTTGGCAAGATAAAGTGCCTCTGGATTGTCATCTCTGGATTGCTCTGGAGTTGTGGGTTATCAGCTGTCCTGAACAGCGGACTTACTCCTAGGGATCTGAAGAATGCTGTTCTCTTCAGTGTTCATCTTTGTCATTGTGGCAGTTTCCCTTGGGCTCTGTGGAATTCATTCTCATTTGAATGTGAGCTGGAGATAGTTTATAAGGCATCCAAAGAAACCCCAAAACCCAGAGGAAGCCTTATTTTCCCCAGGGAAATAAGAGAACTTTCTGTCAAAAGGGAAACTTTCAGAAGAGTTTCCTGATTCAGAAGCACCTTTTTGGTCACCTGTCCTGGACTTTGAAAGATATTTACCCAGCACCATGTGTTCCTCCATCCCATTTGCCAAGGAGACAATTCTTCTCCAAGAATCCCAGTTGCCTCTGCTAGCATTTCCACTGGTACTGGCTGCTACACCACTGATATTGCAGAGAAGCTTAATTCTGCTAGTTCTCCAACTTCTGGCAGCTCTCCCAGTCATGCTGCTTTTGCCTTCAGTGGTGCCAGGGCTTTGGGCTCGCTTGCCTGAGATGGGGCCATCTTGCACCTGTAGATGGTTCATCTTGGATAGGTCCTTCATTTTTATTTTTGGAGCCTTCATTGTTCTCCTGATGGCCTTGGGTTTCCACACTGATCTTAACAGTGCATCTGGTATGGGCCCAAGTTTGACTTCAAGTCCTGCTAGAGACTTTGGGCCAGGGTCTTCTATTCTTCTTACCTGTAGCTCCTTGTCCACCCAGCCACAGGTTGGGAGAACTCCTTGTAGGTTCAGGAATGCTCAGAATCTGGGTGTTTTTTATGTAAGAACACATTCAAGAATGACTGGAATGCAGTTCTCCACAAACTAATGGGAAAGATTGGTCAGCTTTGGCTCCTCAGTATGGTTTTTTGGTATGTGAGTATCTGTTTCCTCTTGGATGTATTCCATAATCTGCAGACAAGTAAAATGATTTTTCCCATTACCTAAGCTACTGTGGCCCTGCTTGAAGATCTACAGCTGGGCTTCTGTCTCCTTGAATCCTTCTGAGTAACTTGTACAGCCAGGTTGCTTGGCTTGATTGCCACAAACCTTTAATGTTCTGTCTCTGCCTAGTCAGCTAAGGAGTGTGAAGTTAACAGCTGGTTTAAAAACCTGTGGGGAAAGTTCAGTCCCATTTCCTTGGAAATCACACGTCTTGTTTCCTCAAGAGTTGAAAACAAACAGAAACTTAGTGTAGGTAGTCAGTATTTCTGAAATTTCGTGCCTCCTAAATTCTACTTCAGGTGATTTGCTTTTTGTGTGGTTCAAGTGATCCTTTGGTAATGATAAAATTACTTTACTTTAATTTGAGGAAATTTTCCAATTTCATGACCTGTAAAGATGGATGGCCTTAAAAAGCTCACAGATAAATTGAGTGAATGATATTATAACCAAAGCAAAATGTTTTTAGCTGTGCACCCATTTACTTTCCCTCTTTCATTGCAGTAATTTTCCTTAAGTGCAAATAATGAAATACATGTATAGGAGTGGTGTCACAAGATTGTTGTTGCTCTTAAGTTGCCTCTCAGAGTTCCTGTGCAGGGGTCACATTCATATTCTTAAAATTACTTCTTGTTTTTCTCTCCGTGAGCGATTGAAAGACACCAGATTAAAAACCTTCTGATATTTTAACTGCTATGAGACTGACAGCTCTTTTGCTAGTGGAGTCCTGAGCTCTGTCAGCTTCAGATACCAAATTGTGCCAGCAGTTCTCTATTGAGCATCTCATCTTCAGTTTTTTTTTGAGGAAGTTTCAGTTAAGTAGATTGTTTTTCTGCTAAAGCTTGATTTCTTTGTTTCTTATTCTTTGGTGAGATGAGGACAGTGCTGGATTTGTAGCTTAGAATGGGGCCAGCTGGGAGATTCCTTTTGCAGCTGAGTGTAATGCTGGACTGTCAGACCTGGAGGGAAGGATATTCTAAAGAACCCCAAAACATCTGAACAGTCAAAGAAAATAAGAGACACTTAAGCATTTATTGACTCTCATTGCAAAATGAGGGTTCTTGGGAGTTGTGTAGTTGTAGTCCTGCTGAATCCAGAAGAGTAGTGAAACTAATTCCCCAGGATGCTCTCAACTGTGCAGAGTGCTATTCTTTTACCATATAACCATTCCTCCCCTTTGTGAATCATAAATCAGCCCCTTCATCCCTCTTCTGCACCAGATCTTGTTGCATATGTCCTTGACATCCCCTCCCAATCCTGCTCAGGGTTCCAGTAATTGTGGCAAGGGCTTTGAAGAGCCTGTGAAGTTGTGTAACCTCCAAGGGTGACGAAGTGAAGGGAGACGACCATCCGACTGATGAGCATCAAACTCCGATTTATTGATCCACCAGGCACATTTTATAACAGTGTTAATTAAGCTCATACATATTGCAAAACCCGAGCTCATCATAGGTTGCAGATTACACATTAATCCCTCCTTTTGTTTTCAATACCTGTGGTTTGTTATTGAAACCAAGATTTGTTTTCTCACCCTGATATGAGTGGTTCTCAAGGCCTCCATGTCTGTCACTTACACTTTCCCAAAACAGCCAAGGACAGAATGTTTACCTGTTATGAAAAAACAGCCTGAGAACTCTGCTGTTTATAGAAATGTGCCTGAGAACTTAGCTGTTTATAGAAACAGGCTTGGGAACTGTTGCTTACAGCTGCCTTTTACTTTTCCATCAGCTGTATATTTTCATGGCCTCTTTCTTTGAGCCATGTTTGAACCAAGCTCTCCACACACGGTTCGTGTGTCCATCAGCAGGGCTAGGAGGAGTGAATGCCTGCTACTTTTGATCACTTCTGCAGGGCTGTTACAAATCTTGCTGCATTTGAAACTTAATCTTGTCTGTGAGTCTTGATTAAAATCAGCCAACGATTGTGGGAGAGATTAGGGAGGCACATGCATAATGTGATCTTAAGAAGATGCATAAAAATCATGCAATGAAAAAAACCCATAAGGGTTTGTCTTCTAGTTAAGAAAGTTTCTCCACCTTTCTGTCTGCTTTTCATTTTCATATGAAGAGGGCAGTGTTGTCATCTTGATTTTGGTTTGTTTATTATTTTTAGAAAGTGTGGGTACACTTTCTGAAGCTGCTGGCAGTAAAGGCATTTTCAGTGAATCAGTTTCTTACATAGGAAAAACACCCACTCAAAAAGCTACATTAGATGTAGTTGTAAATGGAAGCTGATGTCTTATCCCAAGTCCACAGGCAAATCCTAAATGCTGTCATTAATTAGGCACCTGTGTTACAGGTATATAACAATATCCCACTTTTGCATTATTTTTCATGTTCTGATAGGCCCTGTCATACTGCAGAGAATGCAAAAGTTTCAGGCCTGAAGAGCTGGCAAACTAAATGTCACATGGAGGTGGGTTTGCAGGGCATGAAGCAGATGTATGATCTGCCCAGGAAGGATGAGATTCTCTTTGAAATGAAAAAACAAGTTTTTAAGATGATAAATGTGGTTTTACTAAAAGCATTGCTGCTTCAGCTCATTTCACAGCCCATTTGTAATCAGTTGTTCAAAGTGATGTTTGTTTTCTTGTGTCAGTGTAGAGTTCTGATGCCAGCAGTCCTGGTGATGCACATCGCAGTGTTTCAGGCTTACTGCTGTGCTGGCTCGGGGTGAAGTCATGACACAGCTTCAGCACTGATCATGCTCTTGCACAAAGGAACACAGATCTCCCTTGCCTTTCCTTCAAGGTAGGCAAGCATACCTCTGTTGTTTGCCTCTGCTTTTGCTGGATGATTCTCAGTAAATCTTAGCAAGAATTGAATTATGAGAAAGGAAGGCTGCCACCCAAAGCCGTCGCTTCTGTTTGCTTTTTAATCTTTTTAAGACTGGAAGTGTTCTTACTTCCTCAGTTCTTTTGCAGTGACTTTTGCTCAGAGACTAGAACAAGATGTAGGGCTGAAATCTTCTCTGTTTGAGTGATGATGTCTTGTTTGTAGCTCCTCTTATTCAGCAGTAGGAAGTGTGTACTTAAAATGTCCTTTGAAAGAGATGAGCTGTCATGGCAGAAGTCAGATCCCTTCTGTAAAATGTTCTACGAAGCACATACAGAATAAATAAACCAGGACATAACAGAACTGCTGCATAAGATGACATGCACCGCACTAGAGAGCTATGGGACCCTTCACACTGGCATTTTACCTTTTCCTTGGTGACTCTGTTGGTCCTTTTTTTCTCGGCAGTTTAGCATTTTATTTTGACTGTATTATCCTCCCGTGAGATTAATTGTGTTTTCAACCTCTTCATGCCAAAGAAAGCCTCCTTGGATGTGTCTTTTAATTTGTCATTCATGTTCTTCAGGGGGTGATATTTGTACAGATTGTAGTGAGGATATAATAATTCTGGTGTAAATTTAAATTTGCTCATTGCTTATATACATAGATGTGTGCATTTGCTTCTAATAAAAGTAAACTCTTGCAATTTCCTGGCAGGTTTCCTGCTTGAGAATCTCTAGTGTAAAGTGGTGGGACTAGGCACTTCTAATAACTTACTGTTTTGTGCTTGTCTTATTTTTCTAAATAACTGCCAGGTGTTACAGAGGAGGGAAGGCTTCCAGAACTGCAGAAAACAAAGACTACACCACCTGTAAACAGACAGACACTGGATGCTGAGGAGCTGGAGGCTCTTAGAAAGTCTGTGGAGGAGTTTTTCTGCTTTTCCTATGGTGGGTGCTTTAAATTCTTCTAGATTTTAAAATTTTTATTCCATTTGGGAGGAAAAAACTGCATGAACTTAGCCTTCCAACTACACTGCTGTTTTTAGAAACTTTTAGTAGCTGTTTCTGAAAAATACACATGTAGTGGTTCTTCTTGATGTGTTTTGTGGGATGTGATTTGAGATCATTGCACAGTGCACATTAGTGCCAGCAGTGTTTGGTTTTCTGAGAAGAGTTGCATCCACACTTTGGTTTTGCTCCAGTTCTGTCCAAAGTTACAAAGTTTTGTCATCCTTTTGCTAACTTCAGCAGTCTCAACACCAAAACAACTCCTCTTTTTTTTCCAGGTAAAGCTTTCGGAAAGTCAACAGCAGTACCTGTGCCATATGAAGAGATTCAGAGGAACCAGTCTGTTGTGATAGTGCAGGGCCTGCCTGAAGGAGTCTCATTTAAACATCCATCAAATTATGATGCTTCCACCCTGAAATGGATTTTGAAAAACAAATCAGAGATCTCATTTAGTATCAACAGGTTATTTGCTCTCTTTCTTGTGCTAGTCTGTCCAATTTGGTTTTGTACTTCTGTAAAATTAATTTTAATTTTAAAGTAAACACACTGCAGACTGTTTCTGTTAAACAGGAATTCTCTCTATAATGTACACTACCAAGTAATTAACAATGTCTTTGCTAAAACTGAGTTTTTCTTCCCATATTTCCACCCAGGCCTTTCGTAGAACCAAAGAAACAGACAGGTAAGTTAATGCTTATTCAGACTAAACAGAAAAAGATTAGAATTTGAGTTTGGGTAGCAATATATGTGGAGCATTTGGTCATGTAAATAAAGTGGCAAGCTGTGCAGAAATTTCTAGACTGTGAGTTGCCTTACTTATAAGTAGCCCTTTCCTATAAATAACCCTTTCCTTTATGTGTTTGTCAGGAGCAACTCATTATATACAGAGATAATTCATTCTGTTTCATTCTTTGTCTTGATCAAGTCCATTCTGTTTCATTTTTCATCCTTATACTCAATTTCAATTTAATGTGAATTGAATAGTATCCTAGGAGAAGGAGAAGTCATAGGAAAGATTGCTTTCAATTTTTAGAAGATGCCAAGACATTCTAGTGCTTGGGTTCCACTACCCAGCTGATTTTGGCATTTATATTTAATTTACAAAAGTAATTTAATCATCTGAAGTGGCTAGGTGTTGTAGTTCCTATGAAAACTTCTACACATGAAAAATTCTGAGCTAGAGTGAGAATTGTAAAACTCTAGAGAGATTCACTTCTGATGCCGAATTTTGCCCCAAAAGGCGAGAATAACTGCCTAAGAGACTCAATTTAAGTCAGCATAGACAGGAGGTATTTTATTACGACGCGTCGGAGAAATCACAAAAGGGATTTCTGAGTATCTTGTAACAAAAGCAAGCCTTTTATACAGTTTTGAATATAAAGTTACATCATATCACATGCATAATCATGTTTTTGCATGCATATTCATAAGAGGCATGGTGTAGGCGGAGCGTGGGCGGAGACATCTCTTTTGAGGATCATTTTGGTGGTTGTTCCGGTTGCCTTCATCGTGGGCAGGGGTCACCTGATGAGTCTTCCTCCTTAAACTTTTGAACTCCTATCCTAATATGGCCAATTCCCGGTGTACTTGGCTTGGTCCCATGGCTTGGCAAGGCTCTTAGGGTCAGTTTGACATTGTTGGCTCTGAACATGCTTAGCCCATCAATTCCCCTATCCCTATCTCTCTTTCCTGTCATTGTGTTCCATGCCTTAGCCGATTTATTGCTCTATATGTTTCCTAAGTGCTATGCTTTCTTCGAATGTTTCACATTCCATGTTTTAACTCATTATTTCTTGAAGGCTATCCATTTTGGGGCTTCACTTCTAGCTTAGGAGAAATCCCCTCTCCTCTTCCTTTTATGGTGTCATGTTGCTTTACTTGCTAAATGCAGAAATGTGGGGATTTGTTTTATGAAAATGATGAAGCAATCTCTGTAGGATGTAGTCCAAAAGGAAAAGTTTAATTTCTTAAGTAAAAGAGCCAGAAGTTGATGCTTGATTAGTAAAGTTAGATGTGTTGCCTATGCTCAGGTTGAGGACTAGAGATGGAATATTATAGAAATTCTGTTAATATAGTACTATCAAAAATACAAGGCAGGTTTTCCATGTGCTAAGTGACATTCTAAAGCTGTTTGTGTCTCAGTGCAGTTTAATGGGATCTTTCATTATGTGTGAATAAGGAAAGTATGCACATATGCTTGTAAAATGTGAACAGGCTTTTGCTTTGTGAAATCAATGTTATATTTTCAATTTGTGTTTAAAGTAAATGGAGTTCAGGAAATTCAAATATTGTCTTTTAACTTTCAGAAGCTGATGTGACAACTCCTTCACATTCAGTTATACCCCCACTTGAAAGGTGAATTTTAAATAATGTAGATTTTTTAAAAAATCAACTATCTATTTTCATGTTGTTATCTTTGTCTTAATGTGCTTTTTCTGCACATCTGACCTTTGAATAACTTTTGCTTACTTGGCATTATAAGAAGCATGAGGCATTATAAAAAGCATGAAGCTCAATCTTCTCCTTTGATCATTATTTGTGAGGAAACTGTTACAAGTTAAACAAATGGCAAAGTTTCTCTTTAGTTTAATTAGCCCAATGGGTGTTCTTAATTCACAGTCTGTTAGTCAGGGATAAGTTTGCCATGTTTTATGGTACAGCAGTGAGGGAGAACAGATGTAATGTTTCTTCCTTCCCCCTCCTCAATTTGAAAAAAGTGATTTTTTTTTAAATTAGTAAATGAAGATACTGTATCTGTAATATACCAAAAATTTGTAAATGTGAAAACAGGGATCAGTTTTCTGTATTTCTGTGTTTGCCTCTCATTAAATGGTAAACATGATCTGAATATTTGGTGTACCTCAAAAAAAAAAGTAGGGATAGGAGATTGCTGGCAATTCAGTTGTAAAAAATCAGATAAGCCAATATGCAGGGGTTTTTAATTTTATGTTCTTGTTAGAAAAAAGTTCTGGGAGATTGATTTTGCTTAACAAGCTATAAAGCTTTAAGAACTTACTAGAAATCTAAGGTTTGTTTTTAATAATGTCATTCTGTTTGATTTGTTTAATTTTATAGTTGTCCTCCTGTTCAGGTGAAAACAGAACCAAGCAAGGATCCTGGTATGTTCAAAATTTTGCCTTAATTTGCAGGAAAAAAAGCAAAAACCCCCAAAAAAACAAACAAAAAGAAAAAAAGAAAAAAACCCCAGGTTATGTTAGAAGACTGAACTTAGGCAAAAACAGAAAAAAAGAGCTCCAAAAAAAAAGAAAAGTAGCAAATAGACATCCTTGGTGACACAGAAAAACATTTCTTGCCTTGAAACTGTCTGTTTTTCAGTTGGAGTTTTTATCAAATATTAAACCCTAGCCAAATGCTTCCATTTCAAGAGGGAAATTACGATTACAAAAATTTGTAATATATTGTAGACTAAATTTATCTTTATGTAATTTAGAGAAGAATTTAATTGTTAATATTCCTAAAATATTGAAAATAAAAAAAATGTACATTTTCTAGCTAAAATAGAAATTAAAAGTTCATAAATAACAAGAGGTATTATTTGTTATTTAAATATTGCCAGATGATTCCTAAGTTGCTCTGCAGGTAGCAGATGATTCCCCAGGGCATTGTGATCTGTGGCAGAGTAATGCTGAGCTGTGTGCTGTGAGATAAAAGCATGGACAATCCCATTACAGCCAGTGAGGCAGCAGGTGTGCTGGGAGATAAACTGGTGCCTTTCCCTTTTGCTGGGCTGAGCTGCACTGCTCAATTTCTTATTAGAATTAAGTTTTCATATGTGGTTCAACTTTTTGCTCTTGTTATTTGTGCTTCACAACTTGAAATTTGTGGTTTAGGCACCCTCCATTTTTCATGTTTTCCTTGACATACTCAAAGCATTAACATGAATTTTTTGCTAAGTCACTCCCAGACTATTTCCAGTGCTGCCTTTTAGGCATTTTAAGTAATTCTCAGGAGCTTTCCCAGGACTTTTAGCACAATGAGTGATAAAATATATTTTTTCCTGTGGTAGCATGCAAAGAGGAAGGAGCCAATTTAAAAAGTATTCTTCAGATCTGAGACAACATCTTCAGGGGAGCCTGGTTTGTAGGGAGGTATTTAATCCTAGATTATTTCTGGGGTTGACCAAACTGAAACATAAGAAACCAGCAGGTCACTTTGTTACCATTGTTTTAGCTCAGCAAATGTGTAATGTTTTGTATTTTTTTCCTTTTTCTTTTTTCTTTTTTTTTTTAAATAGAGACCAACGAGGATTGTGGTGAGTGCATTTTTTTGTTTTGTTTTTTTGGTGGTTTGGTGGTTGTTTTGTTTTGTTTGTGTTTGTTTTTTTTGTGGTTGTTTTTGTTTTAAGAATCTGCTTATTATTGTTTCCATATTTGATTCCTTTGTTGCTTCTACAGGAATTTCTTCCAAATTGTCAACAGTAACATTGAAACAGGAAAAAGAGGATCCTAACTACTATCAATTTAATACTCCAGGTAATGATACTAATTTTCATATGTGTTTATCTCATGAAATGATTGGTTGCCTAAGTGTTGATCCCTCCATGACTCTCTTTTAAGTAATTTTTGGTCATTAAACATGCAATTACTTAGCTCTGTTAGGATACAGCATTTCCTATCATGTTATTTTGAAGAATACCAAAAGAACAACTTCATCCCAAACCCATATGTGTGTGTTTGGTCTGAAGAAGTTTTGAAACTGCTTGATGTACTTTTCTGAGGGTACCATGTGCAGACTCTATAATTCAATGACTTTGTTAAACAGGAAATAAACCTTTCTAGTGATGCTTTCTAGAGCACTGCTTGAATTTTTTCTTCAGTTTAAAGTTTCAGTAACTTTTATACACTGTACATCATATAATCAGCCAATCTGTGATTCTGTGAATGGAAGTGTATCAATCACTTCCTTTGTAGGAATGACCAGTGTGTGTCAAAATTGTATTGAAAGGTTTATTTATGTGGACAAAGCAAAACAATATTTATGAGGCCCATGGCTCAGCCTCCATGTATGTTTTAAATTTTCTCCCAGTTCTTTTGCCTCACCTCCATGTATCCAGTTTACACATTCACCTCAGCCAGGAGAGAACAGAAATTGCTTTTTCTTTATGTTGGCATGAACAGTAATTAAGAAATTGTGACTATAAATGGCAATATAAAAAAAGTAAAACCTTAAATTTATAATTTCAACCTACATGTACATGTCATTAGGTTAATTGAGTAATACAAAGAAACATGGGCAAGCTGCCACACATCTCTCAATGACAGTTACATGTTCAACAGTGAAGTGCAAAACAGCACATCCCTTAATTTTATGATACTGTATATTATTGAGATAACATTTTGTGTGTGTTCAGACATGAGGATTGTTGAGACTATTCTCTAATGTGCTTTCATAACTAAATATGGGGATCTGGAATCAATACTTTCATCCTGGCATATCTCAAGAATATAAGAGCATCATTCAGAGAGTCCTCAACCATGGCATAGCAAAGTGTCACCCTTTGAGTGCAGAACTGGAATAGTGTTAGGATTATCTGCTCTTCATATGTGTACACTGCCTAGCCTTGGAGTCTTACAGGCTAGGCAAATTAGTGGTTTACAGGAATGATTTAATATAGTAAAAGTAGATACTGGTGTGAAGACAACCTAATCATTGTTCCTTCCAATGCCAAATCTTCCCATTCTTTTGCTTTTTGTCCCCATTGTGGTTTTCCATTTCATGCATACAAATGATGTCAGAAATTGGCCAATAGACCACAGTGTAACTCAATGCCATCTGAAGAGAGTCTGCACTGAAATCACTTCTTTACAAAATAGTATCCATTGCACTGCATCTGAAAAATCCAAGTCATGCAAATATGCTTCCAGAGTGAAGTCTAAGCACACTTGACAGGGGGGATTTCTGTTGTCTTTCAAAGAACTCCAAATCTTCTGATTGATGGAGAGAAATATATATCTTTTTCTGATAAAGTGATGCTTGAGGGATGACTCTCCCTCTCTGCCTGCAGTGCAGTTGTCCAAAATTGCATTTAAAACAAGACAGAACTGAGTATATTGGTAGAAGTGATGGGGTGCTGTGTGCTAAAAGATGTTTTCTCTTTCATGTCAAGTCATGCTGACTAGACAAGTAAAGCAGCTTCCCCTTCATTCTCTGTGTAGCTATCACTCAGATTCAAGCCAAAGGTTGTCCAGACTATAGAGCTATAAATTCTGGAGGCACATAGGTGTTTGTGTGTGGGTGGTGGTGCTGTACAAGAAGTGAACCTTTAAAAAGTGGTTATTCTGAGGGGTGTTCCTGAGGAATAACATAGTATGCCCCAGCATTGCCTTTGGAGAGATGTGCTACAAAATAAAGAAAACAGATAAGGTAAAAAATTTTGCTAAAAATAACCTACAGCAAAAGCCAGGCTTATCCATTTCTGAGAAGAAATAACTTAAGTATTAGGGAACAGCAATCTGCTTGGGCTTACTGGAGAAAGTGATTCACTGATAAAATTTAATGGTTGTATTTTCTCCCTAAGTGCTTCCTCTCAAAGATCTGTAATGCTGATCAATGTGCTGTGTGCCTGGGTGGCACACTAACTCTTCCTGTTAATCAAAGAGGGAAAATTATATCTGTAGGTGGATGTTCTTCTCATCTCAGTTGAAGGTTGCACCGTTTAGATGTTGCCATGAGTTAATACTGAATTAACTCATGGCAACATCTAAATTTAGAATTGTTTTAGCAGTACCCAATAAGATGACTGAGAAATAGGGACTCAACCATCTAAAACTTCATGTGGGAGTATTGACAGAGAATAAGGGGCAGTTTTCTGTCAGTGGACTCTAGAACTGTCTTAAGTTACAAAGTAAGATGTAACCAAAAGTGTTCTATTGCCGTCTTCATAAGCTGTTAGAACAGATGGGGCAGTGTTCCTTATCTCTCCTCCATGACTCATCCCTGATAACTCTGGGGTCTGTCTCTGCTAATGGGCCATCAGGTCTCTCTGCATGACTGATAAATTCCATCATCCCATGGAGAGATGCTCTGCCCAGGGGGAGGAACCAAGGATTCCTACCTGGATATAATCTGAGGCTTGGAACACCAAGGGTAGCCTTACCTACTGAATTCCTAGTGGACAAGAGTTACATAACCACCACTGCACCTTCAGAGGAAGACCAGACCCTTCTACAGGATCACTGCTTCAACAGAACCACATCTATTACTCCAACAGATCTACAGCCACCATTTAATTGGACTGCTGCCACCACCCTGACCAATAGGATATCACTTTGTATTCTCACTCTGTCAGTTTAAGCCAGTGTTTTCTCTTTTTGTTTTAATTTTCCTGTTAAATGGTTGTTCTGATTTGGAATCTCACACTGGTTTGCTTTCAAACTAGTGCAAACTCTATGGCAGTGGATGTTTTTTTCAAGTGTCCAGGACAAATGTGAGAGTCACTTCAGTGTTAAATTTGGCGGAGAACCAAAGACAACCTCTTCTGGGAAAAAGGTCCAGATTTTGATGATTGACTAAATGAGGAAAAGGACTGAGTATTTATCATCAGGACTAAGTGACACATCCTGGGGCATTCCAGCTATGTTAGCTGGTGTTCCTGCATGTGCCTTACCTGTAAGTATCAGTGACTATGGCTCTTATGAAAAGATACATAACTGAGAATACTGTTTCTTAGTTTAATGGTTTAAATATAATTTAGTATTTTTACTAGCAACTAACAAATTAAATAATAATTTCTCAAGAGTCAGATGTATTTTCAGATTTGAGAACACCCCATTTGTCCTATATAAAAACAAACCTTTTTAAGTGTGGCACTGCTGGGTGGATGCTGAGTGCTCAGTGCTTTATCATCACAGGATAAAGCAGGGTTTTTTGGTGGCATAACCTATACAGAACTGAATTATTTGCTGACTTACAACCAAACACTTTGTAAAAGTGGCATGTTACCCTGTAAATTTTGTGAATGTAGGTCTTCACTGATGCCTTGAAATTAAAACGGAGAAAAATGGAAGCAGAAGGAAAAGGCTGTAAACAGTCTGTCCTGTGAATTGTCTGGTTCAGTTTTTAAAACACCTAGAAGTGAGTAAAAAAACTGCCTAACAGCTTTTTTTTTTTTTTTTTAAAAACACCATGTAGCTGAACAGTGCTGTCAGTTTTGGAATTCTTGACAGTGTTATTGAGGCAGTTAAAATACAGGACATTAATCCAAACCCAAATGAGATTGAAAATATCATCTTCTACAAAGAAAAAGCCCAAATGTGAATGTAAACTTTGCATTTATTCTCACTCTGAAACCTTAAAAGTAATGAATGTCTCGAACAACAAAGTATTTCTTCTTTGGAGATCTCTCAGAATACTAGACATAATGTCCATTTTAATGGAGCTAAATCTGTGAACCTAGCCTGGCATGTAACACTGAGTGTGCAGGTATTATCTTAAACCAAGAAATTCCAGAATATATAGTGAGCACAGTGTTGTGCTTCCTGAAGGGAATCCCATCTAGTTCACATTGCTACTATATAGGTAGCCTATAAAAAGGCCAGAAAAGTGAGCATTGCTTATCCCTGAGGTGATAAATCCATTCCTCTGCCAAGTGGCACAGGTTTGGCTGTGTAGTGTTAGGGCATTAGGACATAATCCATTGGAAACTGAGGCTGAGAGATTTGGAATCAGTGTTTTAGTAAATAGTGTGTGAGTGGGTAGACAAAGAATAGCTGTGACTGTTGAGGGAGTGACATCTACTCTTGTTTTTAATGGATTTGTTGGAATGTGAAAAATCACCTGTTTGTAACAGACATTTCAGGAGTTTAAAGTTATGCCAACAGCCATCTCTTACACCGCACTGCTGAATCCTAGACCAAGCACATGCTTTGGGTGCAGTGATCTGTCCTGTATTTATCTGCTCATGAAAGACCAAGGTTTGGTGTGGGTGTTAGAGAGTTCCCAAGTGCCTGTGCTGTGTAAGAGCTGGCTCTTTGCTGAGAGCTTACCTCTGCTTTCTCTGGTTCAAGGTGAAGCTGCTGAGCTCTGCCTACACATCTGAAGTTCAGATTCCAACACATAAACATACTGAAAGATTTTACTTCTAAGGTGTCCTGTGGTTTTAGTAATTAAATTTCCCACTTCTGTGTCCATCCTTCCTCCTACATCCTTCCTTCACCAGTAGAATTTAGTTCTTCTTTCTTGAGTTTTCCTTTTTTCTGTTTTGTGGTTTTTTAGTATCATTATTTCTGGATGGAGCTTCTTTTGATCTGGTTACCACTGTACTTGATTTTTGCTTTCCTTAGTTATGTCATATCTGTGTGTTTCTGCCTGTTGTGTGCATTAATGCAGTAAAGTGGAAATGTATCTGGTTTTATTAATGTCTCTTGGTGGTAGAACTCTTTACATTTAATTTTCTAGTCTTTGCTGTATTAGGATAGCAGAATCTATTGTTTGGTATGTCTCTGAAACAACTTTTTCATACTGCTTTTTTCCTTTGTTCAAGCTTTGTAATATGGAAAAAATGTTCAAGTTTTATGAAATCATCTCTGTTGGTCACTTTTGAAAAAAAATCTAATGGTTTTACTACGTGTACTGTAGTTTTTATTAATATTACAGATAAAAGGACTGAGTTCTCTGTGCTTAATCCCAAGGGCTGTAAATCTACTAAGTTTATCTTTTTAACCAGAGAAATGTTTCTTCAAGTTTAAAAGCATGAAAGACTATTAGTTTTCCTTTTTTACTGCTGTCACAGCATGTATTTGGCACAAAGATAATGCAATACAGAGAATACTTCAGAATATGAGGGTAAAACAATCCTGTCAGGATTTCTGAATTAAGCAATAAATGCAAAACTGTGCATATTTTGAGATATTTGGTTGTAGTGGTGTCAGGGTCCGTCCTAGTGGACAGATGACCTGATGGTTCGTAGGAATGATCTCAGAGTGCAAAACACCAACACGGTACAAGGGGGTTTGCAGTGATAATCAAAACAAATGCAGTTCTATTGAAATAACTACAGCAAAAATGCAATAGAGGGATTAAGGGAGAGAAAAAGAGAGAGAAAGAGAGAGAGAGGGGATATAGCTACCAACACAGAGACGAAGTCCTTTGGTGCAGTCCATCTGAGGGTCCGCCTGCTACGCTGGGGAGATCTCAAAGGCTCTGGCTAACTCAGAGGTTTTTATTACTGAAAATCTTGAGGGGGGGGGGAACAGATACAATAGGGAACAGATGTAACAGGTAGTTCATGTTTTCAGCAGTAAATGAGCTTGATAGATGTAACAGGTAGTTTATGTTCTCAGCAGTAGGCGAGAGCCATTGTATTCTCAGTCCAGTGGTCACAATCTGCAGGCAAACATCTCGCTTTGGTCAGCTTGCCTCCCCCACACACCTCCCCTGGGCTGGGGGTTTCAGTCCCAGTCCTTGGAAGGAGCAGAGGGGCCTTTTAGCAGTTTCATGTCTCAGTCCTTGATGGAAAAGCTTCTCACATCTCCGTCTGTCTGTCACGGTGGTTGTAAAACAGGTGAGGGTCTTCGGTGGGAGAACACCTGGAACTCAGGAGAAGTCCAGCCAGGCCGAGAGCTGGGACAGCTTCCAGAGCTGCTATTGTTGCAAACAGGGCATGGCGCCCTCTTCTTAGCATACAGCAAACACACTTGTGGAAACAATAGCTCAACACTGAGCTTTCAGGTCTCAGGGCCTGTGGCGTGTGACTTTTCTCCTTCAGAGCCAGATATAGACAGGGGGGGTCTTCTCTTCAGTGGGCTCCCAAGGACAATCGTGAGGCAGATGAGGGAAAATTCTGACAGACTCTCACAAGTGGGATGCATATTTTTTTGTGTCAATGCCTTATGAGTAATAGTAATTGCATGTTCACAGGAGTTCTTAGGAGATGACAAACCTAACTGGGTGCATCTGCTGAATATGCTGATTTAAATAAAAGCAAATTTAGTCCATGGAGACATTTTCAGCACACCCAGGGTGTTGTGTTCTATTCCCACTCACCCCTAATAGTTGCAGATCACATTATTGTTATGAGAATTCCTTCTGCTGAGGCCTGGAGGACCATGAGTGTCTCTGGCTCCTTTTCCTCCCTGTTTTTCCTCATCTTTGGACTATGGTTAGGCTGTGCCAGCATCAGTCTTTGTGGAGCTGTGTTTTGGACAATATCAGGGAGCTCCTCTGAAGTAAACAGATTAAAAAAATAAAAGGAGGGTGGGAAACACCTTCCCTCAGCAAAGAAAAGTGACAGGAGCAGATCTAAGCAGCACTTGCTGAAAGAAATGTGTTTCAAACAAAGAACTTTGCATAGGTTCCTCACAAATGCTGTTCATTTTTAATCTCTGAAAATCTGAATAATCAAATTAGGCAGAACTGTTCAAATTAGCATTATTGTAACCACCTAATTACCATTGTTTTCTTTAATACTTAGATATTCACTTATTTGATGCTGTATATGTATTTTCAATTGACTGAAATACTCATGAAGTCTGATTGTGACAATAGTATTTTCTGTATTTTCTTTCTTACTGTGCAGATGCAATAGAGTTTAGAATATTTCATTGCCTTATTAATTAACAGTAGCTTTTCTCTTGTGGAACTATTAATACCGTGGCTGATACATTTATGAACATATCTCTAAACAGCTAGAATTTCTGGCCACCTGTATGAGCTTCTGCAGATTGCTTCTGCAAATGCAGACAGAAATTATGGGATTTGCACAGAACAATTAGTCCAAATCAGTTCCAATTACTCCTGTTTGCCACACATGGGCAGGTTTTCCATACCTGTGCTGTTTCTGTGGTGCAGAATGGCCTCTTGCTCAGTGTGATGATGTTTGTGCTGTAAGCATCTCACCCTTCTAGCACAGCTGCAGGACAGCCAGAGCAGTAAGCAGTAGAGCTTTAGGAGTGTTAATTTAGTGTTAATAAACACAAATAAACATATATAAATAAACACTAAAAACCCACAAATAATTTAGGAATGTTAATATTAGGTTAAGTGTAGTTTCTGTGCTGCTTTCTGCACCAGTCTTTTTTAAGCAGTCTGTAGTCTTCAAAAGAGCTGTTGTAATGAAAAGTAAACAGCCTTGGAGTGTCATAAATTACTTTAATCCCGTTGAATTTATGTATTAAATGTAGATAGGAATGCCGAGGTCAAAGAATACTCCTTAGGAATATAAACTTTAATGAAGAGGAAAAAGATCTAGCTGATTAAAGTGTCCTTGAAGAAAGGCAGAAGCATCAACATTTCTTTTTAAAAAATTAGGTTATTAGTTGAAATCTGTTGTTCAGCATGAATCTCTTGACTGTTCAGTAAATGCACAATGCTGCCACTAACCCCAATTTTAGTCTGTTGAACCAAGTAAGTAAGGATTTATAAATATTCAGTTTTTAACAGAGTCTTTCCAAAGTTTAACATCACAGAAGGTATGAAGTGAGCATATAATATAGGAGATTAAAAGTTTCTTAGCAAATTCCTGTATGAGCTGGAAGTATGTGTTTGTTGTGAGACACCCTTAAAAACTGTTCTCTCTATTCTCAAGCAGGCCCTTCCAAAACACCAGAGATAGATGAAAACATTGCTCCTGGAAAAACTTACCCAGGTAGATCTTTTACTTGTGTTTTTTCCTCACATCTGTGTTAGAAATTGAATGTGTGAGTTTTGCTTTTCACAGCTTTGCTACTTGATTTGCCATAAAACTGAGGGTATTGGAACTTAAACATGAATAGAAATGAAAATTATGGTTGCTTTAATTTCCAGCTGTCCAAGTAAGCAGACATGTAGATGGGAACTTAATTTCTTCCTTTTCTAAATTTAAAGAGGAGCATCAGGTTGATCACTCTAAAGCACAAGTTGTTTCTGTAAATTGGTATGTTTCTCAAGAAATTCAGTCTGTTTCATAATGACTTATAGAGTTAATAAAACTCAGCATTATAAATTGTAAGTGCAACTTACAATGAGATGTAAAAGAAAATACTCTTCAAAATGCACAAATGCAGCTTTACTCTGTTGGAATAATTAAAATATGTTCCTTCATGCACTACTACTTAATTTTAAAAGAGTTTCTGATACAATTAGCTTCCCTTTGTTTAGCTGTAGTGCAGTTAGGTATAAATTGCTCTTTCTCACAGTGAGTGTTGATTGGCTAATCCTGCTTGTGTTTTTGAGGCACTTTGCCCCAACAAAAGCATTGTGCTCATGAATTTCCCTTCCATGTTTGATTGATGGCCTTGCAGCCAGTTATGGAAATGATCATAGTGCAGAAACAATGTGTCTATAGAGCTGATAAAAAAATCCCTAATCTGTGAGAATGTTGGAAAAGAAATGAAATTTAGCGAAATGTTTAATTACAGTTTAGTTATGAGTTGTGTGTGAATTGGTTTGTTAAAAACAGTTCTGTAGCCATTGATAGTATGTGTTGGGTTTTGTGTGTAACTTAGCAGGTAGTCTTAGGAACTCAATAAATATTTAAACTAGTGTAGGAAAGTAAGAATGCTAACCTGTCTGGAGGCAGCATACAATGTTCTTAGAATAAGATAAGCAGAAGATTTATGATTTTGTTTGTGAACTAAGGAATGTATCACAAGGGGTCTGTGGCTAGGCAAGGGGAACTGTTTCTTGGAGACCTTGTTATGAATCGCATGTATAAAAGGGAAGCACCTGTGCGTGAAGTTGGGGCTCGGACTTGGGACGCTAGTCCACCGGCTCCCGGGCCCTTAATAAAGCACCACACAAAAATTATCCGAGTTTTGTGTCATTTATCAATCGGGCAACAAGAACAGGCAGCCTTTGTTTATATTTTCAGTAATCCTGGGTAAGAGAGGGAAAAATCCTTATGATTGTATTAACCCTACAAAGCCAAGATGATGGAATTCCCTTCAGTCATAGCAGCAGCCCTGGAGTGTAGCATGTGCAGTTTAGCAAATGTAATCCTCACCTCCTGGCCTTTGACTGGAATTGTTCAGAGGCTCATGGTAAAATATCCTCCTTCTATGTTTTTTGCATTCTGTGAGTGCAAGGGGCTTCGTTAACAATGTAGTTTAGATGCAAAGGCATGGAGTGTTTGCTTGAAAATCTTGTCCATGTCCACCATTCAGCAGTCCTGCTTTCTTCTTTCAGAAACCTCCCAGCCTGACTCATCAGAAACAAGTGAGGATTCTGAGGCTGAGTTTGGTAACGAAGGTCAGTTCTCCCCATCATTGATTTCAGACATTTTTATATCCAGAATGTGTTTTCCACATATTGCATTACTTGGCACTGAATGAATAGAATTGTGTGCTGGTGTTGAGTGTAGTTTGTTTTGTGCACTACTTGGTAAATGAACCTGGTGGCAGATTTGACCTGTTTGATGAATTTCATTGGTTCCCATTGGTTTTACAGTGGTTTGAAAATGGGTTTAGAACATTTGAACTCTTCAAGACAAAACATTGGTACTGTGTTTTGGGACCTATGGTATAATCTATATGGTATGATATTACTTCCACTTAGATAACTGCATGGTAGTCCCTAGCAGCACAATTTATTTTGTGATTCCTTTTGCTGTTTCAATGGGGTTTTTTACAATCATGCAATGCCCAGTCATGTTTCAGAAGAAAATGTTGTTTTCCTTAGGAAGTACAGAAGCAGCTTTGTTTTTTGCTCTCCTGTGCTTTGCACAGGCCCTTTTGAAGGAACAAATTGTTCCTTCACAGGTAGGAACAGGAGCTTTCTGAATTTACAGTTAAGTAATTTGTTGCAAAATTTGGTGTCTTGGTAAGCACAGTTCCTTAATTCTGTTAGATTTTTGAAATTCAAAGCAGTTCCAGTGCTGCACACGATTTTCCTGGATATAAAACCAGTTTGGTTTTTTTTTCTTTCTTATAGATGATGATGGTGATGTTGGTGATGATGATGAGTACGTGCCCCCTGAAGAAAGTTTGAGGAGTCCCACTTCGGCTACTGAAGGGGCCAATACTGGGAGAAGAAATGCAGAAGAATTCAGTTTTGGTAAGATAAAAATTAAAGGTGATTTTGTCTCCCTGCTGTGTTTTCTGAAAAAGTTTTGGGTGATATTGTGGTGCCAAAAAGTTCAGTATCATCACAAAAATAGCTGTCACATCAACTGATTACTTAGAACTTTTTGACAGAATTAAGCTAAAAAATTAACATTTTTGGAATTTGATTTAGAAGCATGGGCTCTGTGTAGATGTATTGCAGCTGTATAGTCATCATCATCACCTACCTCAGTTGTTTTTTGTTATTTGACACGATGACGTAAATAGACGCACAGAGTTAGAATTTTCTGGTTGTGTTCTTTCCTGATCCCTCCTTTTGGGTTCTCCACAGAAACACATGCATGCACTTCAGTTTAGTCTGGTTAAAGATGCTCCACCTGGGATTTTTTGTGATCCTCTACCTCTCCTTTGTTCTGTGGTTTGCTTTAGTTTGGACACATGAATCTGTCTGCTTTTATTAGGTTCTGTGCAGTTAGGAATATTTTTTTACTTTACATTTTTGAAGGCAGTCACCAGAATTCTGGTGGCAGTGAAAGAACAGATGTGGAAATACAGTTATAGCCTATGAGATGTGAATGTTTTTTGTGAGGATAAATAGTATGAAGCAGAGTGATGCAGAGTCCCCAGCAAGGTGCAAAGGAGAGTCATTTACTGCAAAAAAGAGATCCTTTTTAAGCAGGTAGCCTGTTATCTGTTACATTCCATTTTAATATAACAGATATAATTCAACCATCCACCCTAAACCATGATGTGAGCATGTCATGGTTATATAATTTGTTTTTCTGCCTCCAGTGCAGCTGTGTCAGGTTCCCATAGTTCTTTTCTGCATAGCTAAAGTAACAGGGCTGAGCCATGATTTTAAAGGGTAACAATGCCCTTGTTTCGTAAGGTTTTACCTAGATGGTTTAGATGCAAAGGCATGGAGTGTTTGGTTGAAAATCTTGTCCATGCCCATCATTCAACTGTCCTGATTTTCCCTTTCAGAGACCTCCCACCATGGCATGTCAGAAATAAGTGAGAAACCTGAGGTTGAGGTCACCATTGAAGGTCAGTACAACGGGTCCTGAATTTCAGTTGGTTGTGCATTTTTCTGTCCAAAATGTGTTTTCCAAAGCCTGCATTACTGGGCACTGAATGAAGACAATTGTGTGTGCTGGTGTTGAGTGGAGTTTAGATTGTGCTCTGCTTGGTAAATGAACCTGGTAGAGAAGTTTTAGAAAACCACAATATACTGAAGCAGATTGGACTTGGTGGGCTGGTTTTGAAACGATGCCTGACAGCAGTTTGTATCTTTGGAGTAATTTTCAGGTGTTGTTGAGAAAAAATATTCATTGAACTGAGAAGATGTTCTAACATTCCTTCATTCTGGAGAACACATTGCTTTATGACCACACTGTAGTTAGATGTAACATTTGTAGTTAAGAAATGCTTCTGGGAAGAATGGTACCAGAACAGAAAGGCAGTGTTGCAGGTGGTGTAAGTGGAGCCTCAAGGTGTCTGCCTGATGTTGGTAACTGTGAGATCCAAAGCTTTGCAGTGAGCAGCTCCCTTTGCCATGCAAGTGGCTCCAAAGCTGCTGAGCAGTGTCCCTGCAGTTCTCATGCTGGGACGTTGGTAGGAGGTGCTCTGTGTTTCTTGTATTTGTGAATAAGTGTCCTGGAGCTGCTTTAAAGCACTGCTGAGATTGGCTTTTGCAGTGCTTGCTTGTGGAATTAGAGTAGGATCACCCAATCAGAAAGTTAGAAAGTAGGCAGAGCATTTGTGAGAAAGTGGGCACTTCTGGCATTACTTTCATTGTTTTACAATGCAGCATGGAAATAACTCCACCATTACCTTGACAGAAGAGTTTATATGAGAGGAGTCATGAAGTTCTACTCTTATGTAAAGGCCTTTAGCACAAAAGTAAAAAACCATTTTTTTTCTTTTTTTCTTTCTTGAAGAAGATGATGATGACTATCCACCACCTGACAAGAGGCAGAAGAGCACCAAGTCGGCTAATGAAGGGGCCAGTACTAGGAAAAGAAATGCAGAAGAGTCCGATTCTGGTAAGATGAAAATTAAAGATTATTTTATTTCCCTACTTTGTTTTATCAAAAGATTTTGGGTGATTTTTTGCTGCCAAAAAAAACCAATATCTTGAAAAAAAAACCTGTAATATTAACTGATAGTTTAGAACCTTTTTGAGAGAATTATAGAAGCTCAAAACTTAAAAGATAAAGGGCATTTTTGGAATTTCATTTAAGAGCCATGGCTCTATGTAGATGTATTGCAGCAGTATAATCATCATCATAGGCAACCTCTGTTGGTTTTTGTTATTTGACACGATGACGTAAATAGACTGATAGAAAGTTGGGATTGTCTGGTTATGTTCTTTCCTGATCCCTTCTGTTGGGTTCTCCACAGAAATGCATAGATGCCCTTCAGTTTAGTCTCGTTAAAGGTGCTTTACCTGGGATTTTTTGTAATCCTGTACCTCTCCTTTGTTCTGTGGTTTGGTTTGGTTTATGGGCACATTAATCTGTCTGCTTTATAAGGTTCTGTGCAGTCAGGAATATGTTTTTTACTTTATATTTTTGAAGGCAGCCCCCAGAGTTCTCATGGCACTACAGGAACCAATGTGGAAATACAGTTAGAGCTTTTTTACAACCCTATTTTATGTTCATGTCTAGTAAAACAACTCCTAATTCTTCCTTTTTGTAATACTTTGCATTTGCTAGTTATGTACCCAGCACTGCCTTTGAATTTGACCTAAACATGATACTGATTTCCATGAGCTGGATGATGTATTAGACATGGTTCAAGTATACTGCAGTTGAGGTGTCCCAGTAGATAGAGCTGAATTTCTGATCTACATCCCTCATATTGTGTGAAGAGAAACCTTTGAAGCAAAGATTCCTTCAGCCTTGCTCCCAAAGTGATACCATACCCCAGCTTACAGAGATCTAAAGGAAAATACTCTTCAAAATGCACCAGTGCAGCTTTACTCTCCTGGAATAACTAAAATATGTTCCTTCATGCACTGCTGCTTAATTTTGATAGAGTTTGTGATACAATTAGCTTCACTTTGTTTAACTGTAATGCAGTTAAGTATAAATTGCTCTTTCTCACACTGAGTGTTGATTGGCTAATCCTGCTTATGTTTTTGAGGCACTTTGCCCCAACAAAAGCATTGTGCTCATGAATTTCCCTCCCATGTTTGATTGTTGGCCTTGCAGCCAGTTATGGAAATCATCATAGCACAGCAACTATGAGTCTGTAGAGCTGATAAAAAATCCCTAATCTGAATCTGTAGGGACAGGCAGCCTTTGTTTATATTTTCATTAATCCTGGGTAACAGAAGGTGATTTATGATTGTATTAACCCTACAAAGCCAGGATGATGGAATTTCCTTCAGTCATAGCACCAGCTGTGCTCTGCTGCATGTGCAGTTCAGCAAGTGTAATCCTCACCTCCTTGCCTTTATCTGGAATTGCTCAAAGGCTCATGGTAAAATATATTTGCTTCTTTTTTTGTTGCTTGCTGAATGCAAGGGGCTTCCCTGACAGTGTTGGTTTAGATGGAGAGGCATGGAGTGTTTGGTTAAAAATCTTGTCCACCATTCAACTGTCCTGTCTTTCTCTTTCAGATTCCTCCCAGGATGACTCGTCAGAAGCAAGTGAGGATTCTGAGGCTGAAATCACAAGTCAAGGTCAGTTCTGCAGGTCATTGATTACAATTTTTTGGGCATTTTTCTATCCAAAATGTGCTTTCCATATATTGCATTACGTGGCACTGAATGAAGAGAATTGTGTGCTGGTGTTGAGTGTAGTTTGGAATTGTGCACTGCTTGGTAAATGAGCCTGGTGGTGAAGTATTAGAAAACAGGTAAGAACAGGAGCTTTCTGAAGTTACTCAGGTAAGAAATTTACTGCAAAACTTGGTGCCCACAGTTCCTTATTTCTGTGTAAGTTTTGAAATTCAAGGCAGTTCCAGAGCTATGCCTGGTTTCCATGGACAAAAAACCCACGTTTTTTTAAAATTGTCTTTTTTAGATGATGATGATGATGAGTACCTGCCCCCTAGCAGGAGAAAGAGGAGGAAGAGGAACACCAGGTCGGCTAAGGAAACTGCCAACAGAAGGAGAAGAAAAGTACAATATTTCAACTGCAGTAAGATGATTTTATCTCCCTGCTTTGTTTTACGAAAAAGTTTTGGGTAATTTTGTCCTGCAGGAGTGCAACACATTAGTGCAAGCCTTCGTTTTAGACCCTGGGCTCCATGTAGGTGATTTGCAGCAGTATAATCATCATCATAGGTATTTTTTGTTATTTGTCATGACACTGTAAATTGATGCACAAGAAGTTGAGATTTTCTGGACGTGTTCTTTCCTGATCCCTTCTGTTGGGTTCTCCACAGAAAAACATCCATTCACTTCAGTTTAGTCTGGTTAAAGATGCTTCACCTGGGTTGTTTTGTGATCCTCCTTTATGCTGTGGTTTGCTTTGCTTTGTTTTGGTTTATGGGCACATTAATCTGTCTGCTTTTATTGGGTTCTCTGCAGTCAGGAATGTGTTTTTTACTTCATATTTTTGAAAGCAGTCACCAGAGTTCTGATGACAGGACAAGAACAGGTGTGGAAATACAGTTAGAGCATTTGAGATGTGAAGTGTATTTGTGGGGATAAATTAACATCCTAGGATATTTTTTTCACAGAAATATTTGGAAAGATGTAGCCTAATTTGAATTGTAAATCTTCTCCAACCACTCTCTTTTCATATTTCTACCAGATTCAGTTTTCTGATTTTTGTTTTGCTTTACTTTAAATCACACCACTCTGGGGCTTGCTATAAGCAAATTGTGAGGGTAGTCATCATTATTTTAAGTCATGAAAGTCAAATCACCCAAAGTTTAGTGGTTTGGCAGGGTGAGAACAGTCCATCATTGTCCTGCTGGCTTCTCTCTGAGCTCGTGGCTCTCCAGCCTGAGCTGTGTGCTTTTCAGGGCAGGTTTTGCTTGCAGCAGTGCTCCTTCTTGCAAATGCTATTAGTTTTGTTTGGAAGGTGGGTATCACCATAGTTAGGGGTTACCATTACATGAAATTCAGCAGCAATTCTTCTGATAAAGGAAAATGAGTTTCTGATACCAGTAGTTTCACTTTGTTTAACTGTAGTGCAGTTAAGTATAGATTGCTCTTTCTCACAGTGAGTGTTGATTGGCTAATCTTGTTTGACTTGTTGGGGCACTCTGCCCCAGCAAAAGCATTGTGATCATGAATTTCCCTCCCATGTTTGGTTGTTGGCCTTGCAGCCAGTTATGGAACAGCATAAGGTAGCACAGTAATCATGAGTCTGTAGAGATGGTAAAAAAATCCCTAATCTGTGGGACAGGCAGCCTTTGTTTATATTTTCAGTAATCCTGGGTAAGAGAGGAGAAAGTCCTTATGATTGTATTTAGCCTACAAGCCAAGATGATGGAATTCCCTTCAGTCATAGCAGCAGCCCTGCAGTGTAGCATGTGCAGTTTAGCAAATGTAATCCTCACCTCCTGGCCTTTGGAATTGCTCAAAGGCTCATGGTAATATATCATTGCTTCTACTTTTCTTGCATTCTGTGAGTTCAAGGGGCTTCTTTCACAATGTTGATTTAGATGCAAAGGCATGGAGTGTTTGGTTGAAAATCTTGTCCATGTCCATCATTTAACAATCCTATCTTTGTCTTTCAGATTCTTCCCAACATGACTTGTCGGAAAAAAGTGAGGATGCTGAGGTTGAAGTCACTTTTGATGGTCAGTTCCCCAGGTCATTGATTTCAGTTGGTTGGGCATTTTTCTATCTAAATTCTGTTTTCCAAACCCTGCAATAATTGGCAGTGAATGAAGAGAATTGTGTGCTGGTGTTGAGTGTAATTTCAATTGTGCACTGCTTGGTAAATAATATTGGTGGAGAAGTTGTAGAAAACTACAATATACTGGAGTATATTGGACTTGGTAGGCTGTAGAAAGCGAAGGGAGACGACCCATCCTTTGATCAGCATTGAACTCCAGTTTATTGATCCATCATGCATATTTTATAACCGTGTTAATTAAGTTCATACATATTGCAAAACCCGAGCTCATCATTGGTCACAGATTACACAGCAACCCCTCCTTTTGTTTTCAATACCTGTGGTTTGTTATTGAGACCAAGACTTGTTTGTCTCATCCTGTTATGAACGGTTCTCAAGGCCTCCATGTTTGTCACTCTGCTTTCCCATAACTATCCAAGGACAAAATATTTACTTGTTATTAAAAAACAACCTGAGAACTTCTGCTGTTTACAGAAATGTGCCTGAGAACTTTGTTGTTTACAGAAACAGGCTTGAGAATTGCTGCTTACAGCTGCCTTTTACTTTTCCATCAGCTGTATATGATTATGGCATGTCTGAACAAAACTCTCCAACAGTAGGCTGGTTTTGAAATGATGCCTGACAGCAATTTGTATCTTTTGCATAATTTTCATGTGGTGGTAATGACAAATATTCATTAAACGGACAAGATGTTATAACATCCTTTCATTCTGGAGAAAACATTTATTTATAAACACACTGTGGTTATATGTAACATCTGTAGTTAACAAATGCTTCAGGGAAGAATGGTACCAGGACAGAAAGGCAGTGTTGCAGGTGGTGTAAGCAGAGCCTCAAGGTGTCTGTCTGATATTGGTAACTGTGAGATCCAAAGCTTTGCAGTGAGCAGCTCCCTTTACCATGCAAGTGGCTCCAAAGCTGCGGAGCAGTGTCCCTGCTATTCTCCAGTCTGTTCACTTGTGTGTGTTTAAGGCAGATTTGACCTGTTTGATGAATTTCATTAGTGTCCATTGGTTTTACACTGGTTGAAAGTGCGTTTAGGACATTTGAGGTCTTCCAGACAAAATATAGGCACTGTCTTTTGGGATCTACTACTGGTATAATATTACTTCCAGTTAGATAACAAAGGTAGTCCCTATCTGCACAATTTATTCTGTGATTCCTTTTACTATTGCATAGCTGTTTTATGATCATGCCAGGCACGTCATATTTCAGAAGACAATGTTGTTTTCCTTAGGAAAGTAGCTATCTCCTTAGGAAGGTAGCTTTCCTTAGAAGTACCTTTCTTTTTTGCTCCCCTGTGCTTTGCACTGACACTTTTGAAGAAACAAATTGTTCCTTCATCGTTTCGAACAGGAGATTCCTGAATTTACGTAGTTAAGTAATTTGTTGCAAAATTTGGTGCCCTAGTGAGCACAGGTCCTTAATTCTGTTTTAGTTTAGAAATTCATGGCAGTTCCAGTGCTGCACTTGAGTTTCCCTGAACAAAAACCCACGGTTTTATTTAATTGTTTCTTAAAGATGATGAGGATGACTACCCACCACCTGACAAGAGACAGAGGAGCAGCAGTTTGTCTAACGAAGATGCCAATGTTGAGAGAAGAAAAGAAGAAGAGTTCAATTGTGGTAGGATAAAAATTCAAGATGATTTTGTTTTCCTGCTTTGTTTTATGAAAAGGTTTGGGGTAATTTTGTGCTGCAGGAGTGAGACATTTTACTGCAAACCTTCATTTAAGAGCCCTGGTCTCTCTGTAGGTGATTTGCAGGAGTATAATCATCATCATAGACTAACTCATGGTAATATATCTTTGCTTCTATTTTTGTTGCATGCTGTGAATGCAAGAGGTTTCTTTGACCATGTTGGTTTAGATGCAGAGGCATGAAGTGTTTGGCTGAAAATCTTTTCCATGTCCACCATTCAGCAGTCCTGTCTTTCTCTTTCAGATTCCTCCCAGCATGACATGTCAGAAATAACTGAGAATCCTGAGGTTGAGGTCACTGTTGAAGGTCAGTTCTGCAGGTCGTTGATTTTAGTTTTTTGGGCATATTTCTATCTAAATTCTGTTTTCCAAAACCTGCAATACTTGGCAGTGAATCAGGAGAATTTTTTGCTGGTGTTGAGTGTAGATTGGATTGTGCACTGCTTGGTAAATGAACCTGGTAGAGAAGTTTTAGAAAACCACAATGTACTGAAGCAGATTGGACTTGTTGGGCTGGTTTTGAGATGATGCCTGACAGCAGTTTGTATCTTTTGTGACTTCATTAAGTGCTGGTAATGAAAAATATTCATTAAACGGTGAAGATGTTCTAACATTCCTTCATTCTGGAGAAAACATTGCTTTATGACCACACTGTAGTTAGATGTAACATTTGTAGTTAACAAATGCTTCTGGGAAGAATGGTACCAGAACAGAAAGGCAGTGTTGCAGGTGGTGTAAGCAGAGCCTCAAGGTGTCTGTCTGATATTGGTAACTGTGAGATCCAAAGCTTTGCAGTGAGCAGCTCCCTTTGTCATCCAAGTTCTCCAAAGCTGCTGAGCAGTGTCCCTGCAGTTCTCATGCTGGGATGTTGGTAGGAGGTGCTCTGTGTTTCTTGTATTTGTGAATGAGTGTCCTGGAGCTGCTTTAAAGCACTGCTGAGATTGGCTTTTGCAGTGCTTGCTTGTGGAATTAGAGTAGGATCACCCAATCAGAAAGTTAGAAAGTAGGCAGAGCATTTGTGAGAAAGTGGGCACTTCTGGCATTACTTTCATTGTTTTACAATGCAGCATGGAAATAACTCCACCATTACCTCAACAGAAGAGTTTATATGGGAAGAATCATTAAGTTCTGCTTATATGTAAAGGCCTGTAGCACAAAAGCGAGCATGCTCTGAAAAGGTTTTCTCTGACACAGTATAACAGAACTGAATTGGTACAAGATATATAAATATGTGATAATATTCTTGCTAAATAAACCATACTCTTGGTGATGTGGGTGCATGTTTTTCTGCATGTGAAATTAGTTTTCATTGTTTACCCATTTGTTCTCCCTGAGGTTGGAGGTATTGGTCATTGGGCAATTTAAAAAGCTCATTAGCTTAGGGAAGATAGGGATGGATTAGGAAGTGCCAGATTGAGTAGCAGCTCTCTGACACATTACTGGGTTTGTTGTCCTCCTGTTTTTGCACTTATGTGTGTTTAAGGCAGATTTGACCTGTTTGGTGGATTTCATTGGTTCCCATTAGTTTTACACTGGTTTTAAATGTGGTTTTAGAACATTTGAGCTCTCCAAGAAAAAACATAGGTGCTTTTGATATCTACTAGTGGAATGACATTATTTCCAATTAGATAAGAAAGGCAGTCCCTATCTGCACAATTTATTGTGATTCCTTTTGCTGTTGCATGTTTTTTTTATGATCATGCGATGCCCAGTCCTGTTTCAGAAGACAATGTTGTTTTCCTTATGAAGTACAGGAGCAGCTTTGTTTTTTGCTCTCTTGTGCTTTGCACACACATGTGCTTTTGGAGGAACAAATTGTTCCTTCACAGGTAGGAACAGGAGCTTTCTGAAGTTTCTCATGTATGTAATGTCTTGTAAAATTTGCTGCCCTGATAAACACAATTCCTTATTTCTGTTTTAGTTTCGAAATTCAAGGCAGTTCCCGTTCTGCATGCAAATTCCGTGGACAAAAATACAGGGGGTTTTTTATTGTTTCTTAAAGATGATGATGAAGACAATCTGCCACCTGATAAGAGAGTTAAGAGCAAAAATTTGGCCAATGAATCTTCTGAATCTGAGAAAAAAGCTGAAGAGTTCAGTTCTGGTAAGATAAAAATTCTAGATGAAAATACTTATGATTGTACTAACCCTAGAAAGCCAAGAAGATGGAATTTCCTTCAGTCATAGCACCAACTGAGCTCTGCTGAATGTGCAGTTTAGCAGTGTAATCCTCACCTCCTTGCATTTGTCTGGAATTGCTCAAAGGCTCATGGTAATAAATCTTTCCTTCTATTTTTGTTGCATGCTATGAATGCAAGGGGCTCTTTGACAATGTTGGTTTAGGTGCAAAGGCATGGAGTGTTTGGTTAAAAATCTTGTCCATGTCCATCATTCCACTGTCCTGGTGTTTTTTTCAGAGACCTCCCACCATGATATATCAGAAACAAGTGAGAATCCCGAGGTTGAGGTCACCCTTGAAGGTCAGTACCACAGGTCCTTAATTTCAGGTTTTTGGGCATTTTTCTATGCAGAATGTGTTCTACACATATTGCATTACTTGGCAGTGAATCAGGAGAATTGTGTGCTGGTGTTGAGTGTAGATTGGATTGTGCACTGCTTGGTAAATGAATCTGGTAGACAAGTTTTAGAAAATCACAATATACTGAAGCAGATTGGACTTGGTGGGCTGGTTTTGAGATGATGCCTGACAGCAGTTTTTATCTCTTGCATAGTTTTCAGGTGTTGTTAAGAAAAAATATTCATTGAAGGGAGAAGATGTTCTAACATTCCTTCATTCTGGAGAACACATTGCTTTATAACCACACTGTAGTTACATGTAACATTTGTAGTTAAAACTAGCTTCTGGGAAGAATGGTACCAGAATAGAAAGGCAATGTTGTAGGTGGTGTAAGTGGAGCCTCAAGGTGTCTGTCTAATGTTGGCAACTGTGAGATCCAAAGCTTTGCAGTGAGCAGCTCCCTTTGTCATCCAAGTGGCTCCAAAGCTGCTGAGCAGTGTCCCTGCAGTTCTCATGCTGGGATGTTGGTAGGAGGTGCTCTGTGTTTCTTGTATTTGTGAATGAGTGTCCTGGAGCTGCTTTAAAGCACTGCTGAGATTGGCTTTTGCAGTGCTTGCTTGTGGAATTAGAGTAGGATCACCCAACGAGCAATTTAGAAAGTAGGCAGAGCATTTTTGGTAAAGTGGGCACTTCTGGCATTACTTTCATTGTTTTACAATGCAGCATGGAAATAACTCCACCGTTTCCTCAACAGAAGAGTTTATATGGGAAGAATCATTAAGTTCTGCTTATATGTAAAGGCCTTTAGCACAAAAGTGGGCGTGCTCTGAAAAGGTTTTCTCTGACAGAGTATAACAGAACTGTATAGGTACAAGATATTTTAATATGTGATATTATTCTTGCTAAGTAAACCGTGCCCTTGGTGACATGGGTGCATGTTTTTCTGCATGTGAAATTAATTTCCTCTGTCTGCTCTACCCATTTGTTCTCTCTGAGATTGGAGGTATTGGTAAGTGGGCTGTCTCAAAAGCTCATTAGCTTAGGGAAGGAAGGGATGGATTGGGTGGTGCCAGGCTGAGTAACAGCTCTCTGACACATTGCTAGGTTTGCTGTGCTCCTGTCTGTCCCCTTGTGTGTATTTAGGCAGATTTGACCTGTTTGATGTGTTTGACTGGCAGCCATTAATTTTAAACTGGTTTAAAAGTGGGTTTAGAACATTTGAGCTTTTCAAGACAAAACTTTGGTACTGTCTTTTTAGATCTACTAGTGGACTGATGTTATTTCCAATTAGATAAGAAAGGCAGTCCCTACCTGCACAATTTATTCTGTGATTCCTTTTGCTGTTGCATGGCTGTTTTACAATCATGCAATGCCCAGTCCTGTTTCAGAAGACAATGTTGTTTTCCTTATGAAGTACAGAAGCAGCTTTGTTTTTTGCTCTCTTGTGCTTTGCACACACATGTGCTTTTGGAGGAACAAGTTGTTTCTTCACAGGTAGGAACAGGAGCTTTCTGAAGTTGCTCATGTCAGTAATGTCTTGTAAAATTTGGTGCTCTCATAAACACAATTCCTTATTCTTGTTAGATTTTTGAAATTCAAAGCAGTTCCAATGCTGCACATGAGTTCCCTGCACAAAACCTCAGTGATTTCTATTTGATTTTTTTTAGACTCTGACCATTCCTCTGTGTTCCGTGAGACAAGACAGAGGAGCACCAGGTCAGTTAATGAAGAATCCAGTACTCAGAGAAAAAAAGAGGAAGAGTTCAGTTCTGGTAAGTTGAAAATTCAAGAGTATTTCATCACCCTACTATGTTTGATGAAAAGGTTTTCTGTAATTATGTGCTGCAGGAGTGAGACGTGTTAGTGCAAGCCTTCATTTAAGAGCCCTGGTCTCTGTGTAGATTAATTGCAGCAGTATAATCATCATCATAGGTTACCTCTGTTGGTTTTTGTTATTTGACTTGGCAATGAATTTAGATGCACAAGTTGGGATCTTTTGGTTGTGTTCTTTCCTGACCCCTTCTGTTTGGTTCTCCACAGAAATGCATCCATGTGTTTCACTTTAGTCTGGTTAAAGATGCTTCACCTGGGATGTTTTGTGTACCTCTCCTTTATCCTGTGATTTGCTTTGGTTTTTGGTTTAGGGACACATTAATCTATCTGCTTTTATAAGATTCTGTGCAGTCTGGAGTATAGTTTTTACTCTATATTTTTGAAGGCAGCCACCAGAGTTCTGATATCAGTGAAGGAAAAAATGTAGAAATAAAGTTCTAGCACTTCAGATGTGTTTTCTGTGCTTACAAATGACTATCATTGGCAATTTTTTCATTGAAATATTTGCAAAGATGTTGCCTAATTGAAATTGTACATCTTCTCCAATCATTCACTTTTCATATTTCTACCAGGCTGGCGTTTCAGACTTTTGTTTTGTTTTGTTTATAATCTCCCAAATGACACCACTCTGGGGCTTGATATAAGCAAATTGTGATGGTAGTCATCACTATTTTAAGTCATGAAAGGCAAATCACCCAAAGTTTAGTGGTTTGGCAGGGTGAGAACAGTCCATCATTGTCCTGCTGGCTTTGCTCTGAGCACGTGGCTCTCCAGCCTGAGCTGTGTTGGTTTTTACATGTTTCTGTAAGAGAAGTATGGAGAGTTGCACTTGGTTTTGCTGAATAGTGTGAGATGAGGGTCTGTGGTGATGCTGGGTCCCCAGGCAGGAGCAGAGGTGAACCCCTTCACTGTGAAAACCCAGCTTTTTAAGCAGTCAGCTGGTTATCAGTTACATGCTTTTGAGTATGTGTAATCTTCACCTCCTTGCCTTTGTCTGGAATTCTCAAAGGCTCATGGTAAATATATCATTGCTTCTTTTTTTGTTACTTGCTGTGAATGCAAGGGGTTCATTGACAATGTTGGTTTAGATACATAGGCATGGAGTGTTTGGTTAAAAATCTTGTCCATGTCCATCATTCCACTGTCCTGGTTTATTTTTCAGAGACCTCCCACCATGATATATCAGAAACAAGTGAGAATCCCGAGGTTGAGGTCACCCTTGAAGGTCAGTACCACAGGTCCTTAATTTCAGGTTTTTGGGCATTTTTCTATGCAGAATGTGTTCTACACATATTGCATTACTTGGCAGTGAATCAGGAGAGTTGTTCTGGTGTTGAGTGTAGATTGGATTGTGCACTGATTGGTCAATGAACCTGGCGGAGAAGTTTTGGAAAACCACAATATACTGAAGCAGATTGGACTTGGTGGGCTGGTTTTGAGATGATGCCTGACAGCACTTTTATCTCTTGCATAATTTTCAGGTGTTGTTAAGAAAAAATATTCATTGAAGGGAGAAGATGTTCTAACATTCCTTCATTCTGGAGAAAACATTGCTTTATGACCACACTGTAGTTACATGTAACATTTGTAGTTAACAATTGCTTCTGGGAAGAATGGTACCAGAACAGAAAGGCAGTGTTGTAGGTGGTGTAAGTGGAGCCTCAAGGTGTCTGTCTAATGTTGGTAACTGTGAGATCCAAAGCTTTGCAGTGAGCAGCTCCCTTTGTCATGCAAGTGGCTCCAAAGCTGCTGAGCAGTGTCCCTGCAGTTCTCATGCTGGGATGTTGGTAGGAGGTGCTCTGTGTTTCTTGTATTTGTGAATGAGTGTCCTGGAGCTGCTTTAAAGCACTGCTGAGATTGGCTTTTGCAGTTCTTGCTTGTGGAATTAGATTCCTTTTGCTGCTGCATGGCTGTTTTATGATCATGCCAGACTGTTTCAGAAGACAATGTTGTTTTCCTTTTGTAGTACAGGAGCAGCTTTGTTTTTTTGCTCTCTTTCGTTTTGCACACACATGTGCTTTTGGAGGAACAAGTTGTTCCTTCATAGGTAGGAACAGGGGCTTTCTGAAGTTGCTCATGTAAGTAATGTGTTGTAAAATTTGGTGCTCTCATAAACACAATTTCTTATTCCTGTTAGATTTTTTTTTGAAATTAAAAGCAGTTCCAGTGCTGCACATGAGTTCCCTGCACAAAAACCTAGTGATTTCTATTTGATTTCTCTTAGATTCTGACCATACCTACATGTACCCTGAGAGGCGAAGGAGAAGCAGCAGGTTGGTTAATGAAGAGTCCAGTACTCAGAGAAGAAACAGAGAAGAATTCAATTCTGGTAAGATGAAAATTCAAGATTATTTCATCACCTTTTCATTTATGAATAGGTTTTCTGTAGTTTTAGTGCAAGCCTTCATTTAAGAGCCCTGGTCTCTGTGTAGATGAATTGCAGCAGTATAATCATCATCATAGGCTGCCTGTGTTGTTTTTTCTTATTTGTTATTTTGATGATGAAATTAGATGCACAGGAAGTTGGGATTTTTTGTTTGTGTTCTTTCCTGATCCCTTCTGTTGGGTTCTCCACAGAAATGCATCCATGTGTTTCTCTTTAGTCTGGTTAAAGATGCTTCACCTGGGATGTTTTGTGTACCTCTACTTTATCCTGTGGTTTGGTTTTTTTTGATTTAGGGACATGTTAATCTGTTTTATAAGATTCTGTGCAGTCTGAAGTATGTTTTTTACTTTATAGTTTTGAAGGCAGCCACCAGAGTTCTGATATCAGTGAAGGAAAAGATGTGGAAATAAAGTTATAGCATTTCAGATGTGTTTTTTGTGCTTATAAATTACCATCCTTGGATATTTTTTCACAGAAATATTTGGAAAGATGTAGCCTAATTTGAATTGTAAATGTTATCCAACAACTCTCTTTTCATATTTCCACCAGGTTGGCTTTTTTGATTTTTGCTTTGTTTTGCTTTTAATCACCCAAATCACACCCCCCTGCGGCTTGCTATAAGGAGATTGTGATTGTAGTCATCATTATTTTAAGTCATGAAAGGCAAATCACCCAAGGTTTAGTGATTTGGTAGGATATTAACAGTCCATCATTGTCCTGCTGGCTTCTCTCTGAGCCCGTGGCTCTCCAGCCTGAGCTGTGTGCTTTTCAGGGCAGGTTTTGCTTGCAGCAGTGCTCCTTCTTGCAAATGCTATTAGTTTTGTTTGGAAGGTGGGTATCACCATAGTTAGGGGTTACCATTACATGAAATTCAGCAGCAATTCTTCTGGTAAAGGAAAATTAATTTCAGTGCCTGTGCTGGCTGCAGTATTAACTGAATTTATTGGAGAAAAGAAATCTAGGTGGTTTGTTTTCCTCAGCATAATGCAATGTGCTTTATACCTGACTGTGAGGAGGGAGTGTGAGGAAGGGGAAGTGTGATAGGAGATGACCTGAACTCTGAGTGTGCCTTGGTTTTGACTAGAATTTTATAGCTAGAGATGCTGAGTGTGGCCCTTTGAGTCAGACTAAGGCTTTGTAACACCCCTTTTTCTGAGATCTGTTGGTTTTTACATGTTTCTGTGAGAGAAGTGTGGAGAGTTGCCCGTGGTTTTGCTGAATAGTGTGAGATGAGGGTCTGTGGTGATGCTGGGTCCCCAGGCAGGAGCAGAGGTGAACCCCTTCACTGTGAAAACCCAGCTTTTTAAGCAGTCAGCTGGTTATCAGTTACATGCTTTTGAGTATGTGTAATCTTCACCTCCTCGCCTTTGTCTGGAATTCTCAAAGGCTCATGGTAAATATATCATTGCTTCTTTTTTTGTTACTTGCTGTGAATGCAAGGGGTTCATTGACAATGTTGGTTTAGATACATAGGCATGGAGTGTTTGGTTAAAAATCTTGTCCATGTCCATCATTCCACTGTCCTGGTTTATTTTTCAGAGACCTCCCACCATGATATATCAGAAACAAGTGAGAATCCCGAGGTTGAGGTCACCCTTGAAGGTCAGTACCACAGGTCCTTAATTTCAGGTTTTTGGGCATTTTTCTATGCAGAATGTGTTCTACACGTATTGCATTACTTGGCAGTGAATCAGGAGAGTTGTTCTGGTGTTGAGTGTAGATTGGATTGTGCACTGCTTGGTCAATGAACCTGGCGGAGAAGTTTTGGAAAACCACAATATACTGAAGCAGATTGGACTTGGTGGGCTGGTTTTGAGATGATGCCTGACAGCACTTTTATCTCTTGCATAATTTTCAGGTGTTGTTAAGAAAAAATATTCATTGAAGGGAGAAGATGTTCTAACATTCCTTCATTCTGGAGAAAACATTGCTTTATGACCACACTGTAGTTACATGTAACATTTGTAGTTAACAAATGCTTCTGGGAAGAATGGTACCAGAATAGAAAGGCAATGTTGTAGGTGGTGTAAGTGGAGCCTCAAGGTGTCTGTCTAATGTTGGTAACTGTGAGATCCAAAGCTTTGCAGTGAGCAGCTCCCTTTACCATCCAAGTGGCTCCAAAGCTGCTGAGCAGTGTCCCTGCAGTTCTCATGCTGGGATGTTGGTAGGAGGTGCTCTGTGTTTCTTGTATTTGTGAATGAGTGTCCTGGAGCTGCTTTAAAGCACTGCTGAGATTGGCTTTTGCAGTGCTTGCTTGGGGAATTAGATTCCTTTTGCTGCTGCATGGCTGTTTTATGATCATGCCAGACTGTTTCAGAAGACAATGTTGTTTTCCTTTTGTAGTACAGGAGCAGCTTTGTTTTTTGCTCTCTTTTGTTTTGCACACACATGTGCTTTTGGAGGAACAAGTTGTTCCTTCATAGGTAGGAACAGGGGCTTTCTGAAGTTGCTCATGTAAGTAATGTGTTGTAAAATTTGGTGCTCTCATAAACACAATTTCTTATTCCTGTTAGATTTTTTTTTTGAAATTAAAAGCAGTTCCAGTGCTGCACATGAGTTCCCTGCACAAAAACCTAGTGATTTCTATTTGATTTCTCTTAGATTCTGACCATACCTACATGTACCCTGAGAGGCGAAGGAGAAGCAGCAGGTTGGTTAATGAAGAGTCCAGTACTCAGAGAAGAAACAGAGAAGAATTCAATTCTGGTAAGATGAAAATTCAAGATTATTTCATCACCTTTTCATTTATGAATAGGTTTTCTGTAGTTTTAGTGCAAGCCTTCGTTTAAGAGCCCTGGTCTCTGTGTAGATTAATTGCAGCAGTATAATCATCATCATAGGCTGCCTGTGTTGTTTTTTCTTATTTGTTATTTTGATGATGAAATTAGATGCACAGGAAGTTGGGATTTTTTGTTTGTGTTCTTTCCTGATCCCTTCTGTTGGGTTCTCCACAGAAATGCATCCATGTGTTTCTCTTTAGTCTGGTTAAAGATGCTTCACCTGGGATGTTTTGTGTACCTCTACTTTATCCTGTGGTTTGGTTTTTTTTGATTTAGGGACATGTTAATCTGTTTTATAAGATTCTGTGCAGTCTGAAGTATGTTTTTTACTTTATAGTTTTGAAGGCAGCCACCAGAGTTCTGATATCAGTGAAGGAAAAGATGTGGAAATAAAGTTATAGCATTTCAGATGTGTTTTTTGTGCTTATAAATTACCATCCTTGGATATTTTTTCACAGAAATATTTGGAAAGATGTAGCCTAATTTGAATTGTAAATGTTATCCAACAACTCTCTTTTCATATTTCCACCAGGTTGGCTTTTTTGATTTTTGCTTTGTTTTGCTTTTAATCACCCAAATCACACCCCCCTGCGGCTTGCTATAAGGAGATTGTGATTGTAGTCATCATTATTTTAAGTCATGAAAGGCAAATCACCCAAGGTTTAGTGATTTGGTAGGATATTAACAGTCCATCATTGTCCTGCTGGCTTCTCTCTGAGCCCGTGGCTCTCCAGCCTGAGCTGTGTGCTTTTCAGGGCAGGTTTTGCTTGCAGCAGTGCTCCTTCTTGCAAATGCTATTAGTTTTGTTTGGAAGGTGGGTATCACCATAGTTAGGGGTTACCATTACATGAAATTCAGCAGCAATTCTTCTGGTAAAGGAAAATTAATTTCAGTGCCTGTGCTGGCTGCAGTATTAACTGAATTTATTGGAGAAAAGAAATCTAGGTGGTTTGTTTTCCTCAGCATAATGCAATGTGCTTTATACCTGACTGTGAGGAGGGAGTGTGAGGAAGGGGAAGTGTGATAGGAGATGACCTGAACTCTGAGTGTGCCTTGGTTTTGACTAGAATTTTATAGCTAGAGATGCTGAGTGTGGCCCTTTGAGTCAGACTAAGGCTTTGTAACACCCCTTTTTCTGAGATCTGTTGGTTTTTACATGTTTCTGTGAGAGAAGTGTGGAGAGTTGCCCGTGGTTTTGCTGAATAGTGTGAGATGAGGGTCTGTGGTGATGCTGGGTCCCCAGGCAGGAGCAGAGGTGAACCCCTTCACTGTGAAAACCCAGCTTTTTAAGCAGTCAGCTGGTTATCAGTTACATGCTTTTGAGTATGTGTAATCTTCACCTCCTCGCCTTTGTCTGGAATTCTCAAAGGCTCATGGTAAATATATCATTGCTTCTTTTTTTGTTACTTGCTGTGAATGCAAGGGGTTCATTGACAATGTTGGTTTAGGTGCAAAGGCATGGAGTGTTTGGTTAAAAATCTTGTCCATGTCTATCATTCAACTGTCCTGGTTTTCCCTTTCAGATTCCTCCCAGCATGACTCATCAGAAGGAAGTGAGGTTTCTGAGGCTGACCTCACTAGTGAAGGTCAGTTCCCCAGGTCACTGACTTCATTTGGTTGGGCATTTGTCTATCTAAATTGTGTTTTCCAAAGCCTACATTACTTGGCACTGAATGAAGAGAATTGTGTGCTGGTGTTGAGTGTAGACTGGATTGTGCACTGCTTGGTCAATGAACCTGGTAGAGAAGTTTTGGAAAACCACCATATATGGAAGCAGATTGGACTTGTTGGGCTGGTTTTGTAATGATGCCTGACAGCAATTTGTATATTTTGCATAATTTTCAAGTGTTGTTAATGAAAAATACTCATTGAATGGAGACGATGTTCTAACATTCCTTCATTCTGGAGAACACATTGCTTTTAACCACACTGCAGTTAGCTGTAACATTTATAGTTAAAACTAGCTTCGGGGAAGAATGGTACCAGAACAGAAAGGCAATGTTGTAGGTGGTGTAAGTGGAGCCTCAAGGTGTCTATCTAATGTTGGCAACTGTGAGATCCAAAGCTTTGCAGTGAGCAGCTCCCTTTGCCATCCAAGTGGCTCCAAAGCTGCTGAGCAGTGTCCCTGCAGTTCTCATGCTGGGATGTTGGTAGGAGGTGCTCTGTGTTTCTTGTATTTGTGAATGAGTGTCCTGGAGCTGCTTTAAAGCACTGCTGAGATTGGCTTTTGCAGTGCTTGCTTGTGGAATTAGAGTAGGAGCACCCAATGAGCAATTTAGAAAGTAGGCAGAGCATTTTTGGTAAAGTGGGCACTTCTGGCATTACTTTCAATGTTTTACAATGCAGCAGGGAAATAACTCCACCATTACCTCAACAGAAGAGTTTATATGAGAAGAGTCAATAAGTATAATAATAAAAAACAAAAGTTGCTTTCTTTTGAGATCTACTAGTGGAAAGGTCTTATTTCTAGGTAGATAACACATGTAGTCCCTACCTGCACAATTAATTCTGTGATTCCTTTTGCTGTTGCATGATGGTTTTATGATCACACAATGCCCAGTCATGTTTCAGAAGACAATGTTGTTTTCCTTAGCAAGTACAGAAGCAGTTTTGTATTTTGCTCTCCTGTGCTTTGCACTGGCCCTTTTGTAGGAACAAATTGTTCCTTCACAGGTAGGAACAGGAGCTTTCTGAAGTTACTCAGTTAAGTAATTTGTTGAAAAATTTGATGCCCTGGTAGTCACAGTTTCTTAATTCTGGTAAAGTTCTGAAATGCAAAGCAGTTCTAGTGCTACACTCAAGTTCCCTGGACAGAAAAACAGTGATTTTGTTTTTTTCTGTTTAAGATAATGATGATGAGTACGTACCCGGTGAGAGGAGACAGAGGAGCCCCAAGTCAACCAGCGACTCGGGCAGTAGTGTGAGAAGAAAAGGAATAAGTTTCAATTTTGGTAAGATGAAAATTCCAGATGATTTTGTTTCCCTGCTGTGTTTTATGAAAAGGTTTTGGGAAATTTTGTAGTGCAGGAGTGAGACATGTTAGTTCAAGCCTTTATAGTCCTGGTCTCTGTTTAGGTGTACTGCATCAGTATAATCATCATCACAGGCTGCCTCTTGTTTTTTTTGTTATTTGATGTGACAGTGTGATTGGAGGCACAGGTTTGGATTTGGATAAATTTCTTTTTTGCAGCTGTGTTTTCTTTCAGAAATAGGATTTCTAGGGGTATTTTGCAACACCAAAAAATTGGAGAAATACTGGATTAAAGTAGAGAAGGCCAGATGCCTCCTGATCCATGTAGTTGTACAGATTTCCACCAAAACAGCTCCATGTACTTTCTGTAAGCTTTATCAAGCTTTTGAGCACTCAAATCTAGGCAACTGTCAACAGCACCTATAAACTGCCTCTATCTCTGGAGGCTGCAAGAGCTGATGACTGAGTCACCAAAGAGAGAAATCATTATTGGCAGTTATTTAACCTGGTTTTTGTTGTGTTTTTTTTTACTCTCATTTAATATACATCTTTTGGAAGTAATCTTTAACATTTTATTTTGTATTTTTCTTTCTTTTTAATGTATCCATACATTTTAAGGTGTAGCCTGTACTGTACTCAGGAGGCACCTGTTTGCAAGTAAAAGTACACACTTCATATTTCATTTAGTGTTAACACAGATTTTACAAGATTCTTAGTTTTTTTTGTAGCCTGACATGTCCTCCTCTTTTCTTTGCAGAGAAATGGAATACACGAATTACAGACTTGAGAAAAGAAGTTGAAGTGCTGTTTGATAAAAAATATGGTATGTGTCACACACCTTTCCAAGCCATTGCCTGTAGTCCTTTGTCACAGCAAGTGACAGACTGCTCTTTGGCATGCATCTTGTTCTTGGCTCAGGAGCACACCAGAACTGACGGCACCAAAGGGCTAAGTACTGCTAGAAGACATAAAATTGAGAAAAGTAGCTTTTTTTGATGAACAGAGTAATTTCAAAATGGGATATCTCTGTTTGGCACCAAAGTGGGAAGCTTGATTTTATTTTTTCAGTTGTGCTCAGTCTCCTGGAGCATCTGCATGCTCAAATTTCTTGGGCACCCACATTTGAGAGAGTTATCCTTTTCTCTGCAATTACACTGAGTCTTTAGGTGAAAGAGTCTTTAGAGTGGCACTGAAGAGAAGCTGCCACTCACTGGTGGTTCATTTTTGATTATTATTGTTTTACAGTGAAGCAAAAATTATATATCCTAATGGCTCTTGGAAAGAAAAAGCAGCAGATGTGTTAGACTTTGGAATTTGTCTCCAAATGTTGCACTTAGATATGTTTTGTGTCCACATATCACAAACTACAACAGCATCAGTAAAGATTTAAAAATAAATGCTGGTGAGCCTCTTCCATGAAAAGTGGAAGTGCTTTCAGAATAGCCCTTGTGATTTGGAGTTACTACATGTTTGGGATGTGACCATCATCTGACATTTAAACAGCCCACTGAAAGCAACTTGCACCGAGGCAATACAGTTCAGAATCTGATTCACTGTATTTTAATCACTCTAGAAAGGAGCATCATTCTTTATGAAATGCTTTAATTTTGATTTTGGTCTTCGCACGTAGCAAAGTTGGTTGAAGAAAATTAAGTTGGTTTAAGACAATTTAAGAGGTGGAGCAATTTAAGAGCAGCTATGGAATGAGTTGCTTCCCATTATGGTATTAACTAATCACTTTCCATCAATACTACACTTACCAGTAGGTGTAGTGAAACCATAACAGTCTAATTACAAGCAAAGCAGCAATGGGCAAAAAATAAGAGTAAATAATCACTAAATACAAAATTGCTAAATGTCTACAAGCCCGTGGCAACAATGGGAAATCCAGAATGGTGGAGTATGGCCCACCCCCCCTTCCCAAGTTGATAGTTACTTGCTTTTCATTTGTTTCAAAGATTTCATTAGGAGGGCCATGCTTTTTTCAGCAGTTTTAGAAGTGTATTTTTTATTTCCTTAATGGTTCTTTGGATTTCTAAAATACACAGAAACTTCAGGAATTCACTGAAAAGAATGGATGTGTGCCCCTACTCCAAGGCATTAATGACTTGTAAGCCAGTAGTTGTAACAAATGATAACAGAGCTAGAAACTGAACATGAACTGAAACGTGCTTGGTTTAAGTCTAGATAACTTCATCTTTCAAAATGCTCTATTAAGCTAAACCAAAGTAATGACAATAACTTCATCTTTCAAAATGCTCTATGAAGCAAAACTAAAATAGTGAGAATCTTCACTCTTAACAGGTGTGGTCACTGTTATTAAATGTTTACATAAAGGGAAAAGAGGATGATCTGCATACGTATGCAGGGCTGCAGCTTGTTTACTGTGAATCAAAGTGATTTTGCTATTAAACTAAGTCCCTCACAACATGAATGCCTGAATATTTAAATGTGCTGAGGGCTTATTGCCTGCATGCTAATTATCATGTTCATCAGAGTGATATCAAACAGGTAATTGAGTAGAGCCACAAGCTAGCCTAATATTTTTATTCTCCTTTTTCATTAAAGCTGAAGCTATCAAGGTAGAAGGTCCAGCACCTATCCCATACACAACCTTCCAGTCCCATCCAGAAGATTTGTTTGTGGAAAGGCTGCCAGATGAGATTCTAATCTAATATTTTTATTCGCCTTTTTCATTAAAGCTGAAGCTATCAAGGTAGAGGGCCCAGCATCTGTCCCATATGGAGCCTTCCAGTCCCATCCAGGGGATTTGTTTGTGGAGGGGATGCCAGATGGGATTCCCTTCAGGAGCCCGGCCACGTACGGCATCCCGCGGCTGGAGAGGATCCTGCTGGCCAAGGACCGGATCCGCTTCGTCATCAAAAAGTGAGGAGCTGTGTCACAGATGTCTTTTCATTAAAATCTTTTCCTTAGGATTTTTCCTGCTGAAGCTGAGAAGTTTCAGCAACAAAGTGTAAACAATGGTTATCTGCTGCTGTGGAATGCAGCAGGTGGATCTGTGATTGGTCTCCTGTGGATGTTTGGATTTACTGATCACTCAGGGCAGAGCTGGGTCTCACTCTCTGCTGAGACACAGGCCTGTGTTATTCATTCCTTTTCTATTCTTAGCTTAGCTAGCCTTCTGAGAACTTTCCTTCTATTCTTTTAGTATAGTCATATGTAATATGTATATAAATCATAAAAAAAGAAATCAAGCCTTCTGAACATGAATTCAACATTCTCGTCTCTCTCTCACCCTGAAGACCCTTGTCACCACTGTCACAGAGCTGTTCATTTTTGGCTCTGCATTACTCATTGTTTTCTGCCTCTGCCACTTTGCTTCATTTTTGTCCACGGAATTCCAAACTGGTTTCTGCTGGCATATTAATTTATGGTACTGAGGAGTGGCTTTTAGTTGATGTCCATTTTGATATATTCAGTTTATCAGGCCAGTGGACCACTGAGAGTGAGAGTGGAGAGATCTCTGGTCAGATCTCTTCAATATTATGGACTTTTGTCAGGGGCAGATCTCTTTGTACTGTTCAGATCTCTGCAGCTGCAATACATGTTGAAAGCCATTGACTTTGGAATACTTCATCCTATTTGAAGATCCTGGCCTAATTTCAACTTATGCTTTAAAAAAAAATTGCTGGAATGTTGTATCAAGCTGTCTATGGCTGTATTTGTATAAAGCATTTCCCAGGGCAAGCTTGAGGCCAGCACATAGCTACTGGTTCCTGTGGTTTAGGTGTCCTTGGTGTGTCTGGAGGTAGATGAGGTAGTGTACATGAAGGAGAGCTCAAATGGAGATTGACTGACATTTAAAGGAAGCTTCAGTGAGTAACAGCTGATGTTTTCCTGTCTTCAGTGGTGTAGGGCCTAATGCAAGAGTTTTAGAAATGGACAGGAATCTGCTGATTGCAATGGTCAGGCTCAGAACTGGGGGTAGTGGCAGCCTCTGACTCTATGCATGCTGCCTTTACCAGAGGTGCTATTTGCTTACATTTGTGAGGAACATCATCAGTTTCTATCATCCTAATGCTTGCAGGTAACTAGGAAAGGAAGAAGTGTAGATCTACCTTGTGTCTCATTTAAAATCAGATATCATACATACATCTAATTATTTATGCAATGCTGGCACCTGCTTTTGTCAAATATGTCTTAGTTGTTAACAGAAATTTTTGGTGTTCATTGATTTTGAAATGTGTAACAAGAACAGCTTAAAATCTAGTTGGCTCTGTGAGAAACATCAAAATGTTTAATTTTTTGTTTGTTCAGCTGTGGATAAAATTAGTTATATTTTGGAAAGAGAATTGTCTGCTTTGAAGTTTACTCTTTTAGAGATTAAATTTTTAATGTCTATCTTTGTTTCTGATTAAGTCTATCTCACAGCTCAGGGAGTTTAATGGAACCTGTATGGCACCATGAAATGGGTAGATGCTCATAGTCATCAGATATGGGTATTGGGCATGAAAAATGCTTTGTCAATAGGGTTCCAGCCAGCTCTTAGGATACTTCAGCATTAGTTGGGGATCATGATGTCCCCTGGGAGGATTTTGGGTTTGATCCTTCAGTAAATAGTAACTTGAGGCTGTAGCTGGAGGCTAGTTTCTCCAGTGTCTGTCACTGTTGAAACATGTGCCTTTAATCTTTCAGGCCTGAACTTCTGAATTTAACAGATCCTCCAGAGGTCACTACAGCTTCAAAAGGTAGGTTTTCAAATGTGTGAGTTGTACGAGCACATGTGATATTTCTGTTTCTCCAATATACTCATAGTCTTCTATCAAAGACAGTATTAAAGTGAATATTAAGGATCTAAATTAAGCAGATATACCATAAGGCTGTCTATTTAATGTGTGTGCAGGAATTAAACTTTTCCTTCCTGAAGTTAACTTAGTGTATTGAGTGTTAATAACCTACTGTGCCTTCAAGCACAAAATTCAACTACAAAAATAGTAGATAGGCTAGTAACTGAGCCTTAGCCTTAACTGGACTGTTATGTGGCTTTTTAAATTAGCCTTTTTGTGTTGTTTTAGTAATTTTTAATGCAATTGTACTGATTATGGAAGCAAAGCAAGTACATTGCTCAACTCATAACCCCCCTAAACAGCTACGAAAACTGGTGGTTACCAGTTCTATGTCTCAGGGTTCTGAACTGGCTTGTCATCACCAGCTATCACTTTATAGAGACATGTGTGACCTCTGCATCCTCTCTAATAAGAGAAGAGAGCATCCCTGGGAGCTGTCAGTAACATCTCAGAGAACACAGGAGTCAGGAGCTGTCTGAGCCTCCTTTCCTGCAGTGTTCTTCTTTTGGGATTTCCTCTTTCCCAGTGATTTATTATCTCCTCTGCTGCTCCCTGTGTCCACTGGCATCTCAGGAGACAGAGCTGTGGAGCACCAGCCCCTGCTCTCTCAGCTCCTTGTGGCTCCATGTCCAATTCCTGCTCTGTCCACAGGCCCTGATGGCTTCTGTCCCCAGCAGGAAAGGGATGGGATGAGTATGGACCTGTATTTTGGCTGGCAGAGGAAAAGATGATTTTCATTTGCATTTCTGTGGGAAGCAGGCTGGTCAGGAAGGTTTTGTGGACTGGCCTCAGTTCTGAAACTCTGAGAAGACTCATAGTGGCTGCAGACAGAGCAGTTGGATCTCAGGAAGTGTCAGCTGGAGCTTATGCTGATAGCCCAGTCTGGTAGAAATATGGAACACAAACCATTGCTTTTACATTCTGACTGAACCCATGGTGTGTAAGCAGGCCAATGTCCTCTTTGAGAGTGGGAAGCTTCACTTGTTGGTCACAAAGATATATTCAGGAGCAAAAAGTGATTTGTATTATATGTGCTTTGATCCCTTAAAAGTAAATTTTCATCCCATATGGTTTATCCCTTAATTCTGCACTGAATATCAACAAATTCTTCAGGAAACGAAACCATTGAAAAACTATTTCCATCTCCAAGTCGAATCTGCAGTTTGGAGGTGGATGATGAAAGTATTGCAGTTCTTCAACCCAAAACATTGCGTGTATTTTGTAGCAAGAGTAATGTCAGTGGTTCAGTGGAGTTTTGTCAGTTTTAATATTCTGTCACTATTTTATGGTCATTTTTTTTCTGGTTCCACATTGAATCCATACTTCTTACATACAGCATTTATGTGTTACCTGAAAATGCAGGATGATTATGCAGTGTATAAACTGAACAACTGAAAATATAACCAGTATAATTAAGGAATGTTGGTTTTGTTCTGTGTCAGTCTCAAATCCAGCAAAAGCAGAATGGTCTTCCAGAGTCACCAAACTGAGAAAGATGGTAGATCAAATTTTCTGTAAAATGTATGGTAAGTACAGCATTATTATCTTCTTTTCTGAATGGCTTTGTATTTCTTGAAGGTTGCATTCATTCCTTCCTTTCAATGTCTGTGTGAATGAGACCTTTGTTCAGATTTTTTTTCCAAGTATTTAAAATTCTTAAATAAGCAGTAAACTAAAACATTCTTTTTCACTTTCATTATTTTAAATTCCAGATTTTTTTCAAGTATATTAAAATTCTGGAATTTAAAATAATGAAAGTGAAAAAGAATGTTTTAGTTTACTGCTTATACAAGGTAAATTCATAATTTAAAAAGAATTTTAAGTGTTACCTATACAGCTCTTCTGATTACTCTTGATTCCTTCCTGTCTGGATTTTTTTCCTTTGGTGGTAAAACAGTTGTTTACTTATATCCACTGCAATATCATCATAATTAGTATTAAAACATTTTGGGTGAATTTTTATGTTCTGTCCAATATGAAAAAAAAAAAGTCAAGTTATAAGACTTAGAATAAATTTTTTCATGATACTCTATAACAGATTAACAACTTTGGACAAAACAAATGTATTATGCCCTAGTAAGCAGTCCAGTCTGGTATTGTGACTGCCCAACAGCAACATCATACAATATGGCAATTTTTTTACATTTTTTACATGCAGAGACTTGGGTTTTGTTGGATTTAGATGTCCTGCATCGTTCCACGTTTTAATAGCACAGTTGCAACAGCCTGAGGAATTGGTATCAGCTAGCTTTTAATAAAGGTTGCTTGGCCAATCTCTCCAGTGACTGGATGTGTTTTGTTCCTACAGCCAAGGCTTTGGGGAGCAATGACCCCAGAGCTGTTCCATACAAGAAATTTGAAGCACATCCAACTGACCTCTATGTTGAAGGGCTGCCAGAGAACATCCCCTTTAGGAGTCCCTCGTGGTATGGAATCCCTTGCCTGGAACAAATAATTCGAGTGGGCCACAAAATAAGATTTGTGATCAAAAAGTAAGTCTAAACATGGAGGGTTTTTAAAGGAAGAGTCCAAACAAACACCCTATGTGTAATCAAGCACTTGGTTTCATTAAGTAATGAAGCATTTGGTCTCTACTTACCAAATAGGCAAAGTGAATATTCTGCATGGTAAAATGGGCATTTGCAATCCAGACAAATATTTTAGAATATGTTTTGCATATCTGTTAACATGTTGACAAGTGTGAAAAACATAATGGAAAAATTCAAATTCTTCAATTAATGTCATAATAGGTAGTGATATTTATTTTACGACAAGAACAAACAGATTTTTTGTGTCCTGGTTGCAGGCCAGAGCTGCTAAATCAAGTTCCAAAAGAAAGTCCTCAGCACAGGTCAAACCCTCAAGGTAAGACAGGTGCTGTCTCCATGTGGGAATAGAAGGGTTTGATGGGGAAACACATCTAGATCAATGCAGCATTTTTCAAGAAGGAACCCGTGTGTGATGAGTGTGCTGGCATAGTCTTCATGAGGGTTGGAAGGAATGAGCTGATCACTGTGGATGTGGATGGATTGTGAAATCCTGATGCAGTCCCAGCTGCCTTTGAATAACCAGCCTGGGTGACCTTCAGAGCCCCAGAGAACTGGAGTTACTGTCCTGGCCTGAATCAAAGGTCTGCAGTCCTTTGGGGTTTCACAGTGACTCTGGGCTCTTTCAGGATCCTGTTGGTAAGGAATTGTAGGGACTTCTTGAAAGCATGACGTGCCTTTAACAGGGAGAACCACTAAAATCATTTCTTCCTGCATCTGAAGGCTCTGGAGAACAAGTTGTTCTGCTAGGGTTTGAAATTCATAACTACATTTAAATCGACTTTTCATTATGTGGAGGAAATTAGGTGTATCATTTAAGCTGCTATAAATAATCATTACTCATTGTGTGTCCCTGTTTAATCAGATGTAATTGTGTTGTTAGTTTTCATGTTCTTGTATTGAAAGATGTTCAGATGTACCTTTGTATCTAGAGCTGGGTGATTCTCTGACACCTGTTTCTGGTTTTCAGGGAGAGAAGATTGGAATGTCAAGATTACAAAGCTAAGACAGGAAGTAGAAGATATATTTAGGGTGAAGTTTGGTAAGTTAATGAACTTACTAATGCTAAATGAACTGTTGTGCAATGCTGCTGCATTCCTCTGTTTAAATGTTACAGTATTTACTTAAGCATCAAAAGTATACTAGGACAAGTATGGAAATCTTGACTCCTCTTATCTAGGTTTTACTTACTCTTTCCTGTAACTGACATTAATGTTTTTATAACAGCATCCTAGGCTGTTATTTTTCCAGTTGTGTGACAAGATGTTTCTTTTGGATGAAAAGAAGTTCTCAAAATAAAACATCAGGCACTGTAGGCCTATATTAGACATTATCTGTAACAAGATGGGCCAAGTTCCCATTGCAGCTACTCCACAGAAAATAATAGGGAATATCGAATATCTTCAAATATATTTAAATATTCCTTTTTTTTTTTTTTTCAGGAGGCTTTGAGTATCAGAGCTTCTTGTAAGAATCTTGTAAGACAAGATTCTTAAAATCACTTGAGATAAAATTCCACCCATTTAAGTTTGTAATACATGATTTAATCTTTATTTTCAGCTGAAGCTCTGGGGGTTTCAGAGTCAGTGAAAGTTCCCTATGCTGTGTTTGAGTCACACCCTGACTACTTGGTGGTGGAAGGTTTGCCAGAAGGAGTTCCCTTCCGGAGCCCCACCTGGTTTGGAATTCCGCGCCTCGAAAGGATCATCCGTGCCAGTAGCAAAATCAAATTTACTATTCAGAAGTAAGTTTGTGATCCAGTTATTTTTATATTACATTCTCTGATTTTGAAGTTACTTGACTTCGTTCCCAGCAACTCTAGGCTTTAAATGCTAAACTCTGCTTCCATGAAACACAAAGAATATTTTGCACATATGTTTTATCTCCTACAAGGACATACATTCCTCATTCAATTTCTGTAGATGTATGAATTGTGCGTTTCATGCATCAAAAACTGAGGAGGGGAAATGGTCTTGTACCTGGAAGCTTTGTTCCTTCTTTTTTTTTTTTTCTGTATTTTTCTTTGCTTGAAGTAAACCCCGAAGAAAATTGCAGAAGAGAAAATACATCTTTATGTTTTCTGGTTTTCTGTGGTTGTAGTAGATGGAGAGTCATCCATGCTTCTAGCAGAATTTCCTTGTAGAGAACTGATGTTATGTGAATTGGAACTCAAATGAATTCCAAGAAGTTGGTAACTTTTTGCTGTATGAATTGTCTTGCAATTGATTGGATTTGTTCTGTTCAACTTCCAGGCCTGACCTTGTCATTTCCCATTTGCCTCTAAGATTGGCTAGTAAATTAAAGAAAACAGGTAAACAATTAAATATTATTTGCTGCCATCCATTTGTAAATACTTCCTTTATACTTCCCTAGCAGACTGAGAGATCTTTGTGGTTGAAAAATACAGGTGTTGTAAATAAAAGGTATTATTTAAGATGATCTAGCATAGTAGCCTCTAAATCTGCTATTCTTTGAGAAAGACACCCAAACCATAAATGTATCTGTTTTTTTACTTGACTATTCTAGTACAGAAAAGGAATTTACTCAATTTTGACAACTTCTATTTCACTTTTAATGGCTTCAACCATTTTAAACTGAGAGCTGTGAACTGCTGTAAATAATAATGGTATTTTATAAGAAAAGCATAAAATAATCTTTTGTCTGTAGAAAATTCAGATGTTAGTAATTTTTTTGCGTTTTAGATAATAAAAAGTACCAAAACTCTCCTTTACACTTAGAAAAAAACAAAGTCTTTTGTTCTGAATTAATGGAAAATCTAGGTGTGTCTTTTTCAAGAGCACTAAAACTACTTCTTAAGGTTGTGAGCATCACTGTATTGTTCAGGTTTAACTGTGCAGACTCTACTTAGTTGAGTCTGTTAGAATTCTTAGAATACAGCTGTTCCTTTGTTAGGTGTGCAAAATTTGTGCTTCACACCTTCTATTCTTTTGGCCTCCAGGAGTTAGTCCAAGGACCTCCAAAAGGTCACGAAGTTCTTCAGAAAATTCAAGTGTTCCAGAGATTGAAGTTACTATTGAAGAGAGTATGGAAGAAATAAATATTCTTCTGATGTTCTTTTATTATATTCTTCTATATTTTCTGTTCTTCTAAACTTTCATAGCCCATAAGTAATGTACACCTCATGTAGCAAACTCTTGAGGGCTCCAGATACACTTCAGTATAAAATAACTTTATAACTTTATATAACTTATATATAACTTTATAACTTTTTTCATTTCTGAAACAAAGTGGATACTGTGTAGATGATGCTTAGGTAAAATGTTGCAGTTTGACAGCTTGCTTGGCCTATTATTCCAAGCAGAGGTGTGGGAACTGATGTTGTCCTGAGCAGAGAGATCACAGATGTGGGCAGTAGCATTAAATGCTTAAATACAACTCTAGAACTTCCTAAAGGCTTTTTTAAAATTCTACTCTTGATTCAGAACTGAAGATTTCTCCAGTAATCAAGTTTGATGCATTGTTCTTTTTGTATGATGTCTTGTTTCTGCTCTCTACCTTAAATATGTAATGTCTCTTCATAGGTCCTAAAAAAGACCAAACTAAAAATGCAGAAACTGATTCTAATACCAGTGACTCCAATGCAAATTCAAAGCAACAAGGAAAAGACTTTTCTTTTGGTAAGTGTTGGGGGAATTAGCACAGATGCATTCCTTTAATGTTGATGTGGAACACCTGGATTGCATATCAGATATTTTGAGTTCATGTTCTGATGTACAGTTAGTGAATGACTGAAGTCCTCTCTTTTGTGTACATTCAGTTCTTCATTATGTGTAGTAATCTGCAGTAGAGAAATCCTGGATGATATGTGGAGCATGCTGCAGCAATGCAGCCCAGATCCATTAGATATTGTTGATTCAGGTGCAGAGGCAGTTTTAGATTTTTGCTGCTCTGTTACTGCACAATGCTGCAGACCCTTGAAGGACTTTTCTGGTGCAAAGTACCACCAAGAGCATAAACCCATGTGCCTAAATTTCATAAGCCCACCACAAATTTGAAGTATTGACATCCCTGTGCAGAGATTCTAGGTGGGATGAAGGGTCCAGGTAGGAATTGAACTAACATGAGAAAGCCATGACCTGTCAGAGCTGACTGTGCATGATTGCCATGATTGACCTCTCCAGTTCTGGAAGATCAGGAAAGGAAAAGCTGGGCAGGGCTGAAAGCCAGGCAGTTGTGTTTGTTCATCAATGTAGGCCATGAATTTTTGGCCATGGGGGCCCAGGCCTGTTGGTGCAGTGCTCTGGAACAGAAATCTCAGCATTGAAAGCAGGGTCAATTTGCAGTCCAAAAAATTCTTCATTGTCAAGTGAGGTGAGTGACTGCATTCAAAGTAACTGTAAGGAGTTCTAGGTCTCAGTAAAACTTTTTTCAGCATACTTACAGTCTGAGTTTATTTGCTTACATTTGTGTAGGAATTTGCTGTTATTTGCTTTATCTTTTTCTGTCCCCTATGCTTTCTTTATATCTGTATGGTCAAAAAACCTATAAGAAAGGAATTATTTACTCCTACCAAGCCAATTGAGAATTAATGAGATGCTGATTTAGCATGTGTTGTATTCATATTCAGAGTTGTGTACAGTTTTCTTGGACTTTTATTGCTTGTTGGACCTAGGTATTTTTTTTTAAATCTGCAACTTTTTTAAACTTTAGACTGAGGTTTTAGTTTTGTAGACCAGCCATGGCCCACTTAATGCAGCCACAAGTAAACTGGTGTAGAAATTGCTCTGATGGCTGTCAGAAACAAAATGCTTAAATTAAATGGACATTTAATCTCATCACTGAAGTAGAAACTGTGCTAAAGATTAAAGTTCTCAGGAGAGAGGCAAATGTTTCAGGGCTCTGTCATTGAACACATGAGGAGCTTTGTGCCACTATTTTGGGTACTAGGTGAGTAACAGATGAGTAAATTTCCTGCTATCTGATAGTAACTTTGGATCACTCTTGGATTAATTTCACTTTTAATCACCTTTGCTTTATTTAGTTACAGTATCTTTCAAAGCTTCAGGAAAATAAGGATGGATGTGGATATAGTTTTGCAGAATGAAAGCCATTTTACACATTTTTACTGCCATAGTAAATTGGTTATCAAGCATAATAATTTATTAAAGATTTGTTAAAATGTTATTCAAAGACTGGTTCATTGTGTGAGTGTTGTTCTAATTCTTCCAATTTCTTCCTGGCAGAGCTGTGGAATACCAAAATCAATGACTTGAAGGAGAAAGTAGAAAATATGTTTAGTGAAAAATGTGGTATGTTTATTGATTCTTTACTACTGAGATTCCTTTCTTATGAACATGCTAGATAATGTACAGTTAGATGAACAGTTAGATAAATGTATGAGAGGTGTTCATATGTTTATTCCAGAGGTCCTGCAATCCTTGTGTACCTTAGAGTTTCCCATCTGAGTTCATTCTCATGTGCTTGCAATCCATTGTCAAATTTCCACTTGTTATTTTACTTGGGTTTGAAAATGGAGAAGTTGTAGTTGGATTACAATTTTTTAAATGAGCCACAGGGTGATTTCACACACTGGCACATCCTTTTGAGCATTCATCACTCTGCGTATAAATGGGACTTGGTGTGACTCTGCCTGACTCAAAACAGGCTGTGGGTGGTATCTGGAGAAATTGCTCCTTGTATTCCAACACTTCTTCTAGTTCAGGCTGTTTGGAAACTAGTGACTTTTGGAAATAATGGCTTCTCCTTACTCTTTTGAGTCTGGATTTTTGAATAAGAGCATGAATCTTACCTGTCTTTGATGCTGCTCTCTAGAAGAGAAAGAGGCAGAATGCACTGCCTTCAACAAAGAGTGTCTTGATTTGAAAAGCCAGCTAAGGAAGGCAGGAGCCTCCCTTGAAATGGAGAATGTAAAACCCCTTCCCTCTGAATTATCATAATTTTGAAATTAAGGGGCTCTCAGGCAAAGATATGGGAAGACGAATAACAGTTCTGTAATAAGAAAATTTAAAATACAAATGCAATAGTACAAACAACAAAACCAAACCACAGCCAGAGTGAGAGCAGTCCCTGCCCCCTGTGTGCCAGGGTTGTGTCCCAGCCCCATCCCATGGGGGCTCAGCCCTCCTGCAGTGCCAGCTGTGGCTCTGCTGCAGCAGGGATCCTGCACAAGGGGGGAGTTTTCCTCTGCAGCTCCAGGGCTGCTGCAGATGGGCCTGGGCTCCCTCTGGCCATGCAGGGCAGCAGAAAGCTGCTCCTCTGGCAATGCAGGGGGCAAAGGCTGCTGTGCTGTGCCAGGCTCAGATTGGATCCAGGGAGGAATGCTTGGCTCCTCCCCTGGGCGGAGCATCTCCCCATGGGATGCTGGGATTGGATCAGCCCTGCAGGGACACTCAGTGGCCATGGACAGCAGAGATCTGCTGGAGGGAGGGTTGGCTGTGGGAGAGAGAAAGAAAAAACTGCCCCATGGACAGCAGAGAACTGCCCCAGCTCTGACAGGTGGGGATGGAATGCACATTGCATCTTGCAATTGCAACCCAAGACAAAAGTGCCACACAGATAGGATAGTCATGCATGCAGACCAAGCCAGTGGCATGAGCTGGATGCAAATGACAAATTTTCAGCAAATTATGGTGAGATTTACTGCAACAGAATGAGTTAAGTTTGAAACTGTTCGTTTTCTCCCTGCACACTCATAGCTGTCACCAAAAAAGGCAAAGCCTGCTGGTTTTACCTAATTGAGTGTGGATGTACCAAGTACTCTATTCCATTTATAGCAGAGGTATTTCTATATATTCTATTTTTCTCCACATCAGCTGCCTAACTGTACCTTATTTGCTCTGTTGCATTTCAGGGGAGGCTCTGGGACGCAGTGGGCCAGTGAAGGTGCCATATGCCCTGTTTGATTCCTACCCTGAGGATTTCCATGTGGAAGGACTGCCTGAGGGGGTGCCCTTCCGCCAGCCCACCACCTTTGGGATCCCCAGACTAGAGAAGATCCTGAGAAATAGACCCAAAATAAAATTTATTATTAAAAAGTAAGGCTCCCATATGTCTTGAATAATCTGTTTGATGAGAATTGAAATGTAGACAAAAAAATGAAATTGTGTTGCCACGTTGCTAAATTACTCTATAAAATGCACACTGGAATGTTTTTATTGAGGAAATGATCAGAAAGCTCTTGTGCAAGTGGAACAAGATACAATAATCTCTTTGTTCTGACAGACTCTTAGACTTTGTTGAGAGGAAGAGCACGTCCATATTTCTTAATCCACCACAATTATCACATCACTGGTTTAGTTCCTACTGCAAGGAGCACTTACGGGCTACTCATAAACTTTGCTTGTTGTGTATTGGGAGCTGAGGAGTGGAGATTATTTTAATGACAGCTGTAAGAATTTTCTTTCTTTTTCCTAGAACAGGTTTAGATATTCCTGTGCCAGTGCAGAAACAGTGGCAAGAGAAGTTACAAGGACAGATAGTGACAGAACAAGGGAGAATGGCTTTAAACTGATAGACAGCAGGGTAAAATTAGATGTTTGGAAGAAATTTTCACTGGGAGGGTGTTGCCCAGAGAAGCTGTGGCTGCCCCATCCCTGGAAGTCTTCAAGGCCAGGTTGATGGGGTTTTGAGCAACCTGATGTAGTAGAAGATGTCCCTGCTCATGGCAGTGTTTTAGGTTCCTTCCAACCCAAACCAATTTTAAAATTCTGTGAGTCAGGGAAGTTATGGAGCCTCTCAGTCACTGCATTCTTGACTGTCTGTTTGGCTGAGAGGATATCACTTAGTTACCATTTTTGAAAATGGGATTTTCTTTATTGTTGATGGTATAATTTTATTGTTGTATGTAAAATGTTCAATCTGTTTGCAGGCCTGAGGTGCTTGAGGCAGCTATCAAAGAAAGTTCTGGTAAAAGCTCACGAGGTGAGTTTTGCAGCTGCCTGAATTTCCAGATAAAAGTTTATTTCAATGGTTAAATATTAATTATGAGAACAGCATGGTATTAATAAATTCCTGAAAGATTTATTCTACATTGCAGTTGCTTGGTTTGTTTGTTTTTAAGATGGGATAAGCACTTACCAGTTGCAGTTTAAATATAGCTCTAACAAGGCAGTATTAATTTTTTAAAGTTATTCACAAATAATTGTGCCTCTAATATATTCTTTACTACATTCCATCAAAATGTAGCCAGTAATGTAGGATTCACAGGAGTTATTCGGGTCTAGAGATAAATTACTTGCTCCTAGTATGTAGATCATCCAAATGACACAGGCACCAGAGACAGGAGTGGAAATAGCCAGTAGAAAATTGTGTCAGGCAGGTAGGTCATGGAATAAATGCTCCCATTTTGAAACTGAAACTAGGTCCTCTTTGAAAACTTTGCCAATATTTGTTGTTTTGCAATATTTTCTTTATAGATGAGACTGAAGATTTTGAGCTCTCTATAAATGTTTTCTAAATTAATCCTCTTAGGAAAAAATAATTCCTCCAGTAATGCCAATACAGCAAGGACCACAGAAAACACAGTGAAAACAGCTGAACGTATTGAAGACCTAAACATTGTTAAAGTAACCGTAAAAGGTGTGTATACTGGCTGGTTTCACATCATAATGCTTGTGCTTATATTCTTCATGATACCTGCTTAGTTTGATATTTTCTTGTAGTCAGGCTGGTTTGCTGAAATACAAGTACAGTCAGAAAAGAACACAAGTTAGCTTTTGGTTTTGCTGAGATGTTAAATATTATCTAACACTCATTAATTTAATATCTCACCAGTGACATCTCTAGAATAAGACTATTGTATAAGCCTCCTGTTAAGAAGTATCCACATTTTTATGATGCAATAAATTAAACATTGACTTGCAGTTCTTGGTAACTTCCAGATGTCAGTACTTGAACTGAATTGAATGACCATGGAGGATGAACTGCTTTGTCTTAACACCAATTACTGCTTTTCTTATTGCATGCTATGGCCATCTACTGATCTTTGCTTTTAGCTTTACATACCATTCTGTGTTCCTTAAGAAAGTAAAATACAATTTGATGGCTTAAATTACTTTACAAAATTATCTCGAGACATTTCTGGATTCATCCCTGGAAGTATTCAGGGCCAGGTTGAGTGGGGCTTGGAGCAACCTGGTCTAGTGGAAGGTGTCCCTGCCCATGGCAGGGGTTTGGAACTGGATGATCTTTAAGGTCTCTTCCAAACCAAACCATTCTAGGATTCTATAATTTCTTAGCAACCATCTATTTGTGTGTATTTCTACAATTCAGTGTTACTACTAAAATGAGGAACAAAGACAGTCCCTATTTAGAAGCTTTCGGGTATGCCTGCTTTGAGTAAACATGCAGGGATAAACAAACTTCAGGAGGGGAAATCTCTGCTTAATTCTCATGCTGTTCTCACAATTTCTTCCAGATAATGAAAATGAGCGACTGCCAAAAGCAGAAAATGCCAGACAATTGAGAGAGCAAGTAAATGATCTTTTTAGCCAGAAATTTGGTAATTGCTTCTTACTCCCCATTTTTATATAGGTGTGAGTGCAATTAATGTTATTCATACTGCAGTTAGTGAATGAATATTCACTCACAGTAAATAATATATATGATCATTACAATTTGAGAATTGTATATGAATGATGTGTTTTGACTCCAAAAAGAATCTTTTGTGAGTGATGTAGATAGTTTGGTGTTTTAAACAAAGTCCTAAGGGTCTGGACTGCTTCATGGTTCCCCTTTCCTTTTCCTTTTTTCTGTGTCAGCATGGATGAAGTATTTATTTTGCTGGCAGCCCATGGTTCTTTTCAGGGTTTCATAATCCTGACCTCTTAATACTTGGGATTAGAGTAATTTTAAAAATGCAGTTTAACCCTTTTGCTGTGTATAGTTTTGTCTGTTTTTTTACTTTGCATTGTATAGTAGCAATGACCTGGGTCTCCTTATCTGAAATTCCTTCACTTGTGCTGCATTGAATTGCTTTTCATAGCATTGCAGGAATGCTTTGTTTTCCTTCATGTAGCTATCTCCTTTAATATCCTGTTCTCTAAGAGCAGAGTTTGTGTTCTTCATATGCTGAACTGTCAGAGTTGGAGCTGTGACCAATGCTCTCATAGTCATGTTCATGAGTGTAATCCAGAACCTTATTTCTAACACTGTAATTGTTTCATTGTCAAGTGAATTTTCAGAGTTTCAGATCTGATAGAAAGCATGGTTTGAATTTTGTTTCTTAATCCTTTGAGGATTTTCTTACACTTTTTCTTCAGTGTAATCAGAAATTCTGTGGGTTTCTGTGGGAAAATAAACACGACCTCTCTCCCTTAGGTGAAGCCACTGGTATGAATTTTCCTGTGAAAGTTCCATACAGAAAAATCACCAACAACCCTGGCTGTGTGTTGGTGGATGGAATGCCTCCAGGTGTGGCATTTAAAGCACCCAGTTATCTGGAACTCAGCTCAATGAGGAAGATTTTGGATTCAGCAGAGTCTATCAAGTTCACTGTCGTTAGGTATGTGGTTGCCATTAATTAGATTGTGAGTACAGTCCCATAGCTGGAATAAATGTGAGAGAATAGAAGTTGTAGTGCATCTTTAAATAGATGTTGGTTCTTTTTGGATAACATATCAGGTCAAATGAAGCACAGATGTTCCTAGCATGAATAAAGGAGGAACTGTCTAATTTGGTATGACAAAAGGCATTTTACCAATACTGCATATTACAGCAAGCCATCTTTTGAGTTCAAATCTAATCATAATATGCTAAAAAGTCCTATAGTTTTCTGAGCCTTGCTCTCCCAGTCATAATATCAAGTTTTGAAAGAAGTCCAGAGCTCATTGGTTTCTATTCAATATTTTAAAATACAATATTGTCCAATTGTAGTATAAGGGAACTTCATTTGTATCTGTATATCTCCATAGACACACACACACACACACATATCCAATGTTAATTTGTATGCATTGAAGCAGAACAGATCAAACTTTGGAGTCATTCTAAGGAGAAGTTGAAAATAAAAATTGATATCAGTTTCTGTAACTTCTCAAATCATAGATGACTTCACAGGAGTTTAAAAGCTTCAGTTTATCCTTAGAGAGAGAAATTTCTTAGATTTTACTAAGGAATCTGAATTTTCAACCCTTAATCATGACATATTCTAACCAAAAGGACTTTGATGTGTTTTTGAATTGAACCCTGCAGAGGTGATTCCTTGCCAAGTAGCAGTGACCAAGGGAAAGGTTTAGCTCTTCTATACATGTTACTTTTCAAAATGCTAGTTTTGAAGAACCAAAGTCCCCAAGAGCTACTCTTCCTTCTGTTTTACTTGCCTTTCTTATCATGTTTTAGCATGACCTCTGTTGTAGAATGTGTGGGGAGGTTACATTGGGAGGAAACACCAAGCAGTGCATTTTAGAATCAGAAAAATATATAATTTTTTTTTTCCAGGCCGTTTCCAGGACTTGTGATTAACAATCGTGAGTATTTATGAGACCCTGATGACAAATGCATTTTTGTAACCTACCAAGTTTCATTTTCTACATTGTGTCTTAGTGGCAGAGGCCCCAAGTTGTTGAGGTCTCTGTATAATTTTGCCTGTGTATTTCTCATTAAGATTTCCTGACTAAACATGGGCGTGCAGTTAACTTGAGGGCAGGGGGATAAATTTACATTTAAGCAGCATAAGATTAGCATTGACTTGATATGGAAATGCAAGACTCTGATTTTATATCTTTCAGCTGCAGAGTCCCAAAGAAATTTAGGATCCCGATTGAGCAGCACACTTATATGAGAGTTGCTGTGTTATAAGTTTAAATCCATCACAGTAGCAGTTAGTAAGAGCTTTCCAGTAGCTGCACAACCTTGTTCCAGTGAAAAAATCTGCATTCTGCTGAAACTATAACTTTTTAGAGAGGCAAACTGTAGTTAACTGAAGTGCTATGGCAAATTTAGCCCTCGCAATGAAATTGTTTGGGGTAGTGGGAAGGAAAGATACAGTATTTTGGTGGCTAAAATAATTGTGGAATGGTATTTCCAGAGAATTCAGTTAGAAATGAAAGAATTCATTGATCTGTTGTCAGTTCAGCATAAGTTGTCAATGTGTGTTGGGACTGGGGGAGCAGATTGGCCATGGACCACATGAGGTTTAGGCATTGTCTGTGTCCACTAATTATGATCAAAATGATTATAATTATTTATATATACTATAATTTTTATAAATATATATATATGTACACAATATATACTATATACTATATATATATTCTATATACTGATGGATACCAAGGTGAATGATTGAAAGGCTCTGAGCCAACTGCTTATAAGTGTGATGTTTCATTCTTCATCTAAAGAACATGTGGAAACTTAAAAGGAAAGTTTTGGTGCTTGCAGGCAAGACAGGGAATGTTTTTTCTCTAACAGAAAGAATTGAACTGCATCTCAGCCACAGTGTTAGTGACTCGTTCATGTGAGAAGTTTCAGGATTTGCAGATTCAAAGGTTTTTCCTGTGTTGCATGTGAACCATTTTCATTGTGAAGTAAAACAATGATCATGTTTAATCTTAGAGCTGCTAGAAGAAGCTGAAGCAGAAGCAGAATCACCAGCAGCACCAGCAGCAGCCACTACCACAGCAGTACTACCAGGTGATGCAGTGTGACACGTGTCCTTGCTGGAGGGTGGGCTATGGGGTTCTGCATCTCCCTAGCAGATATCCTTAGCAGTCATGTCCTAGGTGTGAGGGGCTCATGATGAGCCATTTCATTCTGAGAAATGAATAGCTGTTAACTTTCATAACTGTTAAACTTTAAGTAACTTTATGAGCTGTTAAACATTAGTGGAAAGTGACTCTACTTTCTTCAAGCTGTGTCATTGGTGTGTTCCTTGATTTGATTTTTACAGATGATGAGTGAGCTGGAAAGAAGGATTAATGGGGGCAATGTGTAAAGGCAATTCAGCATCCATTTATTAATGTCTGCTTAACTCAAATGTGAGCATGTCTGCATGTACAGCCCAGTGAAGTTTGCCTGCCCAGCTGGCAGAGGGGTCTGGGTGGAGTTTCTGCCCTCTGCCAAGCTCTGCTAGGCTGCATCTGGGACTGCAGTCTTAGTCTGAACATAGAACTTAGCTTTGGGCTGTGAATTAACTAAAGGAAATGTGATTGGGCAACTTCACTTTGATCCAATACAGCTCTTAAATGTTCATACACCTTTTAAAAATATGTATGCGAAGTTGGTGTAGTGTGGAGAAAACTTCTGCAATTGACTGAATAAATCGTTACACAAAGAAGCTGAGAAACCAAGAGAAAACATCTGATAAACATTTTAAGAGTAAGGGACACTTGTATGGTGAAAATTATTATGAAGGAAGCTGTTGGTTCCTCTGTTTCCATGTGGAGGTGTGGGAGGGAGGAGATCAGCTGCTGATGATTTGTGAGCTTGCTGCAGTCTGTTGGTCCTTAACATCTGCAGTGTTAAAAAGGATAAATGGTTTTCCCAGAACATGTTCATCTACAATCCATGCAGAGATAGTAGAAAACTCAGCATGGAATTAAAGCATACTTGTCCTCTGTTATGCACCTTCCCACTGTTCCCCAAAGTGCACAGACTTGCCATCACAGACAATGCTTGGGAGAAGTGGGGACTCTTTCTTTAAGCTGTTCCAAATTTGGTGTATTCTGTGCAAATGCACATTATGCTGTTCTGGGTCTTGGTGATATGTCTGCCACAGTGAACCGTTCTTAGAAGAGAAAGTGTTGCATAGTTAAATGTAATAAATATTTGGGGATATTTTATATTTTTATAAAAAGCTACACAAATTTATCTCGGTCAAAGAGATATGAGTCTGATTGTTTAAGAAAAATTAGGTCCTTTTTTGAGGGAAAACTTGATTTCCCTAATCTGATTCATCTTGTTGAAACTATATTCATATTCATTTGACTGTATTTTTTTTCATTTAAGAGCCAGCTGAACCAAGCCAAAGAGAAGTATCTCTAGGAGGTAAGTGTTAGTCTTCAGTTACTATCAAGAAATATTTTTAAGTATTCCTGAACAAAGTTGCATCTATTTTTAATAAAGTCAGGTCAATCAAAACCAAGAAGAGGTCTTGTACTGGTTCCTGGCACATGTCCTCATTTACAGTAATATCATGTTGCATGATATTATGATATGCTGCATCATGTGAAAAATACTTAGCAGCAAAAATTACTCTTCTAATAATTTTACAAAGGAGTTCTAGGAATTCTTTGTGGTTGGTGAGTCTTGCCTATACATAGGCTCTGAGTGACTTCATATCCTGAATGATGCATTTAGTTATTCAGTGCAGGAGTTTCCACAAGTGATGCTTGCCATCATCAGGAGCTCTGAATGCCACACTGGCCTGGATACACTGTTGGGGGCAAGGGAGTGGAGCATTGTTGTTCTTTTAGCACTTAAACTCTGGAAAACATGGAGAAGCGAAGGGAGACGACCCATCCTCTGATCAGCATCAAACTCCAATTTATTGATCCACCAGGCACATTTTATAACCGTGTTAATTAAGTTCATACATATTGCAAAACCCGAGCTCATCATAGGTTACAGATTAAACACCAACCCCTCCTTTTGTTTTCAATACCTGTGGTTTGTTATTGAAACCAAGATTTGTTTTCTCACCCTGATATAAATGGTTCTCAAGGCCTCCATGTTTGTCACTTTTGCTTTCCCAAAACTTATCCAAGGACAAGATATTTACTTGTTATTAAAAAACAACCTGAGAACTTCTGCTGTTTACATAAACGTGCCTGAGAACTTTTGTTGTTTACAGAAACAGGCTTTGAGAATTTGCTCCTCACAGCTGCCTTTTTCTTTTCCATCAGCTGTATATGATTATGGCATGTCTGAACAAAACTCTATAAGCCATTTCTGAGCAAAATTCTCCAACAAAAACATCCAACTTTCCTGTTGTCCAAGAATATACTTGAACTGTATCCTTTTCAGATAGAATCACAGACTCATTTAGTTTGAAGAATCCTTCTAAAAGCATCATCATTACATTACAGTGGAAATGGTAATTTTCACAGAATCAGGTTGCTGTGAATATGCTTTTATTTATTATTATTAGTTTAAAAAGATAATGAATGCTTTTCATGTTTTTATAAATTTTTACTTAGGTAAAACAGTAACAAAATTGGTGGAGAAGTTTTCCACTTTTTAATTCACTACTAATTTTTTAACAGATAACACAAAACCAGAAGAACAGGTTCAAATAAAACAAGATGAAGACCTGACGTCATAGACCTCATCAATACTGGGTAAAAGAATTTAGTGTTTCTTGAAGTCAACACCTGTCAAGGAATAATATTTTAATGTTTTTGTCTGGGGAAAGGAGAGATGAAGTGTAATGTCACTGTTGAGGTGGTCATGACACAAAGCAGAGACCACAAGCAGTCTCAGTTGGCAACTCTTTATTATTGAACAAGGCTGACTTTTATACACTTTCCAATTGTTTATGCTTCTTCTACCCTAACTATTGGCCACAATAAGTCAACATAACACTATTAGTGAAAAGTTATAGTGACTTCAATTAACTTTCTAAAAATGCTTCATCCAGCTGCAAGGTTCCCTTATCTTTCTTCTCTCGGTCTCCTTGGTTACAGCCTTGCAGAGAGCTCCTTATCAGCTTCTTCTTGCTTCTCAGCTTCTCCTTGCTCCTTTAGCTAACAGGCCTGCTGTTAGCCCCTTCCACAGTGCAATACTGAATGTCAGAAGGTGCCAGTACTTTAGTTGGGAATTATTTTGTGTCTCAGTTCTTACCTATAAGATGTCAGATGTTTTGCACTTTCTTATCCAATATAAAGCACACTGTGTTCAAATTTCTGAGGAAGTCCTAGAAAAATGTGGCCTAAAATATGTGATTGTAATCACATATCTCAGAAGAAGAGCAAGTGAAAGCTGAGGGAATTAGTGTTTATGTAAAGCTCTGATATGGTTGTGTGAAAAAGCATTATTGTTCTTGGTAATGCACATACATTTCCAAATTGTAATTGAGCAGGAATGCTCTCCACTATGATTGTCTGGGTATTGTCTGATCTTGGGACACTCAGTAAAACTATTAACTGTCATGACAAACCAACCTCCTTTAAAAGTTTTCTTTCTTTTCATAAATTAAACTTTTATGAAAAGCCTAGTTTAATTTACAATGCCCAAATGTCCAAATCTTTCTCTTGCTCTGTTTTTAATGTCACTTGTTCCTAAAAATTATGTTTTTGTGGTGGTGGAGAGCAATGCTATCACATCACCAAATCTAAAATGCTGACCCACATGGTTTAGAGTCTCTGTGCTTCATTCAAAGAAAATGGTAGTGGTTCTTTCCATTTCAGCTTTTTTGGTAATAATGAACTCCAAATATCTTCCTCGTTATGCAGCATTTGATACTTCAGCAATTTGATTTGATTGGTGTAAAGTGAAATGAAGCATTGGCTGGGGGAGCCTGGAGCCTGTGGGTTTCATTCCTGGCACCATCTGAGTTTTTGGAGCTGAGGAATAGCCTTGGTACAGCATGAACACAGCCCAGGACAATGAAATGATGTGGTGGAAAGCTGCAGGAGCTGACAAACCAGCATCCCAGCTGTGCCCTGAGCACTGCAGGCAGCCATGGTGCTCTTATTAAATCAGTGAATTCTGTGTTTGTCATAAAACTGAATGTGGCAGGATAAAATATACTAAAGGAAAAACTTTGATTCATCATGGGACACACTGCAGGCAGTGAGAAATAAAAAACCATCTCACTTGTCAATTAAAGGTCACAAAAATGTTCTCTGAGCAATGGCTGCACCATTTGGTGCTGCAGCAGTTCAGAGTTTTGGATGCTTTAGCCATCCACTGAATTTGTGCTAAAATAAATATTTGTTCTAAATTCTAACAAGAGACCACTAGAGCACACATTTAATCTCCTATTTATTGAGAGCAATATTCAGTTTCTGCATGTTTGCTGAATCTGTGTTGCAACAGGACACAAAATGAATGACACTCACACACCGAGATGTCCAAGGCATAAAAGGCACGTTTATTACCAGAACTTGATATTTATAGAATTCCAAAAGTGACCATGGATTGGAGGATGGAATTGCCACCTCTCCAACCACACTGGTCAAACCATCAGCCCATCAATTCTCTCCTCCTCCAGAAAGGAATGCAGAACAATCATTATTTACATGAAAAGTGCGTGAGAAACTCCATTACAAAAATGTAAAAATCAGAAGGCTTAGGAGAACTTTAGAAGAACAGGGTGACAAATCCAGGCCTAAAGAACTGGAAAATAGAATACAGACTGCTCATAGTTGTAATAAGGCACAAGACTTCAATTAAATTAACTTAATTTTTTAATTTCTCTTACCCAGCCAGAAGCTGCCTGTTCTGAGAAGAGCCTGCTCGGCCTGTCCAGAGCTCTGTAATATAACTGTATAAGAGAAGTATCTTCTATACAAATCCTTTTGTACTATTATATAGGAATGTCTACTTTTTCAGCAGTTCTGTGAATTGACCTAATAATGACTGTAGATTTGGATTGTATCAGTTTACTTTGGAATATATTTTAAGGACTAAACTTGATGCAGCAATGCTGGGGAGATGGCAGGGATGAAAATCAACAGGGACATAGCTCAGGCTGTATACATTTTCCAATAAAGATTAATTTCACTGTACCTGAATGCATTCTAACTTTTGTAATAAAAAAATCCTGCAAAGAGTTCAGTTTGTTTACTTTGGAGAAAAAAAACCCTTTACATTAATTTTCAGATATTACTTTAATGTCTCTTTGGACAACAGTATCTGTATATTTGAATAATTTTTCCTGTTATATCTATCATATGTTTTTCCTAAATAAAAGATAAAATTATCCACTTGATGGTTAGTGTGCATTAATGAGATAGACTGTGAAATGATCAATATTCCAGTGTGTGGATTAGGAACCAACTGAAATAAAACCCCATAATAGTTTGTTCTGTTAATTCAAAGTAGTAAGTCCATGTTATATCAGAGTATCACACAGTTTACATGTGATGGGTTTGGTCTTACAGTCCTGCCATGGGCAGTAATTGTGTGGACTTGTGTGAAAGTTTTTCTGCTGAAGGCTGTGGGGGATGCTCTTCTGTTCATTTAGAATTAGCTATGGAAACATGCTACAGCCTGCTCTAAGCCCTATTATGTCAAAAATTCAGAATATTCTGTGAATAGAACAAATAAAGTCCTGTGTGGTCCTGGTTATCCCCCACAACATGTAAAAACATCTTTTTTTTTTTTTTTTTTCAAATTTAACAAACCATAAGAGATGTACAGTTCTGGTTATATGATAATCTCTAAAAATGCAGATTATTTGCAAAGGTTTCTCTTTTACTGGTGTGAATTTGAGATGATTGCATTATGCACAAATGGTAAGTGATGTTCCCTGATGAAGAAATAAAGACCTTTCTGATGTTGTTCAAGACTGTCCATGCAGTTATGTCTTTTACAGGAAATCAAGTAATTCTGTAGGCGGGTAGAACATGTTTGCAGCATGGCTGTGTCCTGCCAGCAGAGAATTAAGGTCCAGTCCTGCTGTTGAGACTGCAGTGCAGCTCTGGGTGGGTGAGGTGATTGGATCTTCAAGGAAAATTCTGAAGCCTTAAATTCAATTGAGTGCAGCGCCTGTTGCATGGGAGCAACCTGAAATTCAGCAGGTAAATCCAGAGCAGCACATTTCTGTCATTCTGGAGATAAGGAAGACCCTACAGGACATCTGCTTGTGTTTCACAACGTGCAGATCTAGGTGCTCCCACTTGAATACTGGGATTTTGTGCTGGTGATGACAGCAGGGGCTGGGTTAGCTCCATGCTGAGGCATTTTGGAAAAGCTCATCCTGGTCCTGCCTTCCTTCTCTCCAGATGGGAGCTGGTGGTGACTGGTGCCTTCCTCAGCAGGCAGCATTCCCAGCCCCATGGAATGAGCCCACTGCTGGACCTTACCTGTTAACCCAGCCACATGGGCACTGTCCACATTGTAACCCCCACCACATTTACCTGCTGCTCACTTTGTCACAGACACATTTTATGAAAAATCCTTTCCTTAGGATTTTTCCTCCTGAGAAGCTGAGAGGCCTCAGGAACAAAATGGAAACAATGATTATCTGCTGCTGTGGAATGCAACAGGTGCATCTGTGATTGGTCTCATGTGGTTGTTTCTAATTAATGGCCAATCACAGTCAGCTGGCTAGGAGTGTCCAAGCCACAAACCTTTGTTATCATTCTTTCTTATTCTATTCTTAGCCAGCCTTCTGATGAAATCCTTTCTTCTATTCTTTTAGTATAGTTTTAATATAATATAAATAATAAATCAGCCTTCTGAAACATGGAGTCAGATCCTCGTCTCTCCCCTCATCCTGAGACCCCTGTGAACATGGTCACACACTTGAACAGACCTGCTGAGCCAGTGAACCTCCAGCAGTAGTTCAGGACCAGGTTTCACACTTGCTTCTGGACATATTTAGAATGGAGAAATGACATAATGCAGCTTTCCCCAGGTTTTAGCTGGCTTGACTTCCCCTTCTGAAGAAGCAGGATGGTTCATCCCTTCGTTACTCACAGCCCCCTTTAGGAGGCACTTTCAGCACAGCCTGCCCAGCTGGAGTTCTTACTGCTCCCTCAAAATGAGGGCAGTGTCACAGCAAAGGAACTGGGAAAATAAATAATTCCAGGGTATTGCCTTGTCAAGTGTGTAACAGCAGAGTGGCTCTAGTGAAGCTCTGTATGCAAGAGCTGAAAGAGAAACGAAGTGGTTGCAGAGGTTTTGCTGAAAGGACTGGAGTCTATGGTGGACACTGGCCAGCAGCATGTCCATCTTCAGAGCCATCAGGATTGGCCCTGCTGGACATCTGGCAGCTTTGAGCAGCTTCTCACAGAAGCCACCTCCAGAGCCCCCCTGCTACCAAAAACCAGACTCTGCAAAACCAAAAGAATGTGGCTTGTTCAGATGAGATGTTCCTCTTCTGAGAATTTTCTTCTAAAATCTTGCTTCTTGACATGTATTAGACATGTGAGACATGTGATGGAAGGCTCAGCATTGTCCCACACAGAGTTACAGGTGGTGTTTCACTGTGAACTAATCCTTTACGGACAGTGGCATCTACAACCTCTCATTTCTCACATCACAGAATGAGGAATGGGGAAACAGGAAGGAACATGTGAATTGAGTGGTTTCCAGAAATGTACTGTGTGTAATGCAGTTTTAAATTTAGTACAAATTGTAATTATGAAATTAGCTGTTATGACAAAGTTTATGGTGTTCTGCATGAGCAGCAGTTATCTGGTGACTAACAGAGCAGAATCCAAACAGCTCTGGATGGATCTTTTTTCATATTTGTGGTTGGGTAATAGGCAAGGGACTTCCCTTGCATATAGGAAAGTCCCCCTGTTAATAAGAAACCAAAAGTAAATGACCATTTAGTATTGCACAGCTGCAGGTGCCACACCCAAGTTCCAGGTGAGGGCTACAGTTAGCATTTGATGTTTTTAATGTGGCCAGAAGAAGCTTTTGTCTTTACAAGCTGACAAGGGCATTGGGGTGATCCCGTGGCAGGGCGTGGTGCTGCTGGTCAGTGGGGAGAGCCCCTGTCAGCTCTGCTGTGGGTTGGGGCTGCTGCCTCTGCCTGAGGATCTCTGCTCCTGGCTGCGTGTGGGCTGGGTTTGCTCTAACACCCAGCTCAGGGTGTGATCCGCCCTGCTGGGGACATTGGCACAGGTTTCAGAGGGGATGGAGCTGACTGGCTGGAGCTGGGCTCCTCCAAGGGTCCTGTGGAGAGCAGGGCCTGCCTGTCAGGTGACTCAGGTGCCCGCTGTAATTGAGGGTGGGGACAAAAGCACTCCTGGGTACACCTCTGCTTGCAAGCAGTGTGGAATTGATCCCTGCACCTCTCACATCCCTTCAGGTCTTTCTGCTCAGGGCTGAGGATGGAGAAGGACGTGAATGCAGCTGGTGCACTGGCATTTCAGAATGGCATAGCAGGGGACTCTCCTGCTCTCCCAGCAGGACACAGGGTCTCCAGCCCACTCTGGGGTTTCCCTCTGCCTGGGTCCCCTCCCATTCAGCCCTGTGCCCAGGTAAGGTGGTGAGCAGGGCTGGGGCTGACTCAGGTCCTCGGGGGCTCCTCAAGGGAACCTTTTGGTGGCAGATTTTGAAGAAGCTGCAAGTGACTGAAAGGAAAGGGTGATGCAAGGGGAGGGTCTCTTGCACACTGAGCCCGTGGCTGCCCCAGGTTCCCCACCTGCCATTCCCACACACACAGAAGACAGTACTGCCATTCCTGGGGCTCAGGGAGTGCATCACATGCTTCATTCAGCCGTTCCAGCTCTGATAGAGAGGGTGAAGGCGCCTCTGGCTGTCACATCCAAGGCACCTGTCCCTGACCCTGTGCTGCAGTGCCCTGTGCCATCATGGGGCAGCATCAGCAGCCAGAGGAGTCCTTTGGACACCAGGGCAGCCAGCCTGGCCCTCACCCTTTGTTGCTGTCGAGAGCAGAGACCACAAGCAGTCTCAGCTGGCAACTCTTTATTATTGAACAAGGCTGACTTTTATACACTTTCCAATTGTTTATGCTTCTTCTACCCTAACTATTGGCCACACTAAGTCAACATAACACTATTGGTGAAAAGTTACAGTGACTTCAACTAACTTTCTAAAAATACTTCGTCCAGCTGCAAAGTTCTCTTATCTTTCTTCTCTCGGTCTCCTTGGTTACAGCCTTGCAGAGAGCTCCTTATCAGCTGCTTCTTCTTGCTTCTCAGCTTCTCCTTGCTCCTTTAGCTAACAGGCCTGCTGTTAGCCCCTTCCACAACCCTTCACTGCCCTCTGATTCCACAGCTCCCTCCAGGTTATCCCCGAGGCCTCCCCAGCCCTGGAGCCACGGCAGGGGCTGGGCTGGGAAGCACCGGCTCGGTACAAACCACAGCGAGTGAACAACGACGGGTGCGATTGCAGCGGCAGTTCCGCTTCCCCAGGGCTGCCACAGAGAGCAGAGCTGGGCCAGGGCAGAGGGGAGGGGAGACAGAGCTGAGTGAGGGCAGAGGGGAAGGGAGAGCACCCAGGCAGGCAGGAGCAGGGTCCCGAGCAGAGCCCTGCGGGCAGCAGCAGCAATGGGAGACGCCTTCATCCGGCACATCGAACTGCTGGGCTACGAGAAAAGGTTTTTCCCCAGCCAGCACTATGTGAGTACTCAGCAGCGTTCTGGCATGTGAGGACTGAGGACTGGCCAGGGTTTTTACAAATTTTCTTAGGGAAATGGGACTGAGAGCCTAAACGCTTCCTTTTAAAGGGGTCATGGCTGATAACGTGAGCTGCAGGCAGCCAGAGACTAAACTGTCCTGAACACACAAGACTTCAGGCACCTCCTTTGCAAGCCTTTGGCTACTTTGCACTCTTGGAAAGGGCTTTTTCCTCTTTGTTTCTCACCCACCTGCATGTTTCTGTCCCTTCTCCATCCATTGCAACTCCCCTAGTGCCCAGTTTATTTCCTGGCAAGGCAGAGCTGTTTGCATTGGGGTGGTGGAAGGAAAACATTCCATTTTATCTGAAACTGGACCATCCCCAGGGCTCCCTGGGCACAGTGGGGAGTGGTGTCCCACTTGCCTGCAAAACTGCAGCCTCTGCTTTGCTCTCAGGTCTACATGTTCCTGGTGAAGTGGAATGACCTCTCTGAAAAGGTCGTCTACCGCCGCTTCACTGAGATATACGAGTTCCACGTGAGTCCTCCCAGGACACATGGGCTTGGGGTGGGGAAAAAGGAGGGTGAATGCCATCTGAAACTGCCTCAAAGCAAACCTGGCTCAAAAGAGGCTCCTGGGTCCAGTTCTTGGATCTCTTTTGAAGGTGGGAGCCATTGGCTCTGTGTCCCTGGGCACAGAGTGCCGAGGTGTGGGATCCAGCCAAGACATGCTGGTAGCAGCAGGGTGAGGAAAGGAGCCAAGTTGGGGGCACAGGAGTGGGGGGCACAGCCTGTTCCCCTGGTGCCATCCTCACTGTTGTGCCTGGCTCTGCTCTGCAGAAAGCGCTGAAGGAGATGTTCCCCATTGAATCCGGGGACATCAACATAGAGAACCGGATCATCCCGCACTTGCCAGGTGAGGGGCAAGCACCGTGGCTGGGGGTGAATAGAAATTGCAGCTGGTTGGGAAATTCCCTGGTGGCTTGAGCTGCGCTGGCTGCCTCCCAGACAGGTGGGTGGTGCAGTATTTCCTGTACACCAGGCTTGAAAGCAAAACCCCAGAAAGATGTGGGCAGTGGCAGTGGTTCTTCCCAGCACTCAGCAGCCCTGCAGACCCCGTCCTTGCTCTCTAAGGCACCCCAGAAGCAGATCCAGAAGAATCAGCTGTGACCCCTGTGACTCCTGGCTGGCTTTGGGGAGGCTGAACTGAGTGGAGCTGAGCTGAGCCCTCTGTTGGTGACACCATCACTGCTGTTGGCTTACTGCCCTTGTGGCAGCACAGATACTTTGTAAGAGGAAGCAATGCAATATGTCTTCAATGACAGAGAATGAACTCCTGATCCCAACAGCTGATGTTTTGCCTCTAAGCAAGGTGCATGTCAGAAAACTTCCCCATTTTTTTTTTAATTTCCTGCTTTAAAGGAAGCAGAAGGGAGTCTGAAAAAGAGCTGCAGTTGTGGTCAGCATCTCTGGAGGAGGAGCAAGCCTGCACTATGCAGTGTGGGTGCCAGTCTGGGGGGGCTCCATTGCAGCTGGACTAACACCCACCATGTTGGGCCTCTTCCACCACGCTGGGGCTGGTCAAAGCACCCTTATTCCATCTGGGGAACTGAGAGCACTGAGAATCAGACAAGTGTCAGACTGCTGGGGGGGCATGGGGTGCCAATGACCACACAGAAGTATCTCCCATCACGCGGTTCAACACTGCTCGGGGTTGGGATTGCCAGCAGTATTTTACAGCTCTGGAGTCAAGAACACCATAACCGGTGGGGTGGGAGGATAAATATGTCTCCTCTGACTGCAGGCTGGTCCCCTGAGCCCCTCTTGGTGCCCTGGCGCATCTGCTGTATTTGTGGCCCAGCAGTTGGGCTTAGTCTGAGCACACATGTAGGAGTTACCCTAAAACTGAAATAGGGTTAAACAGGATCACTGCTGGGCTTGCAAGAGCTGTGCCCCCACAAAGCTTCACCTTATTGGCACAATGCAGCCATGTAGCACCTTGGGGCCAGACTCATTTGTTTGCAGGGCAAAATTAATGATTCAGAGCAGTGTGCTTGGGAAAGTATTAAAAACAAGGCATTCTGTCTGTTTTTTCTGAGCACTTTTCCCTCTCCCCCAGCCCCAAAGTGGTTTGATGGGCAGCGCTCAACCCAGAACAGGCAGGGCACACTGGCTGAGTACTGCTACACGCTGGTGAACCTGCCCCACAAGATCTCCCGGTGCCTGCACGTGGTCAACTTCTTCAAGGTCCGTCATGATGACATGAACCCTGTCACAGACAGCCAGTGAGTCCTGCTGCCTGCTGTTTTGAGGGAAATCCTGCATTCCTGGCCCTGGATGCTGGCAGGAGCCTGCTGGGAGGGTGCTGATGGATAGGGCTGCTTGGCACTGAGCTGCCTTTGCTCTGACCTGTCCAGGATCAAGAAGCCTGAGGTCTTCCTCCTCCCAAAGGATTCCAAGAAAAACCTTACAGGTAAGAGGGCTGCAAAGTGGCTGCCTCAACAGCAGTGAAGCCTGGGGAGAGAGTTCTCATTCCATGGCAGATTACCTCACTAAGAACATGGTTGCTATACCAGAATTGCAGCTGCAGTGAAGCCAAATCCTTGTCCTGAAATCCAACTGATTTGAGGCTGAAAGAGGCTGGAAGGGCACTTGGGCTGTCCTGGGGCTGCTTTTGGCCTGTCTGGAACAGGGTGTTTCTGGGCTGGGGGCTGGAGGAGGGAACTTGTGTCACCTCTCTCATGCAGACATCACGGGCCCCATTGTCCTGCAAACCTACCGAGCCATCGCCGACTATGAGAAGAGCTCCACATCTGAGATGGCTCTCAAGGCAGGGGACATGGTGGATGTCGTGGAGAAGAGTGAGAATGGTATGTGTCCATCCCCCTGGAGAGCCCCTGAGGGCCAGCCCACTCCCTGCCACAATTTCAGTAGGAATGAGTACCGCCCTTGCATCCAAACACAGCATGTGAGCCAGCTATGGCAGTGAGGGCTGAGGGGCAGTTCTAGAAAATTCTGCAACACCCTGGCCATGCCTCAGCCTGTGAGGATTCCTGCCCACAGGAGCAGGATCAAGTGGTCAACTTCTCTGGTTGCGCCATGTCAACAGAGATTGGCCCCAGCACTGTCCCTTTGGTCTGGGACACGGAGATGCCTGCACCTGCCCTGGCCAGGACAGACCTGGTCCCAGTCCCCAAACACTCTGCTCTTGCCTATAGCTCCTTTCTTTGCAGGCTGGTGGTTTTGTCAGCTGAAGAATAAACGAGGCTGGGTACCTGCTGCCTATCTGGAGCCACTGGATGGTCCTGATGAGTCTGAAGAGCAGGAGCCTAACTATGCAGGTAAAATGTTGGTGTGACCAGGGTGTGGGTGTGTGTCAGAGCACAGCCTGCTGCAGCTCTCCACTGTGATGGCTCACTGCAAAGCTGGGTAATTCAGACTGAGCAGGATCACTGGGCAGGGAGGTGCTGCTGTAGGAACTGCCAGGAGGGATAAATCTCATGGCTTGGTGCCTCAGTGTCAACCTTGGGAGCTTCCCATGACCTGCAACTCAGCATTAGATTTGTGTTTTGGCTGATCCTTACCCAGTGGCCAAGCTGAGCTGGCTGGGTGAAGGCTGAGGTGCTGGGTTAGCAGAAAGCATGGTGCAGCATCCAAATCAGGCACAGGCATTCACAGTGCTTCACCTCTGTGCTGTCAGGGCCTGGCCCTGCTCCCTGTCCCCTCACTGCCCTGCCATGACAGCAGGGTTTATCACATGGAGCAGGGGAAGGATCCTGCAGGCTTGTGCCAATTGCTCAACAGGCTTCAGCTTTGAGGGTTTCACAACACTGGAAAAGGCTCTATTAGCACAACACTTCCTTCTGCCTTATTTCACCACCTGAATTCTGAGCACACTTTCGAGCAGAGATAGGAGTGCTTCCTCTGCTTGCATCCAAAAGTTTTGTTCTGGAGAGGTGGTGGAGGGGCTGGGATGAGCCATGGGCAATACCAAGACTGGGGGAAGTCTGAATCCAAACCTCAAGCACCCTGAGTCTTGCCTAAAATTAGGGTGCCTCCTAATGCTCTGGTGCCTCCTCAGTGGCTGGGGAGGTTCAGCCCTATCCCTGAGGTGTCAGCACAGGATCCACCATCCCCATTTTGTGTGTAGGTGAAGCATATGTGGTCCAGAAAAGCTACACTGCTGTGGAGGAGGATGAGCTGACCCTCAAGGAGGGCGACACCATTGAAGTCATCCACAAGCTCCTGGATGGCTGGTGGGTCATCAGGTGAGAGACGCCATGAAGAGCTCATGTGAGGAGCACTCAGGGAGAGGGAAGGGACATCCATGGTGCTCCACATCAGGGCTCTGAAAGCCTTGGTGTCCTTGGTGCCACTGCCCAGCACTTCCTTTGGCAGGGCTGCTCCTCAGAGTCTGTTCTTTGCCAAATATTAAACATTTCAGCTGGAAATTCCTCTCCTGAGGGCTTCAGAAATATCCAAGAAGGAGGCAGATGGAAAAAAAACCCCATGTATCTGTTATTTTGCCTCTAATTGTTCTGGCGCATTTTGCTTTGCAAAACCTCAACTTTCATCCCAGCTGCAAGGAAATGTTCAAGGTAACATGGCACCAGCAAGGGACAGGCACGAACCACGACTCATGGAATGTCCTGAGTGGGAAGAGTTCAAGGCCAGGCTGGATGGAGCCTGGAATAACCTATTCTAGGGGAAGGTCCCTGCCTGTGGCAGGGGGTTGGAATGAGGTCCTTTAAGGTCCCTTCTAACCAAACCATTCTGAGACTCTGTGACCACCCATGAGAATGATCCGATCTCTCTCCTGGACTGAGGAGGTGGTTGCAGAGCCAGGACTGCCAGTGATGTTGCTTTGTGTTGCAGGAAGGATGAAACCACAGGTTATTACCCCTCCATGTACCTGCAGAAAGCTGGGGAGGTGAACACCTCTGTGAAGAGTGAGCTGAGGAACCGGGGTGCACCTCCGCGGAGGTAGGAGAAGCTCTGTGTAGAGGGCAGAAGAACATCTCCCTCTTCATTCAGGGAGATGAAATTAAACCAGACAGGTGTTGTGGTGTCACCTGCTTGCCTGTCAGTGAGGAACAGCCTGGAGAAATGTGAGCAGGGCACAGAGAGAGCAGGGCTGTCCTCCCACCACTCTGCTCCCCAGCTCCCACCTGCATTGCTGATGCAGGGCTCCAGGATCCTTGCTCCAACAGGTGAAATGTTGGGACAAGGAGGACAAGGACATGTAACAAGGAGAAATATACCCATCAGGTGTATTTCTCCTTGTCCTTCTGCAAAGTTTCTTTTCTGGGCTAGTCTTGTTTAAGTTTCAAATTGGCCATTTTCTTACTTCCTAAATGTGTGCACTGAATCTTTCAGAGGCAAGGAGAAATTTGACTAAATTGAGCCGCCAAGTGGCCTAATCTAAAGGGAGGATGTGAGCTAATGCAAAGGATTTTATTTTGATTAAAAATATAAAAAGCAGAAATAACTCATGAATTCCAATGCAAAGAGAATGGCTAAAAAGGGCAGAATTTGCTGCCATCTCTTTTCTCTGCAAGATGACACATCAGGCCTGCTATGAAATCTCTCCAAATCAAATTTTGCTGGAGCATGGATTGAGTGTAACAGTGTAAAATGGTCCAGATCCGCCTGTTTGGCCACAGAGATGTTTACTGGTAGCCTTGGGGGAGATGAGGTGGCCTGTCCCAAGGACAGTGGCTTGTCCCCTGCCATTGTGACTGCTGCCTCTGTGGCAGTGGCAGCCAGGCCAAGCCTGTTGTGAATGTGGTGAGCTGCTATGGGCAAGAGCTTTGCTATGACATGGGGGATGTGCTCACACCAGCAAGGGGCTGAAGGCAGAGAGGCACATTTCTTTGAGAAGAGCAGGAGGATGATGCCATGGGGGGGTCATCAGGAGCCACCTCACTCCTGCCATGGTACTGGAGACAAAGCAGGGCCTCTGTCTGCCTGCCCAGGGACAGTCCCCAGTGCTGGGGTTTCCCCTGCAGCAGCCTCAGGCTGCTCAGCCTTTCACTTCTCTCAGGAGCTTCTCTCCTGTGGGTTGAACACTGCTCATCTGGGTGCACACTGACACATGCCCCATACTCCATTCCCCTGTATCTGACCCTTGAGCCTCGAGGAGCCATGCCAAGCCCCACACCAAGGACATGAATTTTGTGCCCAGGATAGGTGCTGTATGTTCATTCATCAAAGAGCTATAAATCACTTCTGGGACTTTCTTAGATAACCCCCATCCCCATCTCATCCTTCCAGCCATATCTTCCTCACCAATCCCTGTCATTACTTTCCAGACTTGTGCTCAGGGTTCACCCTTCAGTGTTTGCTTGCAGAGCACCATCCAGCTGCCTCTGCACACATCATGGATTGTGGCTCACTGATGGCTGCTTTCAACAGCTGGCATCCAGCAGGCAGAAGCCAAAAGCAGAAATTGGGGTTTGGGTGAAGCACAGGAGGAAGTGTGGGGAAAGGAGGTGTGTGATGTGACAGCTGCCAGCATGAAAACTGAAAGTTTTGTTTCTCACTCTTTTCAGATCCACTATCCGAAATGTGAAGAGCATCCACAAGCAGGGCCGGAAGCAAATCAGCCAGGAGACCTACAGGAGGAACAGCAAGAAGTACATCCAGAACCAGAGGAAAATCCGGGGAAATTCCCAGAGCAAGGCCAATGTCATCAGTAAGTCTCAATGGAACTGGAATCCTGCAGCATGACCCATGCCCCCAGCAGTGCTGGCAGCTGCAGCAGGATGGCCCACTGAGGTCACACCATGCAGGAGGTGTTTCTTTCAAGGGGTTTTCTTACCCCTGGCCATAGGTCAGACAGAGCAGGATAAGGTCCTGGAAGGAGGTCAGCCCACATTTGGGATCAGTGCTTTCCTTTGTGCACCCAACCTCTCCCATGCTGCCATTACCACTGCAACTGCCATGTGTGTTAGCTGTCAGCAGAGCCCCCACAAGGAAGTGTTACATGAAGAATCATAGAATTATAGAATTTGGTTTTGGTAGGAAGGGACCTTAAAGACCAATTCATTCAAAGCTTCCATTTGATCAGGTTGCTCCCAGCCTGCTCAGGTTGTTCCAAGCCAACCTAGCCTTGAACACTTCCAGGCACAGGGCAGCACAGTTGCTTTGGGCAACCTGTGCCTCATTACCTTCACAGAAAAGAATTTTTTCCTAATATTTAATCTAACCCTGGCCTCTGGCAGTGTGAAGCCACTCCCCCTTGTCCTACCAGTTCAGGCCCTTGTAAAGAGCATCTATTCATGAAGGAGAGAGGCAGTCACTGAGGCATATCCTTTAGATCTGTAATCCCCATGCAGTATCTGTGACCTTCCCTGAGCTAAAGATGGGCAGACCTCATGCAGACCTCATGCGGACAGGCTTTCCCTGAGCACAGCTCCCAGTGGGGCACTGGTGGGCACCTCCTGACACCATGACCTGCAGGAAAACCCATACATGCAGCAGGGACAGGAGGAGAGGCAGGAGCTTTGCTGGCAGTGATGTAAGAAACTGCTGAATGTTTGTGAGGGTGGTGTGTGGTGCAGAGCTCTGACCCACCTGTACATCTTTTTTACTTGCAGTCGAGAAAACTGAGCCAGAGGACAACAAGCCCAAGGCTCAACCTGCTGTCCCTCCCCGTCCCAGCAAGGACCTCATCCTGAACCGCTGCACTGAGAGCACGTGGAGGAAGATCCTGTGAGGATCCTGTGAGCCCCCACACCAGCCACCCAAAGCTTCATCTCCTCCAGCTCCTGTGCAGCTGGGGCTCGGAGCTGGAGCAGGGATCCAGGTGGCTCTGGCAGCCACCTCAGGCCAGGGAGGCTGCGGCCATGTCAGCCCAGCCCAGTGCCCATGCTCATCCTCCATCTCAGCCAGCCCATGGTGTGCTGATAGCGCTTTGAGGAGGGACCAGCCCTGCCCTACCAGCTTCTTACAAGCACCAAGTCCTCATCTCTACATGCCTTTCTATTCCCTCTTCGTATTTTGAATTATTTTTGTGGTTTTCATCAATAAAGGAGAGACACTTGATAGACCCTGAGGAGCAGTGTGGGCATGGTGGCAGGAAAGGTGTTCCTCCTGTTATAAATAAGAAGCTTGACTAGGCCAATATTCAAGCAGCAATCAATTTATTAATTAATATGGTAAAGTATGAGCAATACAGTGCTGGGTACAGTGGGGAAGTTTTCCCTCCAACTGCACACCCATAGTTGAGGCTTACAGGTATTTATAGGAGTACTCATCAGTTTTCTCAGCAGTTTCTATTCTAATTTTTACTCATCAGCAGTTTCTATTCCCAATTTTTACATCACAATTCTATACACTATTGTGATTTAGTTTTTCTCAGGATGTATTTCAAAGGAGTATCCCCAGATGGTGATGGTCCAGTTTCCGAAAGAAGAAAGACGAATCCCATCTGGTGAGGTCCAGCTCCCCAGATGTGGGTCCAACTTTTAATTGCAAGGACTACAAATCTCATAACAGTGATGTCCAGCTTGGTTGAAACTATAAATCCTTGAGTTGATGTTCATCTTCCTTTCTCAAGCTGTTTTTCTCTGTTTTGTTAAGGCCTGAGATAAGCATGTTTCCTTTATATATAATCCAAAGCTATAGTTTCAAGGATACAAGCAATATTCTAAAATTATACTTCAAAAGGTTATTATTGCAAAACTCTTTAAGGCTTAACTACAAGCAACATTCTTAATGCTTTAATTCAAATGCTCCGAAATCAACTAAGGTTAATTGCGAACAAAAGATAAGTTCAAAGGCCTTCTTCCATGCTTTACTTTCCTCAGTTATTATTAGAATTCATCTTTATAACTGTCCCATGGTCAGTCTCCACACATATTGCAATCACAAATACACACATTGCCTGTATGTACCTGACACGAAACACAGCTCTGTATTTCACAGTCCAGGTGGAGATTGGGCAAGGCACTCTTGCAAGAGATGAGGGCAGTGAGGAAATTTATCTGGGAGGATAAAAGGACAGCAGCTTCCTCCTGCTTGGCTCTCTCGAGAGGACAGTGAGGGCTCAGTGTTGGGACAGGGCTGCCTCTCACACGGAGTTTCATTTTGCACTTGGTTACTGCCCCAGCCAGTGCTGCCATCGCTGTGCCAGCCAGGGCTGCCTTTATTTGGGATGGCGCTGGGTCGACCTGTAGGTTTGTGCCTGGGTGTTTTAGTTTTGGCTGGGTCTAAACCCACACTGGGCTCTGGGGATGTGTTTATGTGAAAAAATGCATGTATTTTATGATTGGCTTTTCGCAAATATTAAAATGAATATTATATGTGTTGTGTTAGAAAGTAATGCTGTATTCATTCTCTCAGGTACTGTGTTAAATATAGTTTTAGGTTATAGAAATTGCTAAAATAGAAACGATGCTATGTAAGACACTTTTTTTAAAGAAAGGACTCGCAGCGAGATAGCAGCCACAGGACACTTAAATCTTTCAGAGGAAGAGAATTTATTGCCTTCTTATCAGAAGAAACGAACTTCTTTCTGCCTCGAAGGCGAAGGCGTTAAGATTAGAGGGAAGAAGAATTTTGTGTTCGAATGGAATTATGCATTATGTATGAAGTGTATGAATATGCAACAGGCTATTGTTCTTAAGGGTTAATCTTTTTTTAACGGGTGTCTTTTTTCGGGCTCCTGATGCCTAGAAAGAGGTACTCAGACGTCTGTAACACTTTGCTTTTATTGTTTCATATTGTCTTAATTCAATTTGTCTAAATTGTTATTACTCTAATTGTGTTGCTATTCTTTTTAACTATTTTATTACTATTAAACTTTTAAAAATTTTAAAAACAAGTGATTAGCGTTTTTCACATTAGATTTAGGCTTAGGTCGGGGTGTATGTTTAGGCGTGACTTTGGGCCGGGCTGTAGGCTCACGCCTGGCTCTAAGCTCAGGCGTATTGCAGGGTCGGGGCGGGTGCGGACGCTCCCCTCAGAGGGCGGTGCGGCCCCTTTAAGAGACGCGCACCGCGGTCTAAGCCCACACTGGGCTCTGGGGCTGTGTTTAGATTTAGGCTTAGGTCGGGGTGTGGGTTTAGGCGTGACTTTGGGCCCGGCTGTAGGCTCAGGCCTGGGTCTAAGTTCAGGCATAGCTCAGGATCCAGACGGGCTCGGACGCTCCCCTCAGAGGGGGGGGGTGTGGCCCCTTTAAGAGACGCGCGCATGCGCTCAGGGGAGCTGACGCTGCGCGCGCCCGCGTGTGAGGGCGGCCAAGATGGCGGCGGCCTGAGGGCGGCAATGGCGGGGCTGGCGCGGCGCCTGCTCTGCAGGGGCTTTTGCGTGCCGGCGGGGCCGCCGAGCACCCGCCAGCTGCGGGAGGCTGACGAGGCTGCCCCGGTGTTTCAGTATGCGGGGAAGACGGCCAGGCGCAAGGACCGCGTGTTCGTGTGGGGCTTCAGCTACTCGGGCGCCCTGGGCATCCCCAGCTTCGTGAAGCCGGACGCGGGCTGGAAGAAGCCGCGGCGCATCCAGCCCACACCGTACCGCCTGGAGACCGAGGACAAGGTGGGCCCGGCCCGGTCCGCCGGGGCCAGGGTGTCCCCTGGCCTCTGGAGCCTGCTCAGGGCTTAGCACGGCCGAGAAGCTGGATCGGGTTTAAAGGCTTTGCTGTGATTCAGTGGTTTTTGTCGATATAGTGGTATCGCTTGGGATGATGACTGTTTTAACTGCAGCGGCATATAATTGAGGAAGTATGTATCTGTGATTTTGTTAGAGGCATTAGAGAGCCAGAATGTGAAGAGCATTTGCCAGATAAAGACAGCCAGGGTGTGAAGAGCATTTGCCAGATAAAGTGGGCCTCTTCAGTGGCTGCTCCCACCTGACACACGGGAAGCTTGTGTTGAAAATCTTGTTATTCTTCTGCCTACGTGTTTCACTCGTGCTCTGCTTTCGAGTGCAGAAGAGCGTTCATAGAATATTTTGAGTTGGAAGGGACTCGGATCATGTGCAGGACAGCCCAACAATCCCACCCTGCACTTGAGAGTTGTTGGAACTTTCCTTGGGCCATTCCCTGTGGAGCCTATTCAGTGCCCGATCATCCTCTGGATTTCTTTTTTTCTGAAATCCAGTCTAAACCTCCCCTGGCACGGCTGCCCTCGGGTCCCAGAGCAGAGGTCGGGGCTGCCTCTCTGCAGTCCCCAGTGAGGTCTGACCTCAGGCTCCATTTCTCTAGACTGAAGATGCATGCACACAAAACCAAAACTTTTAAGGCAGAATGGTTGGACCTGAGTTTTCACCGTTGTGCTTATCACAGAAGACTCATAATTTTTGGAAGACCATACATGCCATGAATTTGGGCTGCGTGTGAATGAATGTTGATGAACAAGTAACATGAAGTGAAACTTGCTTTTCTAAGCCATAGTTTCTAACGGGATGATGTGGGTTTTGTCTGTCTTCAAAGATCTCCTCTGCTGCCTGTGGTTATGGATTCACACTGCTGGCTTCCAATACCAGAGACATCACCAAAGTGTGGGGCATGGGGCTCAACAAGGATTCCCAGCTTGGATTCCAGAGGAGCAGAAGAGATCAAAGTAAGGATTTAAGTGTATTAAAGACTTACAGGGTGACACTGCAGTCTGCCTGTGGCACAGGAATCTCCACGTGTTTGGAACTGTGAAGAACATCAGGAGGCTTTGATTTGTCCCAGGCTGTGTTGTTGTTTTAGTTTTTATTTTTATTGAGAACCAGTAAAGCACTGCTGTCTGTGTGCAGTATTGCTTTGGGCCCTCCAGGATTTGATTTCACTTATTACAGTAACTTTGATATCTAGGCTTTTTATCTCCTCTTAACTTTTTCCCTAGTATTGATTTATGGTTTGCTGTCCTTTCCCCCCTCCCCTAGTTGACTGTAACTGATTCTGTCCATGTTCTTCAAGTTGCTAAATCTTTTTAAAGTACAGCATGTCATTTTTCATAAACGTTGGTTGTCTTATTCCCTATAGACTTAACCTAGCTTGTCTTTCTTGCATTCCTTATTTGTGAAAGTGCCTGTAATCTACTTTTCTTGAAGATTTTTTGTTCACCTTTCCTGATACATTTTTGTGATTGTTGCTCCTGTACCTTGTTTGCAGTATCCCCAGAATGTTTGTGCATGTTATTAAGCTCTAGTAATCCATCTGTATTCACTGAAGTGGTTGAACATGTGGGTGAAAGCCTCAGTTTCACAATTCTGCCACCTGGAGCCTTAACAACATTCACTCTCTAGTTATGGGGGACTTTTGTTTAGGCAGTGATTATTGACTTCAGCTGTCTCCATAGCTTTTACCTTCTTCCCTCTGTGATAAATCCCTGTCAACCTCTTTGGTTGTGTTTTGGCTTTCTAAAATGCATCTGCTTTTATAACAAAGCAAAAATGAGTGTGTGAATGTACAACAGGATCTGCAGATGTATGTTGAATTTACTTTGTGAAATCTACTGACTTAAAATTGTTCTCTTTCCCTTAAGCTAAGGCCTATGAATATGTCTTGGAACCATCTCCAATTCCATTACCACTGGAGAAACCACAGCAAACTCGAGTCTTGCAGGTGTCCTGTGGGAGAGCCCATTCCCTGGTGCTGACAGATAGTGAAGGAGGTACAGTGTTGCTTGTGTTGGTGATGTCTGTGGATGCCTGGCTATGCTTTTACTAAAAGCTTGAAAAAAAATTTTCTGTCCTTTAGAACTATATCCCAGGTGGGCTGTTTGCACTGTAAGTGGGATGCAGGCAGCTGTTGGCCTTTGTGGGATTGCTTCTGTGAGGGAAAGCTGTGAGCTTCACTTGGCTCAAGCTGTGTTAGGAGCTTTTTAGTACAGGGTTTGTTTCTGTAGCCCCAGGCCTGGCTGAGTGCAGCCTGTTTGTGTTGTTCACTCTGATGTGTTTTTGAGTGCAGATTTGGGTGACTGTGCCAGTACTCCTGTGTTACTTCCCCTTTGAGCCCCAGAGTACTGTGTTTATAAAGGCAATTAATTAATTAGTAGTCCTTTATAGAGAAGATCCTGTTTGTGAATTTTCTCTCCACGTCTCTGGGAACTCTCTGGTGCAG